TGAAACTTTGATCTGCACCATTCGAATCGGATTTCTTTTATTTGGCAATTTATTGGTAGGTCGTTATGTAGATTTTGGAGTCGATGATTGAAGATTTTAGTTATGTTATAAAACGTTAATGTCTAAATTATCTAGCCGTTCCTCGCAGTTTTACCTGCCTTTGTGTTTAGTTCCTAAAGCTCGTGGCTTTATACTCCATAGTCTAAAACTTTCCTAAATAAATAAGTACTCCATCCAATAAAAGAAGATCCAACTGGTAGTTCCAGAGAATAGCGCGTTTAAAACAAGCTATCACACAAAAAAAAATGTTAGCTTATTACTGTGAAAAGTAAACCTCAGAAACTTATAGACTAAATATTACTATATTTAAAAGCATTTTCGTATTAGAAAGGTTATTTAGCAATTCTAAATTCGTATAAAATCAAAGTTACTTCTTAAGATCTCTCATCTTGAACTGCAGTATTATTGGCACATGTTCATTAATCTGAAAATAAAATTACTCGCCGGTATCTTTTATGCTTCGACTGTAAATCTCGTCTCCGAACAATTATATAAGATAAATAAATTAGCTTTTGCCCTCGGCTCCGCCCGTGTGTATGTCGGTAATTACGGTAAAAAGTAAGCGAAATAGGGCGAAATAAGTTTTAAAATCGGTTAAGTGGTTAAGGCAATGATATTATATACAAACAACAAGAATCGCGAGGATCCTAATTATGACCACTGCAAGCGAGCGCACGGACTAATTAATTTGGGAAAATTAATAAAATGCCTTCATGTGCATTCCGTGAGTGCACTAATCACGGCAAAAAGGCAAATTAAAATAAAGGAACATCAAATCACAGTAAAGTTATGTTTTTTGGTTTAAAAACTTATTAATATATGTATGTATAGTTACGGAAAAAACATTTTGTGCGTGCAGTACGAATTTACCGTATCTTCCTTAAAATATCATTGCGTTAAGGCGTGAAAGCGTAACTAACAGACAAACAAACTTACTTTTACATTTGCCATATAAATGTTGAAGTATGGATTTGAGTCATAAAACCTGTTTTAACCCACATCTGAGGGAAAAGTAAATTTATTGTGGAAATGGCGGCAGAAATCGAAATGCAAACAAAATCCTTTCAAAAAGCCATCTAAGGACACTTTTTTGAGACGAATAAAACAATAAATTGGTGAAAAAAATGGTGATAAAAACGAGTGAAAAGGAGAATGGAAGAAGAAAACTCATTCCTCCACTTCTCCCCTTGTGTTGGAGAGACATAAAACCTATTTTGCCACAACTTCAGTTAGCATTTCAGTCACGGCTGCACATATTAAAGCATTATATTGTTCTTTTTAATTTCAGATTACAAACGGTTGTCCGTATAGGGTCAGTGGCCATGTCACCTTGTAAACCCGTTTCTCAACTGTCAAAACAAACAATTTGAACCTTAAAGACAAGGATGAATAATTGTCATAATGTATTTTCAATGTTTTATGTAATACTACGTTTTTCCCGCGGCTTATAAATGCGAAAGTGTGTCTGTATGACTGTCTTTCTGTCTGTCTGTCTATTTTTCTGTGTGTTACCTCTTCACGCTTAAACCGCTGAACCGATTTAGATGAAATTGGTAAAGAGATCAGTCAGAGTCCCGGGTAAGGACATAGGCTAGTTTTTATCCCAGAAATCATCCTTTAAGAGGGTGAAAAGGGGGGTGGAGCTTTGTATGAGGAATCAATAACCGCTGAACAGATTTGGATGAAATTTGATATGGAAGATACTTTGATTCTTGAAGAAAGACACAGGCTACTTTTTACCGCCATAACCGACATTTAATTGCCTTAGTTACTCCTTATATAAATAGCTACATGGTAGTAAAATATTATCAAAATCGGTCCAGCCGTTTTGAAGATTAACTGGGAACAAACAGACAGTCAGAGAGACTGATAGACAAAAATATTTAAAGTGGTTTTTAGGCATAGCTATCGTGCAAATAACCGTGTGCGCATGAAAAAAACCCTATTATTTTGACATTACATACTGACACTTCAATTTTACTTATTTTATAGATTCTCATAAAGTACAACGATGATTCTGTATGGGACTTGTACCGACTGTACATGTGTATTTTATATTATTGTTATATTTATTTATCTCGTAATATCATCAACAATTATAGTTTTAGTTACTAGATTTCTAGATCTTAGCGTTCAATAGTTATTTCAGATTGTAGTTTACATATAAGCTGTACTGAAGTCGATACAAATGACAGCTTTCCATCACAAATGAGTTGTCATTACTGTCAACAAGTTACTCAAGTACCCTATACCCTAATAAAATCATTCGTTTACGATTTTATTGAGCCGACAATAAAATGTTGAAATCAGTTAAATTACTTTTTTGTAAAATGTTCACGATTTATCTTATAGATTATAATAAAAGTTACTAGTACCTTTCAACATGTCTAATAAACTAATGATTATTTTTAACTGCTAAATACACTAGCGAGCTCATCTAATAATACCAAATATCTTTTTTATATAATTTATATTTTAATGTATATGCATGGCATGCCTACAAAATGTAGGAATGCGTTATGTTAACAACACTTGAACCTTTTAGTTATTTCAGTTGTTACAAGTATTTGAGAAGAATTTATATACTTTTAGCAAAGTTTTAGTTAAGCAATTTCATAATTACAGGATAATAGTGAGAATGATTCACTTTACAAACGGTACAAATGTCTTACCATCCATCAAATATTATTACTAGGTGCACAAGATCTGTCGTTCATCTTTCGACTAAAATATTAACAGTTTATACTAAACTTACGCTTTTCTATAAAACAATGGATACCTATGAAAATTCTATACCTTCATCCCAGTGCCCCAGTATGAACTCAATATAATACCACACAGTATCGGATAATCGAATAAATGTGTCCTTATCGATAAAGAACTTACTTTTTATATTACGTAAATATGTATATCGATCATTATAAACATGATAAACTTTATATCTTAATATTGATACTTAGCATATTTATACAAGATGGCGTCAGATAACTAGAATACAAATCTCAATTTATTATAGAATTGAATATTAATTCATCATAGGTTCCTAGTGGCGTGCAATGGGAGAGGCCTATGTCCAGCAGTGGACTGCGATAGGCTGATGATGTGTGTGATGATGATAGGTTCCTAAAATACAATAGCATGTTAATTGGATAATTTATATTTGATAGAGTATAATATTGAATTGAATACAGGAATTCAAAGTTTACCATTTTAATATCATTTATTGTAACCAGTAGCCGAGCCGTTTAGTTGACCTTGGTGTAACAGTGAACGGACTGCGCTTGTGTGCGAACGAGACAAAGCATAATTACAGTAAGATGGAAAGCGATGGCAATACCGGCTCGCGCGGAACGTGTTGAACACGCGGGCAAATTTATAGGTTATGATTTTTTAGGTTATGTCACATGCTATTCACACTAACGATAAAATTACATAACGATATTAGTATTTAATAAGAATTGATTTATTTTTCAGTGTGTTTTGATAAGTTTCTTTTTAAATTAGAACAATGGTAACCTAGTTCACATAAAGTACCACGTGTTTCATTATATTTTTGTTTTGTGTAAGATTGTATGGGGCACGGGGTCCATTCACGTGTCCATAACAGTATGGCGAGGTTGTATAACGTGGTTTTAAAAAATATGTATTTGTTATGTTATGGGAAGTTCATAGTGAATGTAGATTGAACTGACGAATGATACATTATAAATATTGTGATTTATTTTTTGTGTGTGTCGTGTTATGTATTAATTTGTGTGTGATAATCAGTGATTTTGACAGCAGATTTAGATAACATTTTAGGAAATTCCTAATATAATGTACCTATCAATATTTCTTTTATCCAGTGCGATTTAGTTTATCCTGTTTAGGTTAGGAACGAACCAAGATAGGAATAGTCTTATAAGTATTTTGTCTTTGCTTTTGTAATGTAGTCTTTCATTCGACACCCATGCCTTCTCTAGCACGAGTTATTGCGTCATCATTTTCCTTACAATACTTAAAAAACCCATACAAATAAATATAAAAATAGTATTTTAGAATGTCACAGTAAACCAGTTATTAAGTACATTACATATTTTTTATTTTAAATGTCACGCGACAGACACCTGTTTTGAAGTCCACGTTTTACTTACAAATTAATTCTTGCTTACTGTATTTAAATTTAACTAGCAGAGCCGCTAGAATGCCTCTCAAAAGGAATAAATTATTCTCGTTTTTGTAACATTTTTTATCGATCTTCGGCTCCTATTTATCTTCGCGTGATGTTATATAGCCTATAGCTTTCCTCGATCAATGGGCTATCCAACACTAAAAAAATCGAACCAGTACTTCCTAAGATTAGCCCGTTCAGCCAAACAAACGACTCTACAGCTTTATAATATTAGTATAGATACAGTTATACTCATATTAAAATCGAGCCATCATTGCTTTACTAAGAAAAGACGAGTCCGCAGTTGTATTTTTTTTTATATCAACATAAAAAATCACCTCAATAAATTAGAAGAGCCGGTGACCTTAGAACGGCTGAATAAACTTTCTTGAATTATGACTAAAATATGCTCTTTTAAGTCATCTGGCCATATTAATATATAGTGAGTTAGTTTAACGAAGACCCAAGCCCGGAGTACGGGGAGCCTTAATTCTTGGTTATGAGGGCAACTAAAGACCGGCCAGACAGGTCAGTATAGGGTTTGTGTCAAGTTTTCCTTCTCTTTGCAGTGCATTTGTCCTGCGTAGTTACACCCTTAGTGGACTCTTACATTACTCCGGTTAAGTTTTGTACATATTATAAGGAAATTGTCAGAGTTATGTTATTTCTCTTCTGTGTTTTATTCACGCTCAACGCACTGTTTTGCATTAGCAATTTTTTCCTCATACATTTCCTTAACATTTTGCGTTGTGGAATTTTTCTCTTTAAACCTTGGTGAAGGGAATGGGGAATGAACCCTGTACGTAGACTGTACGACCTAGATCACATCATGCACCACCTCTTCCCTGCTGGTGACTTTTAACCGTGGACCGGTGACTTTTTACCGGAGCGAAGTTACCGGAGGCCCAACTCCCCCCCTGTTCGGAGGGGTGAAGGGCGGAATGGTGGTGGGGGGGGATTGCTACTCAAAGTCAACGCAAATCGCGCGCTTTGCTATTCAAGAACAATCAATCTTGAACAGTAAATCGCGCTCGTGATCAGATTCCATCAGGAGACCCGTCTGCTTGTTACCCTATGCCATAAAAACGCTTTTTAGCTTCACTTTATTTTTGTGTAAATAAGTCTTAAAAATCAATTTCAACTTCTAATATTCTCGGAATAAAACATTGCCTGTTGATCCATTGGTCCTGATTGCTAAACCAGTGGTCGTTTGTTATATTTCTACCCAGGACAAATCTTGTGTGATGAGCACGATCATTTGTTCTGTGTCTGAATGTAATTTATTTGGAATAATTATGTGTTCAGAAATATATACGTGTTGCAGCAGTACCATAAAACAGGCTGTGCCTAGTTTTGAATCAGATTATTCCAGTTATTATTATTATCTAAGGGTTTACCATTATACCGTGTTAGGTTTTACAGAAGTATATTTTTTTTACTAAAGTACTTAATTAAAAATGGACGTTGCGTTTCGTATTATAACGACTTGCACTTTAAATATTTATATTCTACAATTGACTGTCTATAAAATACTGGATCGTCTGACACATGACCGATTTAAAAATATAGACCTCGTTATATAATTAATCACTAACAGCGGGAATCTAAGCGTTTATGTAACAGGTATTACATTAGTTTGTAATACCTGACGCTTCGACCAGGTCACAAGCTGACACGTTAATTCTCGTTTAATCTCATATAAATGTTAGGTTGGTTTGTGGATTCTTCAAAAATTTAAAAAGTTATGCACCGATTGAGCTAAAATTTTAACACGTTTCAAAGATTTCCCAATTATTATGTTTAATTCTTCAAAATCTTTGTTGCCTTATCCTAAATTTCGATCTCATTTCATTTAGAATGTTGTCTTTAACTATGCATCAACCGGAAACAGTTACACGACTCTCATTTCGAAATTACACAATTTAATATTTAAAACATTTTCACCAGACCAAGTGTAGCATAACAACACAAAAAACTGTATAAAACCCCAAAAAACCAAAATGGCACCACAATAGCAGCGCTAAATTGTGCTCAAAGTGTTAAAGACTACAAAGTGTTAAACAACGAAGTGTTGGAGTACAATGAGACAATAGACGCCATACTGTCTGAGACTATGACAGCTGGCGTGGCGGCGAGGCGGAAGTCGAGGTCAAAGAGGAGTTGGGCGAAAGTCGAACAGGATGGACAGGTAATACATCGTCTTCTATTCGTTGGTCAGCTCATGACTTAAGAACGGTTGGACGAATTTTGAAATTGGTCTGAAGAATGTTGAAAGCTGTATAAAAAGTTTTTTTTTTAATATATACTCGGAAAATAAGGAAATTTGAGGAGAATTGGATGAGTTTTTTTTCAAATAAATTATAAGAAATGTATTATTTTTTAAAATTATACTGTCTGTCGGGTCAGATGCCATAACTATGAAATACTGTTTGGTATGAAGCATCTCATTTGTAAATGACTAAACAGATTCAGCTAACTTTAAAAATATTTCTGTTAGTACTAACTGTAAATTTCGATCCTAAAATCATTCAAATTTTCACGATAATTGCTGGTATTTCGAATATGACTATCTTTTTGGTCAGTTTATTTGGCAAGTAGAATATGCAAACACGAAATACCGTATCTAATTAATACACACATTATAGTACGTATATACGTCATGTGTATTTGTGTTATTTTCGCGCAAAACGAATTAGTTTTCCTACAGTTACAAGCGACGAAAATTTATAGAGGGAAAAATTTAATTATACAATGTGTCTGGGTTCGGACGAATCGAGTTTTTGGTATCATTATTTAGGTCAGCTTGCCATCTCTGAGACACGTGCATAATAAGAGATAGTTAACAGGGGTATTTTTTGTAATAACCTTGAAATACTAAAAAACAATGTTAATTTTGACGTAAAGTTGATCTTTTAGCATTCATTTTAATATGATACAGCAATTATTATAATTATTTGAGTTATTTATCTGATTGCTAATACTTTTCCGTTATGGGAAGTTTTTGTTTTACGATAATCGGACATTAAACTCCAAAGTTACATAACTTTTAGTATGGACGCTACGAAAAAGTCAACCAAAATACAAAAATGGCTGCCATTCAGAGGCCGTTGGGTTTAGACCCCACCTGTAGAATGATTTTAGTGATAAAATAGAGCAAACTATAACCCCCTAAAGTTTGTACAGTCCGAACCCAGACACATTGTATAATAGGAAAACCGGAGACACGCACACTATTAGATTTGGCCTAGCGCGCGTTGCTGTAGTTTACAGTCAGTAGACTACTAAAAGTAGGTATCGCTCGTTTGGTTTAGGTTAGCTAGTACTATTATATATTATCTGATCTATGTATTATTATTTTTATTCTTATAAAAGACCAGCTACTACGAATACTCAAGTATTCTGACTTAGAAGACTTGGGACAGCTAGTTCGCAAGAAAATGACCTAACTCAAAACGCGAGTTATAAAAAAATTAACACGAAAATTTTCACGGACAGGCATGTATTTAATAACATGATCGATGAAACTGACCGATCTCGCTGTTTGCTGTCCCTTTGTAACTTATAGTTTAGTCTCTCCAAACAAGGGTTTAAAGTCGCTTATTTATAGCAAATTCAGAAGTTACATCAATTTTGAGCCAAGACACTTGGAAGGCAAAGATTTGTGGATCAATACAGTATGATGGAATGTGATATGGAAATCGAACTCCCATCAGCGGCATTCGTGCATAATATATATATATTTTCAATATTTAGATCGCCCATAAAATAGTAATTAATAATATCGTGATGAGGAAAACTTTCTAGACATAACATGCAGAAATAAGACTTGTTTACCCGCGCTTCGTGTAATTATATGCGTCTTTAGCACTAACCAATACACTCGACAGCAAGATACAATATTTGAAACATGGTTAATCATCTTAAAAAGGTACTCTTTAACTGTACAATAATAATTCAACTACTAGAAGACATTTCGCAGCTATCGCGAACTTAGAAACTCATCTGCCCCAAAAGTGTAACAGCGTCAAAATTATAAGTTTCTCTCTTTCTTGTCCACAGGCATCAGACTTCACTGATATTGGTGACTGGCCAACATTGGGCGCGGCTGTCTCCGGAGCCAGGTGTCATTCTACACCGCCACCTCATGACGCCGATCCTGCCCACCACAATGGCAATGCGGTAAATATTTTCACTTTACTGTCGTTATCTATCTTGGTTCTGCTGGTTAAATTCTTCACGAGTATTGTGCAATTATCATTGAGAATTTGGAGGTTAGACATTGCCAGAATCCTGTCCTAAAATTCGGAGTGTCACCACCCCTATTGATCCCGTGAGTGTCGTAACAACCAACTAATGGAAGCAAATTACGCAGGACAACAGTACTGGAAAGAGAAGGAAAGCTTGATACAACCCCTATATCAACCGGTCTGGCTAGCGTGCCATATTAGGCCAACACGTCTTTTCTAAGGAGAGACCTATGTCCAGCAGTGGACTATTGAAGGCTGTTGTTGATGATGATGACGTAAAATACTTTACTGGTAAAGGTACGTTAAAATCGACTGCACGAATGGTGTAGTGGTTTAAGCGGTCGCCATGCCGCTTACTACTACGCTGAGTGTTGTGGGTCCGATCCCCACATGGGACGACACTTTGTGTGATCCACAAATTGTTGTTCTGAGTCTGGGTGTTCTTTGTGTCCGTTTCATGTATGTTTGTAAAGTCCCCCGCGACACAGGATATATTCCTTTTGTAGTTGTCTTTTTATAAAAAAAAATGCAGATGCAATGCATTTAAAAACAATATTCCTTATCGAGAAGGGATAAGCAGAAACGAAGACTAGATTTACACGACTAAAATTTGAATGTACCTCAACTAATAGAGGGCATGATTATTGTTCTTAACCGGCACTTTACGAATTAGATAAGAAAAATTGGGAATTTCACTTGAAAGGAGTTGGTGAGATTTAAAAGCAAAGCTAGGAAACACTATTGTAGCGCTCCAAACGCTTTTAAGCCATATATGTATAGCAAACTAAGGAAATGCGAGAAGCCGAAAATCGATCGAAGTGGCTTGCATCGGGATAGTCGTCTGTGATAGGCTAATGATCGCGGTAAAAAGTAGCCCATGTCTTTCCCCAAGAATCACACCATCTCCATACCAAAATTCATCTAAATCAGTTCAGCGGTTACTGCTTTCCCATACAAACTTTCACACCCCCCTTTTCATACCCCTTAAAGGATGATTTGTTTGATAAAACCTTTTCCGGGACTTGGACAATGTCTATACCAAATTTCATCTAAAACAGTGTAACGAGTTACCGTGAAGAGGTAACAGACAGACAGACACACTTTCGCATCTATAATATTACTATATGTATGTATTTTCTACTGAAGATCTTAGCTGGCTTTTAGCGTATCTGCTATTATTACTTTTATCCTATGCTTAACCTGCAGCTTTTAAGTGAGAAGGTACATAACCAGAATCTTCTTTCTTGGCAAACAAATTCTTGAACAACCATTTGCTTGCTTTATCATACCTGGAAATTGGGTCCAATGATGCTATACACTTTTTCTTGGACTGTATATGCTTGTTTGCCACCGTCATGGTATAAAAATATTTTACAATGACTTATTTTTTACCAATGTACATCTGTTTGAACTTATATACGTTAAGGATTCCATTCAGTAGCATCGACAAATAGCTAATTATATGTGCTGCAACTTGTGGAATGCAAATAAACACAATATGACGGGCTAAATAGGACGACTCTAGCATAAATTGTAACAGAAACCTATTATCCTATTGAACGCGAACCACCTTCGTAAACACTTTCAATATATAAAGACTCGTGAACAGCTGTCGTTGTGTTTACACAACACATAAATGACCTTGAAGAGGTTAGAGCGGCTGTAATGTTTAATGGCGGACGGCCATTTGCTAGAAATCGTAAAAGTGGTTTTAATCTTCACGCTTATTTGCCTTTATCGGTTGGCCAGACTTTAGTACTTTATTATATTGTAACTAGTTGACCAGCTCAACTTCGTCTCTCCCTCTCTCTCCCCATTTTTGCAACATTTTTTTATTGATGCTCGGCTCATATTGGCCGTAGCGTTATGTTATATAGCCTTCCTAGATAAATGGGCTATCAAACACGAAAAGATTTTTTGATTCGAACCAGTAATTCCTGAGATTAGTCTTTAACTTTATAATATTATGTAGAATAAATTTTCTACCCTATCTTGAGTGTAATCTGTACTCTTTTTATTGTCTATGGTAAGGATGAAACAAGCGTCTTAGTAAATTTAACTCTTTTTACGACACAGCTAAAGATATAATTATAACAAACATTTTTAACAATATAATAAGTTGACCCATCTCACACACGGCAGTCTAATCCCAAACTAGGCAGTGCCTGTGCTATAGGAACCAGGCTACTGATAAACATGCTTATACATTCGCAAATATAACATGACCGTGCTCACCACACTACTATTTGGGGTGGGAATTGAACTCACGACCGCCCTTAGCAGTCAGGGTTACTAACAATGGACCATCAGGCCAGTTTGATTCATTTACAGTTCATAACCTGATTTACAGCTAAATACTTTGTTCGTTTTAATAATAATATACTATTAATGTTCCAGGAGCAAGACCGTAAACCTCCCGAGGAGCCCCACCACCAGCACCAGACGAAATATGAAAAGGTGGAACCAATACAGAACCACCATGGACACAACGATAAGCATCACGACAAGCATGTAGACAAGTCGAAGAATTTTGGTTAGTTTAATAGCTGTACTAATTTTATGAAGCAAATGTGATTATTTGGATACATGCATGTTTGATATTCAGTCACGCCAGAACTGAGGCCCAAATGTGAGTTCATTTCACATCTACTCGATCTTCACGGTAACCGCGCTCGGCACTGCGATTGGCCCGCACTTGATGTGAAATAAACTTACTCTAGGCACTAACTGTAGCTGCGATAGGGGATGGGATGGCGGCCTGATTGCATTAAGACGAAATTGGGCCGCCACGTGGCGATTGAGGGGGGGGAAGTGTATTTTCCCCTGGGCCTGATTAAGCATGGTGTCAATTCGCGGAGGACCTGAAATAACATGGTCCAGTTTTTCTAAGTAAGGAGATGCTTATGTCCAGTAGTGGACTATTAAGTTCTGTTGACGATGATGAAGATGTTCTACAAGTATGTAGTGTGTAAATTTTGCTATTCCGAAATATTTCCCGTAATTTAGGCCTCATATCTCTTTATATAGAGATTCTGGGTTACGCAATACGGGTAAAGAAACATTATCTTTAAAAGTAGTTTTTATCGAATATATCTGTACAGATATTTTTGATTACTTCTTAAGACGTACACGTGTTCTTTGCAGAATCTGAGGGTCAAAAAAAATCGTTCACAATTCTGTTCAGATCTACTCTCGATTACAAATTTTATTAAAGGTATTCTACTAACTACTACTAAGACTAGTAGAATACCGATTCAACTTTCGGTCGCAATACGATACAATCACATCACAGTCAACGTTACTGTAAGTACTTTACTATGAGAATACCGAGTTATGACATTTGTTAGATGGAAAGAAGATCGGAACTGAATTTTAAAGAAACTTTTGTTACGAGAATTGACCTTCTGATAGAATTATTAAATCCTGGCTTAAAATTTGAAGTCGGGCACATCTTACAGTCTTGCAAATGTTTTTTGTTCTTCAGGCGCTGGCAAAGGTGGCAGCAAATCTGGGAAGCATAAATGGGTACCATTGGACATAGATGTGAAGGCACCTAGGCCAGGGAAGCATGGCCCGCAGCATTCAAGGCCAGAAAACGGTATGTTTAACATTTCATAAGTACTTATTTAATTAATAGGTTCTTTTATTAGTCAGGCTGACCAAACTAGGCTTAAAACTTCAATGTTATTAATATTCTGTACTACATAATTTCGGAAGTTTAAATGGATGAAATTTTAGTACAGTGATAGGTATAGATTAGAATCTATAAAAGTCGAGACGTCTGGGGTCTGGCGGATGTGAAACATCCAAATTATTTTGTTGCAATAATGATTAAAAAGGGATAGCTTATGAACGTGGCAACGCGTCGCCACGCAAACGACTTTCTCACGCTGCTTATCAGAGTAATTTAATATTGATTATTTCTATAAATTAACTCTTTTTTTTAAATTTATAATGTAAACTATCTTTTTGTTTTTTGTACAACAATATTATAATGTTGGAAATGAATTTTTTTTTACAAAGCTCACGTGAGGATGATTGATGGTAATTATATTTATTTAACATTTACTTTATAATAGTCACCTGATTTTAAAACTGTTTTTGGGAGTTGATTTGTAATTAATACTAGATGGCGTTGTATGTTGATATTTCTGGGCAGTAGCCAGTGGTTTACTTGTGCACCAACGATAAAAGACATTTACGGGCATTTTTAGTAACCATAGTAGCCATAAATTAGCCTAGCAATTACATTTTGATCGTTTTGAATGACTTGAACATTTATTGTATATAGACTTTAGAAAAATGACAGGTCTACATTTGAACTGGACCTCTGTAACTTTATTTATTTTACGGTATAGTACCTGGATGAACGGTTTTTTTTTGGTAAATTTTCTTTTCGATTAATCGGCCCCGAAACCCCCTGCATACTAAATATCATAAAAATCGTGGGCGCCGTTTCCGAGCTTCAGATAAAATATATACAAGAATTGCTCGTTTTAAAGGTATTAGATATATAAAAAAAAAGTTTTATGCACTTTACACAAACTTTAGGTATGTAAAATAACACTTTCTTATCTGTGCGCGTTTGTATATAAAATACGTATTTATAAATAACTAATTGTGACCTGCCTGGCACATTGTGGTTGCATAAAATAATTAACAAAACTGATGCAAAAAATAAAATAAAAGACAATCTTTGAAGTGGGTCGTATCGTGTCCAAATTTGAGATCAATCGACCCAAAACTTGTTCGAAAATTCTCTTCACATGTCAATCAAAATGTCTACAGTATTTATATCTTAATAAGGATTGCATTTCAAGCTTCGAATTATTCCCGTAATTTAGGCCTCACTTCTCTCTGCACAGAGATGCTGGGTTACGCAATACGGGTACAGAAAATATATCATAATTAGTATTGTCAATAAAGAATATCCTGATGATATTCTAGATTACTTCTTAAGATAAACATTTCTGATAAACCTGATGCTAGTAGCTAAGGTCGTATCCTACTGATGTAATAGTCAGGCTTCAGCTATATTATTGGTTAACCTAAAAACCACTCCATACATACGAGGTTTCACTTCTAACACAGGCTTTTAGGCTAGCTGGTGAGCTATAATATTTCACAGGCTGCTGACTCTGTCTTAAAGAAAAGCTGTGTAGCAGTATTGCGCTTTCTCTGCCACTCATATGTAGGTTGTTGTTAAAAAAACAGAATAATATTTAAAATTAGCCCAATAATATTAGTATAGATAATTATATAGACTCATAGTTACTGTCGTTTTGAACTTTACCATTTTATCACTTATGCCCGAACGTCAGTGTTTATGACCGTATCATTTATGACCGCAGCGTGTAATAACTTTAAATATAGGAATTTGTGCCACAGATTACTTCTTTTAAAAATAGACGTGAAATTATCGATCTAATTATATGATATCACCTCCAACAGACACTGTGTCCTTGAACGGTGAAGAATCCCGATCGCGTGGGGGTCCACGTTCTCGGGGCGGAGCGCGCGGCGGCTCCCGCGGCGGTCGGCGATCGGCCCCTCGACCCGCTTCAGCTCTACCCTCACTGCCGACGCCCCCGCATCACCCCTTATACCATCACGCTCACGATTTCCCACATCATCCAGACTTGGCACAGGTAAGACAAAAGGATCTGAAAGGACAGGTGACTTGCAAGAGTACACACGGCCAACGAAATACTCGGTCAGTATTACGAAGTAACAAATTACCTGTGATTTTAATAAGCTATTTCGAAATTGAAACTAATACGCTGGTTTTGAAACAATAATAATATGAAAAAAAAAACAAATGACAATGCACACATGTAAACGTATAATAATTATATTTACCGGATTCACACCCATACCAATCTGACCAGGTATTTCGTTTCCCTTGTTTAAATCTAGTAAAAGAATTGCCAATATCGTAAGATAATATATGAAAAAATATTAATCACAATTCTTCTGGTAAGGAAGCATTCACAAAACATTGCTAATGACATTAAAAAAATATGTAGTACCCTTAATTTGTAGAGAAAATAATAGTACCGTTCGTAGTTAAACATATAAATACGTTGGAAAATAAAAATAAAATATTTATATGTCAATTTTATTGCACTTAATTTTATTTTTAGTACAACGAATTCACGGATAAATATTTTCTTGTAACTATACAAATAATTAAATTGTATCCTTGACATGTGTTCATCTGTTTAAACAGACAGCGTTTACCAAATACATCTCAATGTTAATACGATATTACTAAGAATGCAATTTTTCATGTCTCTGTCTCTTCCTTCTGAGTAATTTCAGAGTTTATTGTTCTTTATGAGGTTCTGACTTCCTGATGGCCAATATTATATGGGAAAAGTTAACAGCTTTGTTTTGCAATAAGAAAGAAGACTCGCTGCGAAAAAACATGGCCTGAGTTGCAAGCGTTCATGGGCGGAGGTAGTCGCTTTCCATTAGGTGAGCCGTCTGCTCGCTTTGGCCACTCTTCTATAAAAAAAAAACATGTGAGCGAAACGGCAGCAAACAGCTAGTTGTTATACATATTTGAATGTATAGAATATGTAATGTCTTTATACAAGTAAATAAATTAATCTTATTTCTTTATAAAATAAATATTATTAATATTAAGTTAAATTAAATTACCAAATACTTCTGTCGTCAAATTAGCAAATGAATGTGAATGCAGCCTTAAGTATATAATATATTTTTTATTATGTTCAAATTCAAAGCAAAGTAAAATATTAATGTTAATTAACTTGCAATATTAAGAGCTTGCACGAGAATGCTTATACTATGATAATTATTTTTAAGACTGAACAAAACACGAAAGCTGCCGTGTTTTGTTTATTCATTCATTCATTTCGATTTTTATTAAAAATAATATTTATGTATTCATCGTTATGAGATTATACGTGTATATAACCTACAATACATCAATTAATTGGAAATATTAAAATCTGAAACTATCTACAATCATATTATTCAGTGATCTTCCTCTGATCTCTCTCTCTCATTTTGTCTGTCTGTATTTTGAGCGCTATTCACTTTATGATGTTAGGAAAAATTGTAGTGGACGTCCAAGCACAATACTCAAACTTGCCGAAAAAACATAGAGGAATGTCTGAAGAGGCTATTCGACTAGCTACCTCTCTCTCTCTGTCTACTCTCTCTTAATGTCTCCTCTTGAACCAGAAAAGAAGAAAATATATTATTACCAAAGATTCAATATCAAAAGAGAAAAATAAAATATTTGACCAATGTAAAGAATAAAACATACAATTAAGATATAACAACATACAATAAATAAACTAATTGTGTGACTCAAAGACCACAGTTCAGTCTATGCTCGTTTTAAGGCCCAAAGGCCTTAAAACTGACCAAAGCACAAAATCCAACTCCAGAGATCTTCTGTCGACTATTGATTAAATAATCTTAGCTAGCATTTGCGTTTATGGTCGCTGCTGCGCTCCTCAGTATTCTAGCGTGATGCTATGTACACTAGAACTAAACTTCCTCAATCTTAATTTAAATACTCCTTCGAATATATAAAAATATTTACAAATATGACTCTGTCTGTCAGTCAGTCAGTTCCAAAGATAAGCGCATTTAAACAAAAAAAGTTTTTATGTTATGTGCAGAGAGTTAAAATATTCATGAAGTTGGAGTGCTGCTTCTGCTTCTGCTGAATTGATTCTGCTGTGCTGTAGATTTGGCCCTTCAATTACGATTAAATTATGGACATTAATCCGATCTCAAATAGTTTCAGTTTTTATATTAAAAGGCACAATATAAATAATTATATTATTATAACGCTTGCTAAAGTATCATAAAATTTGCTTTTAAGTTATATTACAATAATGCATGTCCCATAATATGGCAAGCCTTATGTTCCGGATGTAATGTACCAGCATATTAATTTAGGAACAAAAAAAAATTTTGTTCCTACTTTTTGTTAATGCGATGATTTTTTATATTGCGAATATTGGTTTATATTGCGGTGTGCACCTTACACGTTGCAATTATAAAAAATGCTAAGCAAATACTTTGAGGTTGCAAATAATACATTCGATATCATTTTTAACAAAATATTCACCATTAATGGATTAAAATCACTTGTTCTTTTTGTAGTGTTAAATTATGCACTTATTATAAACAATCGACAAATTGTTACCTCAATTATTGTAGTATCAATTGTCAAATTTCAAGGTCAAGGTTAACAAGTTTGTAAGAAAATGAATAACGCAAACATTTTGACACTTGCACATGTTGATAAACTTGACATAAAGTAGGCGATATGGTATATGAAGAGTAGTTTACTGAAAACCTTTATTATGGATAATATTTATTGCTATTGAACACGTGCTGAAGCTAGCTTTACACGTGTTTTTAATATTAAACTTCTGTTTTTAATATTTAATCAGGTGTATTTTAATAAAATGCTATAATTACTAATTATAATGCTATAAATATACTAACTCTGGTGTGGTTTATAATCATGGGTGACATCTCCTCATTCCATTTAACAATATTGATTTCGGTTGGATGATACAGGTCTAAAAGCAAGTTAAACATGATATGTTTTAAAAGTCTGTGATAAATCTATGATCATTACTGAGCTGAAATTATTGTTAGTTTAAAGATTTTGTTTAAATTTGAAAATAAGTAAAACAAAATTATAAAGATTTGCCTTATAATTAACGCTGACACGAGATAAGAAAAAAACAGGGGTTCTATTATTCAAAGGTCAGGGTCACGTCTTGTGTAGTGTCATTAACATACAAGTGTGATAATATGTAGAATCCGGTCTATTTAAGGCATCATAGATTCTAAACGACGAGACGTTTTTTTCAATAGATAAGATTATTTTGTAGTCTGATTTGAGGTCGCTATTTATTTTTGTGATTCTGTTTTCATGTTGTACAGATTCGCTGTAATATTGCTAAATAGCTCCGCCCCCGTGTATGTCGATTATCGCGGTAAAAAGTAGTCTATAGCACTCAGGGATAAATATACCTTTCTAACATTGCAATAATTTTCAAAATCGGCTTAGTCTTACCGGAGATTACAACATACAAACTCACTAGCTTTACTTCCTTATATTATTAGTATAGATAATTTAGCTCGACGTAAATCATATATGTTTTGTGACCTTGAGTATAAACAAGCTCTGAATACATAGTATGCATAGACTTTTGGTACGTAATCAGAAATTTAAAAAAAAATTGTAATCGTCGCAAGTTTGCAACAATAAGTAAAGAGATCCAACCAAAGTCATTGTGGGGTGTCACGGTGTCATGGTGTGATGGCGGGTGCAGCTGCGGGTGTCATCGGGCGGCGTGGCGCAGGTGGTGGTGCCGTTCGGCGTGGGCGGCGCTCTGGGCGCTCCGCTGGGCGCGCTGGGCGCTCCCATGGCGCCGCCGCTGGCGCAGGCCTACTACTACGGCGCCGCCGCCGCCACCGCCACGCCCTACGGCATGGGGCTCGACCATGCCACCTTGAAGGATTTGATCAAGAAGCAGATGTAAGTACTCTATAATCGATTATAGTGGTGGTTTAAGCGGTCGCCATGCCGCCTCCTGCGATGAGTATTGTGGGTTCGATCCCCACATGAGACACCACTTTGTGTGATCCACAAATTGTTGTTCTGTGTCTGGGTGGGTGTTCTTTGTGTCCGTTTCATGTATGTTTGTAAGTCCCCTGCGACACAGGTTATATATTCTTAATGCGGGAGTTGTCTTTTTAAACAAAAGAACCCTTCTCTATAGACGAATATGTCGTAATATGTATGTATTACTTTCAAAAAGGTTAACTTACATTCTATATTTAAAATCGGTTGTTGGTCTAGTGGTTAGTGCTCCTGACTGCTAAGCCGGAGGTCGTGGGTTCGATTCCCACCCAGGACAAATATTGTGTGGTAAACATGATCATTTGTTCATTTTTTTTTTTTTTTTTTTTTTTTTTTTACCACATACACACAATGCCATCTAGTCCCAAACTAAGCAGAGCTTGTACTATGGGTACTAGACAACTGATATAAATACATATATACTTTTTTTTTTGTAAATACATACATATTATACATAGAAACACCCAGACCAAATCAAACATCAAATGTTCATGCACACAAATGTTTGACTTGAGCGGGAATCGAACCCGCGACCTTTGGAATAGCAGTCCGTTACACAAACCACTACGCCATCCGGTCGTCAAAAACGTCGTTCTATGTCTGGGTGTAATTTATCTGTAATATGTATGTAAGAATTGAAAAAATATAAGTATGTTTATCAGCAGTCTGGTTACCATAGGACAGGCTCTGCCTAGTTTGGGATCAGACGGCAATGTGTGAGATGTGTGAGGTATATTATATAACATCAAAAAAGCCTCATGATCATCAATCCTTTAATAGTCCACTGTTGGACATAGGCCTCTCCTTAAAAAAGAAGTTTTGAGGAAGACCAAACTGGCCAGACCTGTTGGTCTAGGGTTTCTTTCGAGTTTTTCTTCTCTATGCACTGCTGTTGTCCTGCGTAGTTAGCCTCCTTAGTCGACTTTTACGACACTAACGGGATGAATAGGGAAGGTGACACTCCGTATTCTTAATCCGTGACATCACAAGGTCAATAAAAAGCCTAATAAACTGAAAACAAAACCTAAGTAGTGCATTTTTTCTCGATAACATTAACCAAAACTGTTTGTTTATAAGCAAAAAATTGTAATTATAACTCTCCGTCCACAGCGAGTACTACTTCAGTCCGGACAACCTGGCGCGCGATTTCTTCCTCCGTCGCAAGATGGCCGCGGACGGCACCATCCCCGTGACGCTGATCGCGTCGTTCCACCGCGTGCGCGCGCTCACCCCCGACGTGCAGCTCGTGCTCGACGCCATCCGCGACTCCGACAAACTGCAGCTCATTAATGGCTTCAAGGTAACATCCGCAAAAGTACCTTAAGTTTTTAACAAGGTCTCCACTTTCTGTCGATGGCTTTACATTTTTTGAAATTAAGTATATAACGAGATCATTCTTCAAAGACGAAAAATTACATATAGATGTGTTGGTATTAAAAAATTAAGCGCGAGTTGATCTAACCTAGCATAAAAACTTTGTGTGTGCAATGCAGGATCTGTTAGTTTAGTTTGTATTAACTAGATGGCGCTGAGTGAATGATATGCCTTAGCTTATGTATCATGCAGGGTCTTTTTCAACTTTTTTCTTGAACTTTCTGTCTGATTCAGACTATTCTTTTCAGTGTTAATTTCTTTAACTTTGAAACGGCGTCTGACGATATGGCAGCTGCAACAAAAAATTTTGGGCCCCCTATATTAGCCTAATGTCAATATGTTTAACCAATTTTCTAACAGAATGATTTCCAGGTCCGAACCGCGTTCGAACCGACAAAATGGCCGCTACTGGACATTATGGCAGGCTCAACAAATGCCGAAGAGGAGAAAGAGAAACCTAAAGATGCCGAAGAAAAGCCAAAAGTCCCTGTCGATGGAGTGATTGAAACGAAAATGCCCGAAGAGGCGCCCAGTATAGAAACCGAAAAGAAAGAGAAGACCGAGGATGTTGTTAAAGTAGATGTTAAGAAAGAAGACGATAAGACTGCAGTGGAAAAGACAGAGGTTGGTTGTCTTTTGTTGTGGTGACCCTAACTATTAATACAATGAACACAAAAAGTTGCCCTGTGTGGGAAAACACTTAACGCGGACAGATACTTGGGCATGTTAGTCCAATGGTTAGTGATCCTAATTGCTAAGCCAGAGGTCGTGGGTTCGATTCCCACCTGGGAAATAATTGTGTGATCAGCACCATCATTTGTTCTGTGTCTGGGTATAATTTGTCTATAACAAAGATGGATTTAAAAATATATAAGTACATATATTTATCGGCAGGCTAGTTACCATTGTACAGGCTCTGCCTATGCCTCTATGGATGGGTGACCATTTTTAACACATTCAGAGCACTCCGTGGCTCTGAGAGCACGTGAGCTAGTAGGTTAATCCATTGTGAAGTTAAGCAATCTTAGTCAAATCAGTCTATGGATAGGTGACCATTTTTAACACATTCAGAGCACTCCGTGGCTCTGAGAGCACGTTAAGCTAGTAGGTTAATCCATTGTGAAGTTAAGCAATCTTAGTCAAGTCAGCCTATGGATAAGTGACCATTTTTAACACGTTCAGAGCACTCCGTGCCTTTGAGACGTCCCGGTGGCCATACGAGCATCTGAGGCCCAAGTGCGAGTTTATTTTACATCAACTCGCTCTCGACAGCGAGCGCGTTCGGCGTTGTGATTGGTGTAGATTTCATTGCGAGCCAATCGCAGCGCCGGACGTCACCGTCACCGTGACGGTCGAGTAGATGAGAAATGAACGCACACTTCGCCCTCTGTTAGAAACGTTACGGATACTTGGAGCTCCAAAACTCCAGGTTGTGGTGGTCTGGTGCGGTCGCACCGCGTAAAAAAAAAACAAAGTTCAGCCGGTCGCACTAGACGCCGACCCCAACCAAGTTTGAGAAAAAGATGGATCGGATGAAGAAGTTAATAATATTTTTTTATGGTTCCACAGACAGGAGAAGTTAAGGAAGCGGCTAAAGAATCAGAAATTACGAAGTCCAAAGAAGAGATTAAGGAAAACTCTGTAAAGGACAAGTCTGACAGCACGGACGATCCTCCGCTACAATCAGAGGGGCAGGAGGAGAAGACGGGTGAAAAACGGTAAGATTATGTCTAAGACTAAGCGTATTAATTATATATATACATATATTATAAGTGTTGTACTCAACCCAAGTTTCAGTTAAGAATCTGAAAAGTTACATCCATTGTACTGAATACATGTATACCCAATTTTTTGTAAAATAAATAATTATTATTATTGCACTGTGTTGTGCAGAAATGAATTTGTCCATTAATTGACCAAAATGAAGTATTATCTCTATTTACAATCTTTGAAAAATGAAAAGATTATTATAAAGAAAAGAAATTCGTAATGTATCTCAATTTTTGCATATGTTGATCTTTAAAAGGTATTCAATGTAGATGTATTCGTTTTGCAAACCAGGATTTACTGGAGTAAGGAACTTCTTCAGTAGATCGCCAAGTCAAATCAGTATATTTTTTATTATTAAATGTCAAGACGATAGATGTGATTAATTTTTGTATGAAATATGTGAATCATGTTTTCGCTGGACATAAGCGTCTCCTTAGATAGGAGGTTTTGGTCTACTATACCACGCTGGCCAGACGGGTTTTTCTTTTCTCTGCAATTCTGTTGTTCTGCGTAGTTTTCCCTCTCGGTCAGCTCTTACGACACCCATAGGGGGTGGTGACACGCTGTATTCTTAATCCGTGACCACAAGATAGCAAGAATAGTAATGAGATTGCGGTATATGGACGACGTTTACCCTGTGGATGTATAACGATTCAGGCGCAAGAAGCACATGGTGGGCATCTTCCCTCTGCCGACGATGGGCGGGCCGCTGGTGGCGCCGGTGTCGTCGCTGCTGCGCGCCGTGCCGCCGCCGCCGCTGCCGCGCATGTTCCGGCGCCACCCGCCCGACAACCTCAACCCCGACGTGCCCGAGTTCGTGCCGCGCAGACACGGTCAGACACTCATATACACACACGTTTTGCTAACCCGTTTACGCTCAAAAAAAGCTTCACATTGGAATCGATCATTTTTTTTATTATTTTGTTGAGACTAGTAATTTTGTAAGGAAAACAGAAAAAAACAATGGCACTCCCGGAGTGCCGACAGAAGTGAAAATTCCGACATTATCATAAATCTATATGTTTAAATTATATATAGTTATATTATCAATGAATTTCAACCCAAACCTAACTCTAGTCTAAACGGGGCAAATATATGTAGATACTTATATACAGAGGTGTCGGTAACGGTAACAGTGTCGCGAGTTCAATGGTTTTTCCCATCTCATGAAATACATTGTTTTGTTTGTTGTTTAAATAATGCCCAACGCACCTAAAGAAGTTTTCACTTCAAAACCTAGATTTTGACCGTCCTGGAACGGGGCCACTTTGATCATGAGGTGTAAAAATACTTACAACATACTTTTTGGATGCATAAAGTTTTAGTACACTTTTTGCCATGCTAACCTGGCTTTTCTATGATAAACGAAATATCATAATTGCTAGGCAAGTTTTTGGGATTAGTAGCCTTTTCCATCATACTGCAAACTTAGCACTGCAGGAGGAGTTGGAAGCTAAATTTATCTTTAAGTAAATAGCATCAAACGGTGTACCGAAGAAACTGCTCTTCTCTTTGTTTCTTTAGATATAGGGTGAGGTAGGCACCATGCATTAGCCACGGTTAGTTCCAATGTATACGTGAACAGATCCCATCACCAGTTTTTGAGGTGAAAACTTATATCGATCATCTGATTGATCTGTATACTCATTAAATAATATACTTAACAAGAAATATTGTTTCTGTTTAAATGTGCACTATATGTCCACTGTGTACGACCCACATTGTGGTACATAGTTACTGCGAACTGAGTGCTAAACGAACAGAGTCGACATGGCGTAGACAAGACGGGTGCAGTGTTCACTCGACAAAATATTAATAATATGATAATAATATAATTTTTTATTTTCTCTTAATTTATTATCTATTTTTGTGATTACAGAAGAATGTAACGACAAAATAGAGGGTGGAGACGATAGACAAGGGTCCGGCAATGCTAGTCCTAATTCTGAGAGCTGGACTGAGGTAAGATATTGTAATGTATATACATATATAGATAAACTTAAGCATGAAAAGCTGAGTAGTATGCAGGACCGTATTTGAGCTGTACATGGCCGGGAGTCAGGTACCCTCAAAGTTGTTACTAAATCTGTAAAAAAATCTGCCTTACTTATTTATCATAGTCATTTATATGACTTTTACGTAAGCGTATCCCGGGAGATGAGACTACATGCCTTATTAAAAGAGTCATCGTATGTACTAATATACATTATTACCCAGAATACATAACACTACATGACCAGAACTTCCGCTAAGCAAAACCATCTCAGGAAATAACAACCCTTATTACGGTACAATAAAATGCAATTCAAGTCACCGCTAATCACAATTTTCTTCACTCATCTATCAGACGATACGACGCGTGCCGAGCGGTTGTCTAAGGGTCCCTTTTATATTTTTGAGTGACAATAAAAGTATTAATTTCTTTATTTTTAAATCCTTTGGAGAGGGACCTATAACAGTGCGATCCGGCTGGAACGTGGTATTAAACTTAATTTGCCTGACAAGACGAGGCCGTCACATACTTGTAGCTTTGTACATATAGTGGAAATAGAATAGGAATCTTTTTTTTATGTATGTTCACCAATTAATCCAAGACGCCGGTACCGATTTTAAAAGTTCTTTTTTTGTGTCAAAGGGTATACTTCCCAGGTGGTCCCATTTAAATTTTACCGAAAAGGGCCGAGCGGTTTTTGAAAAAAGTAATAAAAATCTAAACATTGCATACATCGTGATATTTTTGTTTACTACGAAAACCTACCTATTCTTCTATACTAATATTATTTAATTTTTAGTACTCCTTGTTAGTATTGTTTGAAGTCGGTTCAAGATTTTTTTTAAAACCATTTATAAATTCATCATCATCATCAACAGCCTTTAATAAACCACTGCTGGACATAGCCCTCTCTTTAGAAATAAGGTTTTGTCCTACTATACCACGCTGGCCAGACGGGTTGGTACAGGGTTTGTGTCAAGTTTTCCTTCTCCCTGCAGTGGTGTTGTCCTGCGTAGTTTGCTTCCTTAGTCGGCTCCTACGACACCCACGGGATGAATAGGGGTGGTGACAGTCCAGCTTACGTACAGCTTTACGGCATTTATAACAGTATATCATTACACTATTCTAACCTTAACATACTGTACCTGCAGGTGAAGCGCCGCAACAAAGCGGGGTCCCGCGAGCGGTCCGGGGGCGCTGAGACAGAGTCCCCCGCCGGGGAACCGAGGGAGGAGTTGCATTTCCAACTCGACGAGGAACTGGATCTGCCTCCACCTCGACAAAACACATTCACTGATGCCTGGTAAGTCTATCCCTAGAGACAACAGAAAGTAGCGTTTTGACTTTGACAAGGAACCAGCCCAGCTGCAAGATTTAAAGGCAGACAAGCAGCAGGGTCAGCTGACGGTAACTACTGCGGCCAATGGTCACCTTCAACTGAGTCACAAGTGCGTTGCCACGGTTTGAGTCTCCCCCGGGTTTACTCCGGTAACCCACACCTACTCTGTGAAGAGCAACGAAAATAATGCCTAACGCTGATGGCCATAACTAGTTAACCTGCGGCTGTATTTTCATTTGTTTTTATTTATTTAATTGGCTTTAATTGGCTAACATTTCACGAGCCTGTTGGTCTAGTGGTTAGTGACCCTAACTGCTAAGCTGGAGGTCGTTGGTTCGATTCCTACCCAGGACAAATGTTGTGTGATGAACACGGTCATTTATTTTGTGTCTGGGTGTAATTTATCTATAATAGGTGTAATGTATTTTGAATTATATGAGTATGTTTATCGGCAGTCTGGTTACCATAATAGTACAGGCCCTGCCTAGTTTGGAATCAGACGGCCGTGTGTGAGATGTGTGAGATATATTATTATTTGCATTTATTGTATCTCTACATAAAGAATTACATGACCTGACTGACTGATTCATCAACGCAGAGCCTAACCCCGCGGGCTACAAACTTGAAATTTCGTCAGCTAAGAAAGAAATTTTGGCAATTTCACCAAAGGGGTAAAATAAGGGCTGAACGGTGGTATCGAAGTTCGTCATTTTCAAAGTTAGATACACGAAGTAAAGAATAAAGAAGAAGCGAAGCCACGGGCAATAGTTAGTTAGTTAATATGTTACCAGAGTGTAATGACACGTTCCTGTGCAGGTCCGACGAGGAGTCAGACGCGGAGTTCACGGACCGCGACGTGGGCCGTCTGCTCATCGTGACCCAGACCGGCGCGAGGGCCCCCAAACACGATGGACACGACCGACAGGGCGACTGGACCACCAGGACCAAGATCACACAGGATCTCGAAAAGGTATGTACTAGACTCCTTCACTTCTTTACACGTATCAATGTCTTTCGTTATGTGGTATACTTATGTCAAGTAACGACTTGTGATGTCACAGGTCGGTAATATGCATAACTTTTGGTTTTATTAATGTAAAATGTTAAGTCGTGGCGTCGCGGGTCGTCCGGTAGATGTGAAACATTGAAATGGTTTTATAGGTATAATGAGTGTAAAAAAATTGATAGGCAAAAAAAAATTGTAGTAAACAATATGTGCAAAATGAGGATGATATATACTCAAGATTTGCTCTACTTGTAAATCATCGTCCAACATATCGTGGCGATGAATGCCGTGGCGACGCGTTGCCACGCCAACAACCGGTCTAATGCGGAGGGCGTTAGATATTTCACAACAAAAATATTAAAATAAATTATAATCATCAATTTTAATTCTTAGCTACATTATTGAAATACGGTCTGTTTGATGTACATATATAATTAACTCATTGGTGCTTCTGTATTTATGAAACTGTACAGGAGTGCTACTGCATTAAATTTTTCTATTTAATTATGTACTGCACTATATGTCCACTGTGTACGACCCACATTGTGGTACACAGTTACTGCGAACTGAGTGCTACACGAACAGAGTCGACATGGCGTTCCGTATTGTTGCTTGTAGACAAGACGGGTGCAGTGTTCACTCGACAAACTATCATTTTTATATGTTTTTAATGAGTTAGGTGGCAAACATTTAAAATTAAAAATTAATTTGTAAATATAAAAATATATCACAACCAATCTATGAACCAGCAACCAAATGTGTGTTGGGGTCCTTACCTTCCTTCGACTGCACGGATGGCGTGGTGGTTTCAGCGGTCACCTCGCCGATTCCTACTATGGGTTCGATCCCCACATGGGACGACACTTTGTGTGATCCACAGATTGTTGTTTTGAGTCTGGGTGTCCTTTGTGTCCGCATCATGTATGTTTAAAGACCTCGCGATACAGGATTTATTCCTAGTGCCTTTTCTGTCTTTAGAAAAATAAACCAGTGGCGCGCTTAAAACACGTCGCGGCACCGTCGGTGCTTCTTCTAGGGTAATGTGACTGCCAGGTCCTAGCGCTAAAGGAGATATCTGTTGCTTAAATTATTTTCTGGCGACAGAAGACAGTGTTAGCGCGGTCCCGTAGTATTCACACCCAGTCTACATGTGCACCCATTGATAGGACTCCCACAAACACTAAAATTATAAAGGCGAAAGTTTGAGAGTGTGTATGTTACTTCTTCACACTCAAATGGCTAAACCAATTTTGATGAATTTTTTTAAGGAGGTAACTGACACCCTGGATTAACACAGGCTATGAGCAACTAATTGAAATACGTTAAAATTGAAATACGTTTAATGTATCTCATAAATCACGGGTAACACCGATGTGCACAGCTAGTTTAATCTAAGATTTAAACATTTGTAATTATTATTTTTTTAATTCTTTTTAGGTTATAACCGACGGCCTAAGACGCTATGAAGAAGACCTTTGGAACGATTCCGAATACACTTCGGTAAGTAACAGATCGGTAAGTGAACAAACTTTTTTATATTTTTAATCACTTTATCACCTCATCACCCTCATCACCTATATATACAACTACAACTACTAGTTAGGATTTTTAGTGGTATACAAAGCCATAGTCAAAATGGCTGGACCGATTTTGATAATACCAGTTATCTGCCTAATAAAGGAGTAACTTAGGCTATTGTTTCACTTGGAAAAACCTTAGCAAATTTTGCCCGGTCTGGCGTCATGGACACTGCAAGTGCGTACCATACTACACCACCAAGGCACCGCGAGAAGAATTTTGAAAGTTGTTATAGCTTTTAGGGTTTTTTCCCGCATAAGTGAAAGAGTTTATTTATCATCATCATCATCATTTTTGATATTAAATTCCTAGTCACTAATATTTAAATATATTTTATATCGGACCAGTAGTTCCTGAGATTAGCGCGTTCAAACAAACAAACAAACAAACTCTTTAGCTTTATAATATTAGTATAGATTAAATTCATTTTTCTAAACATTTGACAAAACAGATTTTTACTATTGTGTGTGTTGATCTATGACTATAGAGTCTAAGACGATTTCAAACATTAAAAAAAAAATACAATTTAAATATCGTTTACATTGATTCTTATAGCGTAACTTCATTAAAACATTGACACGTAGACAGAATAATAACAGTAATCGTGTGTGGTGTTTGCAGTCGTACGGCAACCAGCAGCAGTACCGCACGGTGTCGCTGATCTCCCGCGAGCAGTTCGAGGCGACGGTGCCGGCCGAGCGCCACGCCAACCCCGCCGAGCCACCGCCGCCGCCGCCCCGCCCCGTCAGTACCACTTCTCTTCTCTCATCTTCTTTCAATCTCCGCAAGCCAGAGGTCGTGGGTTCGATGCCCACCCGAGACAAATTCTTGTGTGATGAGCGTAATCATTTGTTCTGTGTCTTGGCGTAATGTATTTCTGATATAAATGTATTTTGAAACAGTACAGTATGTTTATTAGCAGTCTGGTACCATAGTACATGCTCTGCCTGGTTTGGGATCTGATGGCCATGTGTGATGTGTGGGAATTATTATTATTATAAAACACAGTATTTCAGACAGTTTGCTATTCGTTTGAATAGTATTTCGTATTAGTAGATTTCCATATTCCTCGATGTGGAAAATGTAAAGTAAATAGATTTGTAACATGTATGTCTGTGCGTCAGGTGGAGAGTCAGGCGGAGAGCGCGGCGAAGTCTTCGAAGCGTCCGCGACGCACGGCGCGGTTCTACGCGGCCAGCAAGGACCCGCACGCCACTGACGTCATGTACGTACACTTTATCACAACAAAAGCACTATTTAACCCCAACCCCTCCCCCCCCCTTTCTGCCCACTTCTTCCTCTCAAGCACCACTCGAAACGATGTGAAAAACATATTTAATGACTCATGCCAGATTCGATAATTTGTGTAAATATATACATTTTATTTTTTAATAAGTACCCTGCCAAACTTCACTGTGGCACATTGTACTTGCATTGATGTGAGATAAAGAACATAATAGATACGGAATATATAAAAATAATCCTTGAAGCATATTGTAAATTGTGTCAAAATTTGATCTCACTCAGTGCAGAACTTTTTGAGTTTTTGAAGCAAACACGAACCAACTTACCATTTATAAATATATATATAAATAGATGATTATACTTAGATATATATAATTGAATAAACCTGATTGTGTAATAGATATTATATACCTTTGAAATGCCTGACGTTATGACCAGGTTGCATTGACTCCATTCTAAACTTACCTTAATTATTACTTTCGACAGTGTATCTCGCAAGCACAAGACCCGGTATAGCCTGAACCCACCGGTTGAACACCATGTGGGATGGATCATGGACATACGCGAGCACAGACCGAGGACACAAAGCACTGGGTAAGTAATTATCACAAAACTAGCGATTACTTTGATGTACAGGGCGGTTAAGAGGTCTTCTTCAAAGTTAATAATGAGTCTTAAATGATGAGAAGCAGGTCCAGGTAGAGTATATTCGTTTTCTAATTGGAGTTCATAAGGCTTAACCCCTTGGAAACGGGCGGTTGTAGATGCGCACAGGCATATAATGGATTGGGTTCATTTTGATAAATATTTGACAAAACAGATTGTTTTTATTGTGTGTTGATCTATAACTTTAGAGTCATAAGGCATTTTAAATAATGTTTTATATTTTTATGAAATAGGGATATTTTTTTGACTTGTATTATAAAAGTTAAATTGACTGATAGAATAATTAAATCTTTTTTCCTATTAAACCCATAAATCATTGTAAAAAATATTTCATCATCATCTCAGCCGAAAGCTGTCTACTTCTGGACATAGGCCTAAGAGTTAGATTGAGAGAAAAATATTGACATAAGAATATTTATTTAATTTATTTTAAGTCAATATTTTTTGACTAAAATTGATTGACAAATTTTGATGACAATTGTTGATTGACGTTAAGTTGACACATGACAGTAACTGTACATATCCCACCAGGTCGTCTCTGGGCACGTCCCCGACTCTGGGGTCGTCGTGCGGCTCGATGGGCCAGTCGCTGCCCACCTTCCACCACCCCAGCCACGGCCTGCTAAGGGAGAACCACTTCACACAACAAGCCTACCACAAATACTACTCGCGCTGTCTCAAAGGTAAGGACATACATATTGTACAAAGCTATTTGAATATACAGAAAGTATGCCTTTTATAGTGACTGGTGAAAACACTGGCACTCTGGGAGTACCTACAGAAGTGAAAACTTATATACAGAGGTGTCGGTAACGGTAATAGAGTCGCGAGTTCAATGGTTTTTTCCCATAAAATGCATTCATTTGTTTGTTGTTCGAAAATCCCCAACGCTCTTAAAGAAGTTTTCACTTCAACAAGTATACACCGTGAAAGGGCTAAGCCTCCGCACGAGTGGGCCGTCTCGAACGGAGTGATGACACGTCACAAGAGCTTCAAAGGAAATTCAGCCAGAATCAGGGGGAGGAGGTTTGTTACCTCTTTCAGTTACCCATTTCCAATTCAGTTACATCATTTATTCAGTGAGACTAAAGAATTGCTGAACGAACACTGGATTTCTGTGAGGCCGTGATATCAACAAATATTCAACTGTGGGTGCAGGAGATAGGGACTTTTCTCGTGTGTGGGTGCTGCAAGGAATGTATTGACGGTGATCGGTGATGGCCCTGTCTCTTTCTGTCCCGAGTTTTATTCCATACACGCGTCCCTCTCGGCGACGCAATTCCTCCTGAGATGAGGACCTGTTGCTGAAGTATGCTTCTCCCACGGTAGCACGTTGAGCCAATCCCTAGTTAAATTATAAAATTTGCACTCACCTCGGTATACGAACTTCCTATTCTGACACAAAACCGATGAACGTTCGATGAACAGAGTCAATCTTGAGACGCTGCCCAAAATAATTTTTAATGGTATCACTATACCTGTTTGTCGATCGGTGAAAGACCTAGGCTTACAACTCGACTGCACCCTGAACTGGCGCGATCAAGTCACGAGGGTTACCGGCATTCTTAGAACATTATATCGCCTGAAAAATTTTCTTCCCGTGAAAACTAAGACAGCGCTCGTGCAATCTCTTATCTTCCCTTTAATCGACTACGGTGACGTGTGCTATTATGACCTGAATGCAGATCTTCTCAACAAGCTAGATCGTCTCATCAATAACTGCATTCGATTCATCTTTAATCTTCGTAAGTATGACCTTATCTCCGATTTTCGTTCCCAACTAAGATGGTTACCTATTCGTCAACGCAGGAAAATGCGCGCTGCGGATGCGGAAAATACTTATTTAACAACACAATTTCAATTGTTATGCAACAACCACAACAGAAACCTTCGTTCGGCCAACAATCTTCTTCTACTCTGTCCTTCTCACACCACTGGGTTTGTCGGCTCTTCGTTCTTTGTCCAGGCTGTCCTGCTATGGAATGCGCTTCCTCACGAAGTCAGGATGGCTACAAATCGGTACTCTTTTAAGACGAAAGTGAAAGAGCTATTGCTGAGCGAAATGGCAGATTCAACGAGCTCCTAGTTCATCGGCTAAATTTTTTATTTTTTTTTATTTTTCTCATATATATATGTGTATGTGTATATATATATGTATATATTTATGAGTATGTATATGTATATATATGTGTATGTGTGTGGTAATCCGACGTATACACCAAATTCCAAGATAGTTGGTATTTAACAAAACCACTATCGCTTATACCCTACCATAAATGCACCTACCTCATTCTTTCTCAGCACCGCCCAATCGGTCGACTGGCAGAGAATGCCTTAGGCATTAAGTCCGCCGATGCATGTACTTGTGCAAAAAGTTAAAAAATAAAAAATAAATAAATAAAAAAAAAACCCCCAGACTGCACTGGCGTAGTGCTTTGAGCCGTCACGTCATTATTAAAATACTGTCGGTTTGGTGTACATATATATTCTGTATTTATGAAACTGTACAGGAGTGCTACTGCATTAAATTTTTCTATTTAATTATGTACTGCACTATATGTCCACTGTGTACGACCCACATTGTAGTACATAGTTACTGCGAACTGAGTGCTACACGAACAGAGTCGACATGGCGTTCCGTATTGTTGCTTGTAGACAAGACGGGTGCAGTGTTCACTCGACAAACTATCATTTTTATGTTTTTCACTTCCTACTGCGCTGCGTGTTGTGTGATTCATAAATTGTTGTTCTAAGTCTGGGTGTTATTTGTGTCTGTTTGAAAAGTCTACACACACACACACACTACACAGTTTTAAAAACAAAAAAAAGATCTAACTTCTACTAACACAAAAAACCTTTACTATCATTATGCAAGTAGGTAATAAAGATATCCACCATTATTTTTTTTCAAAAAAAGCATACCATATGATGTCATAATTGGTGTTTGTCATTTTCAGAGCGCAAGAAGCTGGGCATCGGACAATCGCAAGAAATGAACACCCTGTTCAGATTCTGGTCTTTCTTCCTACGGGATCATTTCAATCGCACCATGTATAATGAATTCAGGTGATTTTATTTATTTCTTAAAGGATTTAGAAAAGATATTCCAAGACAGTTTAACTTTTCCTGAGACTTACCAAGTGTCCTTGGTGTGTTTGTGGGTCACTGCTGTTGATTCTGTGGTGTACAGGAGTTACAGTAGTGAGCGTGTGGCAGGGAGTAGTCCTACGAGTTTCAATCCAATCAACCAGACACTCCTAGTGGGATAATTTTCAATTTTCTGTATCTAATGCATAACAAAAAATCTAACAACAATTTGTCGGATATGGAATTTGAACCCAGGACTTCAGTTGTGAAAGTGCGTACTTTTTGACACCAAAGTAGCTGCCACAGGTTAATATATACACGGCCCATATCCCTAATTAACTTTGATCATGACCAAATAATTTTTCATTATCAAAAAATTAATTACTGATATATAAAACAAACTATAAGATTATAAATGCAAATTTGTTCGTTGGCTATCAGCTGGTGAGTACGGTCTTTATAGAGGAAATGAGTATAACTCATGTTAATAAAATAATATCCGTCCGTACTTGCTTGCAGTCAGTCGACCATTGTTTTGTTTTTAATATTTGTATGTGCGACAACCCTAGCCTAATATGGAACACCTTAAAACAGTTTGCCATTATGAAGACCCTTGAATGATCCTGTAAGAATGAAGTCAACCACTAAGAACCATTTTTTAATTCAGTTCTTTATTGATCTATCAACAGGACGCTAGCCAACGAGGACGCTTCAGCTGGCTTCCGTTACGGATTGGAGTGTCTGTTCCGTTTCTACTCTTATGGACTGGAGCGGAAGTTCCGTCCGGAGTTATACCAGCACTTCCAGATTGAGACAATGGCTGACTACGAGAAAGGTAATCATTTTGATCATAATATTAATTTCAAGCATCTGTCATAATACTAACGTACGCAAAACGTAGATTATGCCATACCCTGCACCGTCTTCTTCTTCCTAGCCTTTTTTCCTGAACTATGTTTGGGGTCGGTCCCTGTAACACGAAACAAAAAAATTCTGACGACTCGAAGACGTCAGACTCAGTGAAATATATAAAAAACTAGCTGACCCGGCAAACGTTGTATAGCAAAACAAAAAAAAATTAGGGATGGGTCACCCTTACCATTTAGGGGTATGAAAAATAGATGTTGGCCGATTCTCAGACCTACTCGATGTGCACACAAAATTTCATGAGAATCGGTCAAGCCGTTTCGGAGGAGTACGGGAACGAACATTGTGACATGAGAATTTTATATATAAGATAAATCAGATTAAAAACAATGAAGAACCACCTATCATCATACTGATTCCAACTAGGAATTTAAACTATGCGTGGATTGACACGATAGATAGCACTAAAATTTGTTTAAATATTAAGTAGGTGGTCAGTGTAAATGAATCAATATGTGTATGAATTAGCTTTATAAAAAACTTTAAGTAATAATTTAATTTAGCGTTAGTCACCTCTTGGCATTTACTGTTTATAATCTGTATTTATATTTACGAAGCTATTACCTTATACAAGTATAATAGGATGTCAGGTTCATAATATGTATGTTAAAACGCTACCATTCGTGTTACATAATCCATTCGTGCAAAGAGTTTTCATGTATTAATATACATATGTTTAAAATCAGTAAATATGTTTGTTTATCTACGAGCAGGTCAACTATACGGCTTGGAGAAATTCTGGGCTTTCCTGAAATATTACAAACACGCTGGCGCCCTGCAAGTGGACCCCAAACTCCAGGGATACCTATCCAAGTTCAACAGCATTGAGGACTTCAGGGTTTTAGAGGTATGTGGTTGATGATCGATTCAATTGGCATTAAATTGATTTTTTCTTTTGAAGAATTAAGGTTTATTTAGAAATATATAAATGTTTTGCAGTTTGATTACTATAGTAAATACTCTGCCTAGTTTGAGATTAGATAGTGTGTGTGATGTGTAAAAAAATAATTAGGGATAATGTAGAACACATTGCAGTGAGATAGAGATTTTGTTAATTTAAGAGAAGAACCGGTTTAATTTTTTTTTTCAATTATACTGGCATTGCATTATTGCCTTCTGTAACATTAAGTGAAACTTGGAGTGTTCGTTTGTGTATATACGGAGGTATTTTAAAGTTCCCGTTTGATCATTTCGTAGCTATCGTTACGGTGAAATAAAACGTCGTTACAAAATAATCGACACATAATTTAATGTCTCGAGTGAGAGTGTTGGCGGCGATCCTCATTTGTGCTGTCGCTCGTCGCGACCCTCTTTCGGATAGACCCCTTGGGTTTTTATCATATCTCGGGTCATATCATGCCTCGGTGTAAGTGCTCGGCGAGTCGTAGAGATGTGAGCTGTCGGTGTGTCCACAGCCGCAGCTGAACGAGCTGCTGGCGGCGCAGGGCGCGCAGGCGCCGGGTCGCGGGCCGCACGCACGCGCCTACGACCGCACGCGCTCCGTGTCCGAGTCCGACCGCGCCGCGCATCACCACCACCACCGCGCCGGCAGGTACGTCACACCCGTACGCTTGTAAAGCAGCGTCCACACTATGCCGGGCGAGGCCGAGCGGGCTGACCCGGGCGGCCTAAGCCGGGTTGGTGTGGACGCCCTGGGCGGCTTAAAAAGCCGGCCCGAGCCGAGCCGATCCCAACCCGCAGAAAGTAGGTACAGATCAAAGGATGCCGGCCCGAGCCGAACGAAAATATGTAGTGGGGACGTGCCGAGCGGCACCGGGCGGCTTTAGTTGTCCAGTCTTGGTGTCGAATTGAAACTAATAGGTAGATATAACCCGGGCGGCCTCGTTTTCGGTGTGGACGTCGTGCCGGCCCGAACGAACCCGCCCGGCTTAGGCCGCCCGGGTCAGCCCGCCCGGCCTCGCCCGGCATACTCCGGCATAGTGTGGACGCTGCTTAACGTTCTGCCGTCTGTCGTGTAACTAACGCAGTGTTGTGTTCGCCAGCGCCCGCACTCAGTTCACGTCGGTGCAGTCGAGCGGCAGCCGCGGCCGCGCCGGCTCCTGCGGCGCGCAGAGCGTCGTGGCGCACGCGCGCGCTCGCCGTTAGTATACACCACCACACCACACCGCCACCACACCACACCACCACACCACCACACTTACACTAGAGATCAACAGGACTATAGATTAACCACACGAGCCCCCTTCCCTACGCGTCCGTGTAGCCCGCAGACGGGAACTCGATGCAGCGGTTTATCTATATCGTTCATTATTTACCAGTCCACTGCTGGACATAGACGTCTCTCTTAGAAAAAAAGTTTTAGCTTACTATATAATAATTATAATTAATTATATAGTAAGCCAAAATCAATTAATTATTACTATTACCATAAGAATATTGTAAAACATACATTCAAATAATCCGAATAACCAAGGTTTCAATGGTCGAGTCTTCTATGTACAATAATAGAAAAAACCTTTTTATATTATTTTTTTCATTTAATACTTCATGCTCAAATTTAAATTGTACAATGGCGGACTTAATGCCTGAGCCATTTTCTCCCACCTTTGTGATGGGGGAATGTCTGACCAGATACACTAGATACTAAGTGGTTTGTTTTAAAGAGAAAATAATAATTAAGAACATGGACAGAAACAGTGGAATAGATGTACATAGGAATATACATACATACATATACATACACGCATATATACTACATATATATTCCTTCATATATTACCATCTTTATTGATACAACCATATTTTTTATATTAAAACACAAATAAGTGTTTTTATGTCATTCTAGTATAGCTAAGTAGTTTGTTTTCTTTTCAATAAATAAAGTACACTTACAGTAAATTATATTATATATATACTGTACAGCTTTTTATATACTAGTAGAAATCCTTAGTCACAAATATTTTAACTAGCTTCAAAATAAACAGGACTTTTTCCTTTTCAACTCTGTCACATATGTAGTCCCTATGTAGTCACAACACATGTTATTAATAAAAATATTATCTCCCCCGCAGCTTCACCTAAAACGAAGCAAGAAGAAGTGAAGTCAGTGGCCGCCAAACAGTGATACCCGATTGTACATAATATTGTTAACATTGTGACAAAGTGCGGTGTGCTTAAATAAATTAGGAACTTGTATGCATTTTGTTATATATTATTGATAGTGCTCGGACACTGCTAGTGATAGTTATGTGTATGGCGATACAGGATGTTTGTGGACGAAGCCTGGGTAAGTTGAACACACCATATATTATCTACATTAAGTACACATAAGTAATATTTACTCTGTACAAGTATTTTAGGAAGATATTTTAAGCCCCTCCCCGGTGGCTGTCACTAGTCTATTTAGATATTGTGACGTCACGTATTTTCATTTGAAACTAGTTATTGTACGCGGCTTCACTCTCGTGATTATTTCTTTGATGAAGATGACGAGCCCCCTTAGGCGTTAAATTTTCAAAAATCCTTTCTTAGTGGGTGCTTACAGCATAAACAGCATATCAGCTGCTAAAATATTATGTTTGTAGTTTAATTTCTAAAACACACGACAAAAAAGAAAAAAAAAATACAGGTTTCAGCCCTGTGCCAGAAACATACTGTTTGAAATCGCATGATGTGGCAACACTGGCTACGTGGCACTTACCGCATCAGCCTCACTGGCACTCACGTGTCAAGTGTATGACGTGGCTACAGCTCGTTTTTTTTTGTCACTTAATACTTTTGTTGCGATTAATCCGTTACGTTAGTGAAAGATGCGTCGTGTATCAGAAATTTAGATGGGCACTCAGCATACACTGAGATGGGTATAACCAACCCCAGTACTGATTTTTAGTGCCAACCACGAGTGTCACTTGAGCTCGTCGAGCGATATTACCCGATTATTTTGCTTATCAACTAATATCAAGAAATAAAAACACTAAAACTCAATGATAAAAACTAAGTACAGGTAGATATATCAAATTTATTTAAATCAAATCAACATCCAACTAAGACTTTTTACAAAATAAACTACTAATATGAAACTCATAAATAAAATGAATATTTCAATTTAAAGAAACTGAAAATCATACTTACGGAAGGGACTTTGGAGTACGATCTTACACTAATCTTGTAGTTAAAGATATTTAGAGGAACTCAAAGGCACATGTGCACTGAATGTCCACTGTGTACAACATACAATGTGGTACACAGTTACTGCGAACTGAGTGCTAAACGAACAGAGTCGACGTGGCGTTCCGTATTGTTGCTCGTAGACAAGACGGGTGCAGTGTTCACTCGACAAAATAATTTTATTCAGATATAATTCTGTATACTTGACCAGTTAAATTGATATTTAAAAGATTAAAAAACACTTTCAAACACATTAAAAAGCCCTGTTATCGAGGAATACTTGAATTAAGCATTTCTTTACAGTGTACTCTCTCTCTTTTTGTCTCACTTTCATTTAATTAATATATTTTTCTCTCTCTTTCCAGCTTATATGCATCGACAATAAGCAACGCAGCGCTAAACTACACGCATATATAAACAGTTTTGACATCTTATATAATTAGTGTAAGTATGTACTATCATATAATATATATTTTTGACATTGTATAGAGTATTAGACGACATCCATCTTGAATCAGTAATAAAATTCAAAATGAGATAAAAAAAAACAAGATTCGTTTCCTGTCGTAGTCTTTGGTAGGTTTAAGTATTTTAGCTGTGGCAACATTGGTGCTGCGACATCGACAATCCTCGCATTTTTTTTTGACCCGTTTCGATTGTTGAAGGGGTATGCTCGAGTTTCCTCAGGTGTAGCTATATAACATTTAAATATTATTGTGTTTATTGTCTGTGTACATTTTTTTTTCAATATATCTGAATGTTAATATTAGAACTTGAAGGGAAAATATTGCTTGCCTAAAGTGTCGTATCTTGTTAATTGATAAGTGAAGGTGAATGCTTAACCTCAGGTGCGTCGTGTTTTGTATCATCTCGTCTAAAAGCCAATTCTTAATATTTCAATGAGTAACTTTGTTTTTTCTATCATTATACCATAGACATTTTACATACCAAATTAGTAGAAATCGTGAGAATAATTTTATGTATACTAAAATTAATTTACAAATAAAAAAAAAAAAATTCAACTTTTCGATACAGATTGTACATAAATTGGTAATTAGTTATATATAAGTGTATTCTCGTATCACACTCGAGTGATCTTCGAGTAAATTGATTGAGAATGTTAACTCGAGCGTACTCACTTTGCATCGCTAACTCACAGGATCTCTAGACGTATGAAAAAAGTAGACTGTTTGTGAGTTCTAAAAAGCGATAAAATTCTTTTTTCTTTTTGTTGTAAACTTTTACAGCGTAGAGCGGTCTCATAGTTCTTGAAGAAACAAAATTGTAAAAATATAATAATTCAAATATATAAAGAATGATGTATAATTGTCGGAAAGACTGGAATTTTACAGCAGACGCGCGAGAATATTTCGATATACGACTGTTTTAAGATTGTTACTCGGGGAATGATTTATAAACTTAATATTATAATATGTAGTGTTAATTGTGGGCCGTCGTGTGTATGGTTAGATGGACGATTCTGTCGTATATGATAGGTTAACGCAAAACTAAGTGCGCGAGATGAATAAAATAGGCTGGATAAAAAATTGATTACTATACATGTTTATTATAATTATTTAATTTCAATAAATTACTCAAAATCGTAGCCTTTTCATTCTATCTATTGCATGCATTTAACTATTATATTTGGTTCTACTTAGCTTCAAAAAATTCTTTAGAGACGGTTTATCGATTATACCTGATTTTTAAGAGTTAATATTGGATCTCGTTTTACACGTTTTCCAATACGGTTCTAAGTGTTTTTATTTACCCAGCAGTTTTTATTCATCTCTTTTTATGTAGATACTTTAATTTTGCAATAACCGTAATGATATATTATGCTGCTATATAACAAAAATTAAACATAACAGAATCGTATTGTCTTGTGACGCCATATTACTTATTTTTAATATAATTTTGGTACTTTACGGTCCTCACTGCCACTTTATGTAATGATATTGAGCACACAGTAACTTTAGAACGTGCCTGTTTTGATGTGCAAACGAAATGGTAACATAATTCAAGTGTCAAGAATCTAATTTATCGTTACGAACGTGTCATCGACTGAACAGACTGTCATAATTCAATACGACAGTTCATTACAAGCAATGTCAGATCTCTAGTTGACTCAGACTGTCAGATCTGACACTTTGTGCCTATTGATACGTGCTCACTTGCACGTGTGAGATTTATAAAGATTTTAGATAAATATAAATTTATTTAAAATTAATAATTGTTCAATGAATGTGTTCAAGATTTAATGAACCAATTGTCGTATTGTATTTAAGTCTGATATTATACTAATGTATTAAATAAAATATCTGAGTCAACAAACCTAGAAAGACCAACGAGTTGGATTCACACATTGTCGTAGCATTGCGGATATAACCGTCGTGGTGGCAGTCCAAAGTTCTGAAGCAAAATGTCTTGGTGCTATTTAATTAATTAAATTACCATTTCGTCTCCAACTCAAATCGGAACGATTTTTAATAAGTTCTCTCAAAAGGTATTCATAATAATTATAATAATTGAATGAAATGCTTATGTTCACATAACCATTTTGTATAATCTGATAATATATGCATATACTTTATTTATTACTATATCATAAATAAAGCTTAGCAAAGTATGACAAAAACATAAAAACAATAATCCCTATTCCATTTCAACTGATTTCCTAACTTATTATTCTCGAGTCTGTCTCTTTTTGTAACTTTGTGTAACCTTTGGTTAGAATATCTTTATCATTGTTTGGTCTCTAAATTGAATAAATAAGTTATGCGAAATTTAGTCATTCTTCATATAGCGAGTATGTCTTAGTACATTGTCAAAAATTTATAGTTTCAAGTGATCTATTGGTTATACTAAAGGGCAGGATTTATTAAAAAATCGTTTCGGAACGGCCATTATCACTAACTTGCTCAAGATTTTTTTTTACGTATGAGAGTGTATTCACTGTATTTTACTGAAGATTATTATCCAAATTGAAAAGAATTGTCAGAGCTCTGTCTTATGAAATATTTCTTTTTGTCACCTAACTGCCGCGGTTAGTGGATCTCACTTTTTTATGAACATAAGGTATCAATGTCATATAAACACAGTGTCATAAATAATAAAGAAATTGTCGTATTCCTGATAAGTTATGTACAAAATCCTTCTCACTCGTATACTACATGTCGTTAATTTACGACGTTTAGTTTATATTTCCTCACGATGTTTAGTTTATATTTCCTCACGATATTTATCCAATTCTTGCCACCCTGTAACGATTTATCAATTCGGATAATAAACTTCTCCTACTTTAATACTTTATAATATGTAAAACTTGTATATGATTATTTGATGTGATGATGTGTGGAAATGGTTCTTTTCATTATTTTTTTTAGTATGTAAGTGTGCTTTTAATTTTTTTTGTGTGCAGTGCTGTCGTGGTGTGTGCGTTTTGTTATGTAAAAAAAAATGTATACTCATATTAGTCAAATATGGCTGCTTTTTATCGATTGAAGTCATTTTTTTTTGTTTGAAATTGTTGATTTTTGATGAAAATAAATATGTGTATTTAATATGGTCAGTGTATATTGTTCGCTAAACAAACACAAGTTTATATAATTATTATATAGCACATTCTATACAACAATATTCTATTTAATTTATTAACCAACTTTGTAACTCTCGCGGCAAACTGACTAAGAGGTGTGAAAATTATTTCAAGATAAAAAACGAAAATTGTACATCAAAACGTTTTTTAGACGAAACAAGACTGACAATTTGACCAGTTACGGCCGCATATACCACGATTACACCACACTAGCTCTTTAATAATATATATACCTACGTTAGGATTATAGTATATAAATAATGATACGTCTAGCTACTCTTAGATCGCTTCTGACAGACAAAATAGTTCCTATACGATAATTATTATATTTTTTTTAAGTTCTACTCAAATCAACATGACACAGAGACTTTATTTTTTTGGTATTTTAGTCAATCAAAAATAAGCTTGAAAGCAGTTTTAAGACGACTTGAAATACCTTTGTCTATCTGAGTCATTAAAAAGACAGCGCAAATGAGAATATTTTTTAAACGTTGTCATATGGAGGTATTGTAAGGAGTTTAAGTTTTATAAGTGGGAGGTTTCTGTGTCATCCAAACAACCATGTTTCGTTTGCCGTCCCAAACTTTAGACGCCTAATGAACGTTAGCCAATAGATGAATACCGACGGATAAATTTTGTATTTATGCGTAAAGTTGTAATGAAGCGATCGTGAGCTGATGGTATCGTATTTATACGTATTCGCGGTAAATTTAATAATTTGAATGTTCGTTCACACTAGGCGAGTAAGTGCCACAAGACAGTGTATGAGAACTCATATTAATTTTTATGTAACTCAAAATTGATTTTAGATATAAACATCAATAATAAAATAAATATAATGATATTATTTATCACAAAATCACTTTGTTCATTTAATTTTTTGTTTACGATAACATGTCATTCATTACGCATGCGTATAAATACGACGCTGTCAAATTCTGGCGGGATATTTTGTTAAGTTGTTTTTTTAAGTTAATTTGTTGCAATTTTCTTTTCTCCTAAAATAAGTGCGCCAAAGGTGGTTAATACGTGAGCAGAAGCGTAGTAATTATTGTATAAATGAAAAATATACAAAAAAACTTGCTAATACTTAGGCTTGGTAATGTAAAAGTAAGTGTATCTCCCTTGCGAGGTGGATGTGTTACTTTCGTTTTTAAATATTAAACGTTAAAAAAAATAAAAATGTTTTTTATTTTACTGTATCTATGAAATATGTGTTCTAAAAAAATATCACCTAAAATTAAATTTTGAACGAAAGTAAGACCTCCATTTTGATTTCATTTTTTTTCAGGAAAGCAATTGGTTGTTTGTAAATTAAAATATAAAAAAAAAATTAAAGTAGATTGTTTTTGAAGTTAGTCAATGTAGGTAGGTTAGTTTCGAAATTAAGTAATAAAATGATTTTGTATCGCTGCGGCGCGAAGGTGTATGTATTATTAATTCACGAACATTTTAAATGGTTGGCATTTTAAACACCGTCGAAAGACGCAGTTATGGCTGTAAGTTAAAATAATATACATATTATATTTGAAGTAAATAAATTAATAATAAAACCACAAATATGCCTTTTTATTTTTAAAGTATATCTACATCATATAACTTCTAGCATATAGTATGGAAATATCTTTTAGATGTGATATTTAGAACAACGATGATCACGGTAGTGTGTGTTAGTGATGATGCTGCTGTCCTGCTAGACTATCTTTAAGAATTATTTGCCATAGACAGAAATGTATCACATTTCGCCAGCTATATACAGAAACACGTATGAAATATAGGTCAGTGTATATAAACAACGCACATTACATATCGGAAAAAAGTAAACACCCCCAATTCATCCCGTGTCGTAAGAGCCGACTAAGGGAGTAAACTACGCAGGACAATAGCACTGCAAAGAGAAGGAAAACTTGAAACAAACCCTATACCAACCCGTCTGGCCAGCGTAGTAGTAGGCCAAAACCTCTTTCTTAAGGAGAAGCCTATGTCCAGCAGTGGACTATTAGTCTGTCGATGATGATGAATAAACGTAGAAAGAGATATTTTCCTAAGGAAACCCATACTACGAGTCCAGTTAAGCGGAGCGAAGAGATCTTCAAAATACCACTCTTAGTCACAGGGCCGATAGAAGGGTTTAGGTTTTCGTCCTGTACTCAATATCTTGATTATATGTTTTACACTTACATTTATAGGTATACAAAATGTGAGCTATTTTTTCTACTTTCTTTTTGAAAATTTTGTATGTCGAGTAGGTTCCAAAAGTCGTAGTCTGATCGACAGCTCTCGTTAAGGACTACCGCCACCCATGGATATTTGCAACTGTTCCAGTAAATTGTGGTAACGATCTGTACCTAGGTATCGAATGGGACACGGGACTAAAACATGGACGTGACCTCGTATGTGTGCCTTGTGATCGGAGAGAAAATATGTAGATTGCATAATTAGAGACGAGACTGTTGCGAGCGGGGTGTACAATAAAAAAAAGTAGTCGGTTAATTAAAACGAAACTGGCCCGTACTGCCAAATGCCATCTACAAATTTATATAAACTTTCGATATTCGACACTAGATGGCACTAGATAGTATCGGAATTAAGAACCGTAATCTCAATGCGTAGCGTTGTACCCCACTTGATACTAGATAACGCTGTCTTCCAAACACAATACAAGTACCACTCAACCCTATTGGCGCAACAGTATAATGCAATACACTTTTTCTCTGACTGGTTTCATTGTTTCAATGTTCACTAAGTTGTCATTTTTATCATACACTTACATCTAAGACCCGTCCAAGGTAGGCAGAGACGATAAAGTAAAGCACAAAATCGTCCTTTAAACCAGGACTAAGTACGTACTAAGGATCTAGATCAAGGACTTTCAAAGTGGTCGATATCGGCCCCTTTGGGTCGAAATCGGCAAATTGTTCCCAGAGGTCGACAAAAGAAAACTGATTTTGGGAGTCGAAGAGTCTAAACATCGACCCCTATTAATTAACACAAGTTCTTTTGTGAAACTTTCAAGATACTGTATTAGTTGTGTTACGGGTATCAACAACCAGTCATTCTTATATGACCAATATTTTAGTAGGAAGTATCATTGTTGTACTTAAAAAAAACTCAACAGTGGCTATAGGGATCTGAGGTATCAGTGCATTTTAGAAAAGGAGTCTCTTGCCCAAAATAGTTTGGAAATCCCTGATCTAGATCATTAGAAACGATCTACGTACTCCTCTAATATGCAAATAAGTATAGTAAAGCATTTAATTAGCAAAGCAACATAGCCCATAATAAATTTTACAATCGTGGGTACCAAGGCCCAAAACAAAAATAATAATAACGAAATAATAAACGCAAGTAGTAATTTTGAGTTAGATATATCAGCCAATTTTATTTCTTGTAGAAAGAAACGTAAATTATCCTTGTTGTTCTGTCAAATGAATTATCTGTGACATAACCTAAAAATGGGTTATTAATTTTCGTTACATGTATTTTCAACAAAATAATATAAAAATGAGCATATTTATCAGAAATTATAATCCTGGCCCCCTCGCTACATTATACAAAGCCAATATTTGGCGGCTGAACTCTACAACAGCGGAAAGCTCTGTGAAAAAAGATGAGGATGAAGAGGAGTTCAGAGTTCTGGATATCTTAAAGAAACGAGATAAACAACAGAAAAGAATAGTTCGCAGAACTGACATACAGCCCGATAGAGCAGACAGGATGACGGAAAATCAGGTATTTATTCACGTTTCTGCGAAGAAAGATATTTCTATATTTAAATAGATAGGTACAGTTGATGTCTATTTGATGGTGAGTGATGTTACTGGAGAAGCATCTATTACACCAGTAAAAGGTCACCTAGGCTTCACATTTATAAGCATATAGAAGGTTCTTTCCAAACTCGAAGTGGTATAGGCAAATGTATTTGGACAATTTTTTGGAACAGCAGCTATCTAATAATGTAAATCCTTGTATTTTATTCTTTTAGTGGCATGCTTGAATGTCATTGATCTACCTTTTACTTATATAGCATTTTCTAGAAGTCTACTCCCATTAGAATAATGACCAAGACACAGTCTGCCAATTAGTAAATGTTCTGTTGTTTTAATAATACTCTTACAGACCTGCTTTAATGCAGAGATTTGCAGTTATGTAGAGAATATACATATAATCTACTATTCTCAGACTGGGAAGAAATCACCTCAATGCAAATTCTCATAATAAAAATCAGTAAAATTTAGTTCCGATCCGGTCATTATAAGGCATTTTCATACCAAAATATTAAACATCCAAGTTTGACTGTAATTATGCTTATATAAATCTTGCATTATTGCCTTGTTGTAACTTAGGTTAAATTTAATAGAAGTTTTCATGGAAAGGTGTTTTTAAATCCCTTCGAAATATTTAACTGACATGCCCTTGTCTTACCGAAGCTGTTATGTAGATTGTAAGTAATAATTAAAGTGTAAAATTATTATTTTTTCCAGAATTGGGGCAATGTATGGCCAGGACCAAAGACTTTCCATCCATCTTCTGTACCGTTACCACTCAGACAAGGCTATGTGCCTGCAGGGCAAGCACCACCCGCCAAGAAAGCAAATGCAGAACTCATGAAAATACCCAACTTCCTACACCTAACTCCACCAGTTATCAAGAGCCAATGTGAATCCCTTAAACAATTCTGCACAGAATGGCCAACTTTACTAAACTCTGAACAGGCAATTGAGAAACATTATCCAGTTGAAGTGATAACATCAGATTATTGTCATGCTAGTCCTTCTATAAGAAATCCCTTAGCAAGGGTTGTCATGTTACGTATTAAATTATCTACGTTAAACTTGGACAAGCATGCAAGAGACAAGTTTATTCGTTTAGTTGGGGACCGTTATGATAGTTCTACCGACTTGGTGACAATCACGGCTGATCGATGTCCTATGAGAGCTCAAAATCTGGATTATGTAAATTATTTACTAACTGCGTGCTACCACGAAGCTTGGAATGTTGAAGAATGGGAGAAGGACAAGACGGAAGATGATATGGAATATTATAATTGGGACAATAATGCTTCTAAGAAGAGCCTCGTCAATTGGTATTTAGCTAAAAAGAATGAGCAAAGAGATCTTACAGAAGATGAATATAGAAGCTATGATATTTCTGTGATTCCAAATGCAGAGGGATACAAAAATGCAGTTTCCAGTCTGATGAATGATGGTGAAAGTGAAGAGACTGTCAATAATTATGGTAAAGCAGTTAGAAAGTTACTGGGGTTGCCAGAGAAAATGGTAGTTTAAGGTATTTGTAATAAAGTGTAATTTAGTATGATACTTGGTTTTTGATTGTTGTATTATCACCACAATATGTCATCAATATTTAGACCATCAGTGCCGCTATATTATTTCCACAATGAAACCAAAAGCTTTGCTTATAAAATATTGCCGCACAAAGTGGGTATAATTAGGTTAGATAATATTAAATAAAAACCAATGTACAATATTTATTTATGAATGTACAATTATTTAATATACACATTTACATACAATACATTTAAGATTTAACTAATAAGCCAGATTAGATTTTTAAAGATTCTTAAAAAAGACACAAGTACAGTCGGCTTAAAAAGCTTTTTTTTAATTCTGATGTGAGGGTAGTTTAAAAATACTACAGGTATATTAGTACAGATAGGGGTATTGAAGTTTTTTAATATTCCTATCTTTGTTAGAAATTTTGTTATAAAGTAGATTTTGTGCAAAGACATCGAAAAGCTCTTGAAATATACTTTGTTGAAACGCACTTCACGGCTAAGTTAGTGTCTGACTAACTGGCTCTTGAGGGAACTCGTCTTAGAGCCATCGTGCTAACATAGTTCTTGATAAATCGTTAGTATTTATGACTGCATGGAATTGAAACATCTCAAAGCGGAATACGCAACTAAGCTGTAAGAGTTCACGCAGTCAACAATGACTTTATTCAAAATCTCGCTGCAACTTTTTAAAACGCAACGTTTTTCACGACTACCCGCTGAATTATCTTTGAAATTAGGATTCCATTTTTTTCTCCAAATGTCCGTTATGGAACTTTTATTTAAAATTTTATCCTCATCTTGGGACAATTGGGAGCCTTGGCTTAAAATGCCTTTGTTTTTAATGTATTTTTTTAATAACATTTCTAAGATATGAAATAGATAAGATACATTTTCAACTTGGTCTATATTCGTTAATTCGTAAGTGACGCTGCTGTCTGTTATGTTTTCGTGAAATTTTGTTAGAATGCTCGTTATTTTCTCTATAGAATGACTCTGTATGTGAATTGATTTATTCAAAAGCATTATTCGTTGAATAAATTCGTCTTTCTTCAATAACTGGAAACGATAAAGAATGGATAGATTAATCTCTAAACGAGAATACATTAAACTAGACTATAAAACAGGAAGACTATTAATTAAATAAAATTGATGTAAAAGTCAGCTAGATGTTATTACAACTGGTTTTAACGCATGTCATTATTCCGCCTGAAAAATGAAAATTGGTTTATTAACGGTCACTTGAATGCTGATCCAGGAATAAACAACATCGCGGTTATTGTGATTTAGTGAATTGCTTTGGGATATTTCTAAGGGTAGTTTCTTTTACGGTCTGGCCCTCCTTGGCAATATAATCATTTTACAGACGACAGCGGAAGAACCTAAACAAGAGTAAGGAAAACGAATTTGTCGAACAGTAAAAGAAGCATCAAGTCTTAGATGGAGGACCGGATTTGTGACTGCGGTAACGCGAAAAGCCAAGATCACGAATGCTGAGAAACCCCACTTTTTTTTTCTGTGCGGATCTCCCCTCGTATACCAATCACCAATAGGTGATTATGTCGGACTCGAACTGACCAAAAACCGCACGCCGTCTCTAGGTAAATCCTATCCTCCATAACGGGTCTTACCGCCGCGATAACGGCGTGCCTGACTGAGAAGCCCTTGGGACCAACAACAACTGGCAATTACTTTATCAAATTCAAATTTTAAGTTTAAATAAATTTTATTGAAACTGAGGGTAGTTTATTTTTACCTCACTGTCATCACAGCTTTGCCCCTCGTACACTTGTCGCAGTAATATATCAACTGTGTCTAGTAGTTCTTCTAGGAATGGTGGATATGTCTCTTCTTCGTGCAGTCTGTCTACAAGTTGGCCTAGAGTCTGAAATAGGTAGTAAGTTTGAAAACTTCCGTACAGTTAAGTTATTATGCAATATCTTGAACTACCTTCCTAAATATAGATTAACTAGCTTTTACCCGTTTTGACGTAAATTTAGACAGTCTTTCAAAAGGGTAGATTCCTAGGTTTGAAATAAATTATTTCGCCTGCATCATCAAATGTAACATCTCAAAGTAGAGCCTGAATTGTCCTCCATTATCAATTTAATCTTTTTATTGATTTTATATCTAGATATCAACAATAAATATAAATGATTTGACAATAACTACGTATGACGTCACAAAATAATATTTCATACAAAAATGTACAGCATCTAGCGCTTTGATGTTTAAAAAAGATACTTGGAAGTCATCTACCCTATTATGACATCATCAACTTTTTACAGGTACGTTTTCAGAGTTCAGATTTTCAGGCTCTTGGTTAGTGTAAGGTAATTTTTTGTAAAAAAAGGTTTCCTGTATCCTTCTGTGCTCTTCTTTACCCTTTTGTACCCCTGACATATATACAGAATTTGACGTTAATATGTAAAGTAATGAAGGCATTTCAAGTAAAACAAACAAACAAACAAACTCACTCCATCATTTAAAATCGTAGTTAGAAGTAAGGTACAGAGTTTGGTTTCTTTTAAAGCCTTGGAAGTATTAATCTTTGAGACACAAAGTCAGATTTGAATAATAACTATTGCAATAAGCTTATAATATATATTTTAACATCACGCTACGTACTTTAAGGGAGAAGTGACAATAAAGACGGCTGAAACAACTTGAAAATGGTAAACTTACTTGAGCCATTTCTCCTGTTATTTCTCTGGTCGCACCAACTAAAGCGCATTGTGTTATGTGATTTAACAAGCAAAAAGCCGATTGGTTTATTGAAATACCGGATAGTTGTAATGCTAGAAGAATATGATTATTAGTAGGTAGGGTAAACTATCATGTAATATACAATAATTTAAGGGTGTAAGGAGCAAACGGGTCACCTTGAACACCCAAGTCAGAGACAGAATCGAGTTGTCGGCCTTTGAATACTACTGCTAGAATTATTAGGAGGGGGAGGAAAAGAGGTTGATCAACTGGTATAATGCATTGAGAGAATTGCTTAATAACTTAACAATTTAGTGGAATGTTAAGGCTCGAAAACTGGCTACATGAATCAAGAATGAGTAGAATCTTATACTGATCTTTTGAGGACTGTGTGAGGTTGCCTTCTGGACATGGTGGAAATTTGCCAAGGTCTACCATCGCATGCGAGCTGATAAATCTTTAATTTAGGCCCCAAAAGAGTATGACATTACCAAAAATTGGCACAGTCAGAAATAAGATGTGTGGCATAGTAACACTTACCACTTCTGTTTGAACTTCTTAACTGAGAATCACTTTTGTACCCAGAGTCGGTAGAATACCCGTCACACGACATTCTTCTGTCTCTTCTTCGCAAATACATCTTAATCTTATTCAATTCTTCTAGAACTTTGTAAGGAATTACTTCTATTGTGTCTGTATCTTCTTCGATAACTTCAAATGGTGATATTTGTTTAGTGTTTTGTTGTGAAGAATCGATATTTTGCTCAAAGTTTTTCGTAAGGTTTTCCATATTTTGATTTGGTATTACTTGTTCTATATGCCTGCCTGTACCTACACTTTGAATCGTATCTAAATATTCATTGTTCGAGTCAAAATTGTCGTTATTTATATTGTTTTGAGTTTTTTTTTTAGTAATCTGCATGGATTTAAGTGTGTCTTTTGATTTTTCATTTTCAATTGTATTTTCCTTGGTAATATCATTTATGCTATGTATTTCACTAAAATAATCATATACATTTTGAGCGTATTCCGAATTTCTCTCAAAAAAGTTATTTTTCATGTATCCATCATTAATATCTTTCGGTGTAATGTCAGTCAAGTCGTTCTCATTTTCTTGAAATATTGTGTCCATATTTTGGGAAAATACACCTACATCTTGATTTGCTAATATACTTTCAGACATTCTATCTTCTGAAACTATTTCATTTCGACGTCCATCTTTACTTCTGTTGTCATTAGTTTTAGTAAGACTATTCATATTTGTGACCTTACTATTTAGTGCATTAGCAGTACCGTTACTATTATTAACTAGTCTTGTCTCGTTCTTATCTTCCTTAATACGATATAGGTATTTGTTAGGAATTAAAATCTCGTTTTGACTGGGGCTATAATGTGTATTATTTTGTGTAAAACCATGTACAGTGTACAAGATTGTATTTTGGGTGTCATAATTAGAATTTGTTAATTGATTAAGTTCGTTATTTGAATGATTAATATTTAATTCGTCATTGGAAACTAAATTATTGCCTAATTTAGGACCAAGTTCTGTCTCAATTAAATTTATTTTGTCATTTAAATATACTTCATTACTTTTAGGTAAATTTTCTTTGGCGATACTGAAGCCTGACTCGCAGAATGTGACGTCATTATCAATGCTAGGTTCTATTTGAGATTGAATACTATCATAGTTTGGGATTTGGGTTGATTGTTCTGGTATATTTTCAATATTCTGAAAGTAAATACAAAGAGACATTTATATCAAGAGGGATCCAGAGATCGTCTCGAACTTAATAGATTAAGTTTTCAGTTAATTTTTTTTCCATGGCTTAGGGGATCAGACGGCCGTGTGTGAGATGTGTCGAGATATATTAGACATTAGTCATCATCATCAACAGCCTTTAATAGTCCACTGCTGGACACAGGCCTCCTCAAAAAGGAGGTTTTAGCCAGACGGGTTGGTATAGGGTTTATTTCAAGTTTTATTTCTCTTTGCAGTGCTGTTGTCAGTTTGCTCCCTTAGTGCTTACGAAACCCACGGGATAAATAAGGGTGGGACTCGGTATTCTTAATCCGTCACCACATGGACGGATATTAGTATTGTATGTTATACTTATTTCTTCTTACCCTCTTTTCAGTATCATTTACTTGTCTTCCATCATTCGAAACCTCGACACCACCAAATTGTCCCTCATCAAAATTCCTTAAAATGGTGACACAGTCATCATCATCGTCCATCATGAAGTCTTCACTACAAATTGTGACGTCATCATCGTCGATACTGTCCTCCATTTTGGATTGCAGAAGTTTTATGTACTCAGCGGAAGTTAGGTTTGCGGGTTTGGCTTTTAAAACTGCTATTGCTACACACAGACGATGTTTTTGGTAAATATGTTGGGCTGTAAAATAGATATACAATAATGTAAAATTATAATAAGTTAGAAAGGTTCGTGGCTAAGTGGTAACCGATTATGTTAACACATTGCAAAGTTAAGCAATCATAGCCAGGTCAGCCTGTGGATGGGTGACCATTCTTAACACATTGAGACCGTCGTCTTCGTGCCTCGTAAAGCCGTGGGTTCCGGTTGCCATCAGGAATTGTTACGAGTAGTTGGAGCCCTAAAATGTCCGGCAAGTCTTTCTACAGAACGTCGATATTGCTTTGTACTTGGGTGGTGGAGGTTTGGTGGAGGTTACGAATGTGTTTTTTTTTTTAATAATTGGCTTATTGTTTCGTCAAATTCCTGAAGTGCCTGCTTGACGGTAATAGGCTTGCCGGCTAGGTATTACTTGAATGGGACTAAGGTTATAGTCGTGAAAATGTGGACGTTCATAACCACAGAACATACTGTTCTGTGTTCAAAATCAGTATGTATGTGTATATCTGTGTAGAGTACATGAAATCTTCGCTATTTATGAAACTGCTTCATTTAAATTTTACTATCGGAAAATTAAGGAACGAACTCAACGGCTTTGAAGTCGGTAATGTACTTCATTTAAGTATTAGGTACATTTTTTACTGCACTGGAAATCGCGATGTGTTAAAAATGATTATATTACCTGCGTTCTTACAAATCTAAAAAAAAATAACTTTGTTTTTTAATACGCTCACACAAAGCATTAGGAGTTACCTACACCTTAATAATAATTTCAAGTTTCTAGTGCCGATTTTCACATAACAAAGATAATTGAAAATAACGTAACATTGTTAACTTATATAAGAACATAAAATCACCTATCTATTGCTGAAGATAGTGACTAAGCATTATACCTATACCCAAGTCTTGCAAGCAAGACAACTTTGGGCCATTTAGAAAAATTACAGTGTAAAACCTTACCATAATCATTAAAACTCATTCTGTTTTACTAGAATCACTATTCTAAATCACATATTTTGAAATTGACATGTTTTTATTCATTACAAGTTATGATTTGCACGTAGGAAAAAAATTATCTTTTGTTAGTTAAAAAGTTTCGTTGGCACCGATTTCGCGCCTCTTTTTTTTCAAACACTTTCTTTGTGTTGCATGCATTCATTCGGCCAATAAAATATAAAGTAAATAAGTATGTAGGTTTTATTACTTTATTATCGTAAATGACATCTAAAACATTACTAAAGAGTTATTATATATTTTATGATTTTTTATTTAGTTCTATAATATTAATTTATCGTAATTAAGTGTTTACCCGTAATAATGTTTTATCAAAAAGGTTACCAGAGGTTTTTCGTCAGAGACTACTTACATGTAAACCGATTTTATTTTCAGGATGAATTTGTAAGTAGTCAAAGGCGGTTTCTTTGAACTTTACAGAATCAACTCCGGTCACCATAAAAGGGATGAAAAATACAACTTATTTTAAAGACCTTTTTGGCATGAATTTAAAAAAAAACTTGTACTCTTTGTTTTCTACAGAATGTATACAAGCAACCTAATGCCGTCAAATCCGACAATACCTGCCAAAAATCACAACTGAAGCAATGCTTGCGATATTATGATTGTCCGAAATCTTTATTTACACTTTGTAAAATGTATCACAAATTGAAATTTATCATTTTTAATGGCTCTGTATACTATATTATTCGGCATGAGTATTTTTTTAATAGCGTTGGTCATGACTGTTATAAAGAAAGTGTTCTTTAGATGGAAAGAAGAACACATAATAGAAAATCAACTGAGTACCAGAGTTGCTGTCACGCCAAGACCAGGTCAGTGGCCAATATTTCGTGGATTATGGGTAGGTAGGTAGTATGGGTAGGTGCAAAATTTTGGCAAATTTCTTGCTGTAAAAGGTTTTCTGTAGTTCGACATATTTATAAATAGTTTCGTAGAACTTTTCATTAGGTAATAAACTTTCAACGAAACTAAATTTTACGTAGGTAACACCGAACATTGTTCAAGTGGTTTGTGTAACGGACCTGCCGCCTAAGTCAAACATTTGTGTGCGTGAACATTTAATGTTTGATTTGGTCTGGGTATTTATATGTATAAAAGGTATAATATAAATAGGTAAATAAATATATATATAAGTACTAGCTTTTGCCCGCGTGTCGGTCGGTTATCGCGGTTAAAAGTATCCGTTGTCTTTCCTCAAGAATTGAATTCCTCTCCATGCCAAATGTTATTAAAATCGGTTCAGACTTACACAACTTTTCGCTCCCTTAAAGGGTGATTTCTTTGATAAAAACTACATATCTTATGTCCTTTCCCGGGACTCAAACTCAGGTTAATTCATCACTAAATCGGTTCAGCGGTTTAAGTGTCAAGCGGTAACAGACAGACAAATAGACACACTTTCGCATTTATAATATTAGTATGGATAAATATTTATATCAGTTGTCTAGTACCCATAGTACAAGCTTTGCTTCGTTAGGGACTAGATGGCGTTGTGTGAAAATGGTAGTTTATTATAATAAAGTATATTCTTATTTTATTCTTAGATTATACTCCCTACTTTTACATCCGTACCTGTGCGTTGATGTTTTTTTTCATAAATATGTTTTGTTTCAGCTTGCGGTATGATGATCTTCACAGAGAAATGTTTGATGAGAAAACGCTTGTACGCGAGCAACTTAGATGTCTATGACGTAATTACTAAGGCTGGTAGTAGTGACTTAGGTGATACTTTGGACAATAGTATTTAGTAAGTTTGGTTTTAGTTAGTTTATTTTTAATGATGTTCGTTTTAATAAATGTTTATTTATTGTCATTTTTCTTGTTTCTCTGTATATTTATTCCCTTATTTTATCTAGTGTATGTATATACCTATATTTCTTTTTAGAATGTGTCTGTAAACTAAACGGTATGATGGATTTTGGCGTTTAGGTGTCGTTAGATTCGTCTTAATCATATATACATTATAATCTATGGTCTTAATTGTGAGAGTAACACTCGGTATATATTAAATTGTAAAAAAACCGGTCAGGTTCCGTACCTACCCAGATTTTACGTAGATTTTCGCGAAAATTTGTAAGTACCAAAATTTATCTTAATTTTTTTTTTTTGGAATTATTCCTTTATTTGTGCTATTTAAATCAACGAGAAATGCTAAAATACCATTAAGTTAGTGAATAAAATTTAAATAGGCAATTTTCCGCGTCGAGATTTTTATTTTTCCAATACTTAATACAATTAATAATCCTGAACGTGGGTGCAGAAACATCAGATCAGGACTTGTGGCGAAAACTAAAAGAAGCCAAGTGGTGGTTCTGAGGAACGGGTGTATGTCCTTCCTACACAAAGGGAGGTTCCTCCGACCAGGCGAGGTAACCATGCCTGGCCTGCCACGGCTTAGCGGTTAATGTAAGGAAGAAGTTTTTATATGCTAATGCATATCGCGATACAGGATTACCAGTTACTCCATAGTATGTTTTTGTTTTCACTGAACGTAGAAGTCGCCACTTTAATCTTGATTGTTTTGATTGAGTAGATACAGTTGCTAGTATATCTTATATATAAAATTCCCCCTCCCCTTATAAAAGTACTCCTCCGAAACGGCTTGACCGATTCTCATGAAATTTCGTGTGCACATCGGGTAGGTCTGAGAATCGGCCAACATCTATTTTTCATAACCCTAAATGGTAAGGGTGACCCATCTCTTATTTTTTTTTTGTTTTGCAATACAACGTTTGCCGGGTCAGCTAGTAACATTATAGAAACATCAATCAGTCTATTTCTGACATTCGAGTACAATAGTTTAAAGACAAAAGAAGAATATTTAATCATGTCTAGACTAAAAATTCCTTAATAGTATAGAAGCATTTTTGTCTTAGTTTTTGGGGCAGTTCGTTATAAATCTTGACACACATCATCATCAACAGCCTTTACTAGTCCACTGCTGGACATAGGCCTCTTCTTAGAAAGGAGGTTTTGGCGTACTATACCACGCTAGCCAGACGGGTTGGTATAGGGTTTGTGTCGTAAACATACTATTTATATATATGATTAAGGGTAGTTCTACATTTTAGCACAACATCTTTGTAGGATCAGTGTGGAATAAATGAATGAATGAATGTAAAAAAATAAAAACAGCTCTCTTTAAATATTTTATTTTTATTATGTCTCATCTTTACGGCCGGCTGCCCGCCTATTCTCATTTTCAGTAAAACATTCAAGGCCGTATATGCTGTTGATTTTTATGATGTCAGAATCTGACAACAGATCGTCGTGCTGGCCGAGTGACCTCATTATTGTACCGTCTGGATCCTGCAAAGAGATTCAAGTAATTAAAAAAGTTTTTTTGACAATGGCCTTCATGTCTAGTACAAGAGTTTTAGAACCCCGACACAAGGGACTACCGTCGCCAATGAAAACCTGAAACTCAGAGTCAAGAGTTCGTTGCCGCCTTCTGGTCAAGAATCTGGAGTTGAGCTCCGTTAGCCTCACTCACTTAGTGGAAACTGCTTAAAACGGGTCTTCTGATACAACACTTTTCTTCTACAAACTTATTTAACTTCTAAATTATATTAAGTAGATATATCTTGCAATAAATTTAATAGGGTATGTTTTTATATCTATTACATTTGAGCTTTTATATTTAACTAGCTGACCCGGCGAACTTCGTACCACCGTAGAATGAATTAATTAGGTGACAGCAGCGCTACCTACCGGGTCCAATTATGTTTTCCATCCAGGAACCCACTGGTCCAGCCGTTTAGAAGAAGTTAGGTTACAAACACACGTACAGAAGAATTATTCATATTAAGATGTTCCTAATTGTGATAAATAAATCTGGCGGTAGTTCTATGCCGTACACAATACATTATTAGCTCGTTTTGTTCAAAATTTGTTTATTGCTATCCTCCGAGCGTATTAGCATATTCAATGATTTTATTTTCTATTCCTGTGGTGACGGATCAAGAATACGGAGTGTCACTACCCCTATTCATGCCCGTGGGTGTCGTAGGAGGCGACTATGGCAGCAAACTACGTAGGACAGCACTGCAGAGAGAAGAAAAACTTGACACAAACCCTATATCAACCCGTCTGGCCAGCGTGGTGTAGTAGGCCAAAACATTATTTCTAAGGAAAGGCCTATGTCCAGCAGTTTACTATTGGGCTTTTAGACGGGCCTGTTGGTTAGTGGTTCGTGATCCTGACTGCTTGGCCAGAGGTCGTAGGTTAGGTTCCCATCCAGGACAAATAATTGTGTGATGAGCATGATCATTATGTGTATGTCTATAATTAAATAATATATAAGTCTTTATGAGCAGTGTGGTTACCATAGTACAGGTTCTGCCTAGTTTGGGATCAGACGGCCGAGTGTTATTATTATTATGAATTTACCTTATCCTTATAAGTGGCGACAGTAGAAATACCAGTCTTGCCAATTTTCCGCCAGAACTGCCAGGCGGGGTGTGTTGCACTCTTGAAGTCGTACGGCAAATCTAAGGTTGCTTCGTCACGGATCTTCTCGAAGTGATGCAATTTATCTAAGTGAGATAGAAAAATATATTTGTAGGTGTTTGCTCGAAATACAGTCGAAGATAAATGAGAAAGCCGATATGCCGATACCCGATATTATATATATATATACATAAATATATAAATTTTGTTTAGGGTATAAATATACCTTAAACAAAATCTTAAAAAATGATATAATTTTATCTTTACAGCTATTTACCTCAAAATTTTACTCGAAACTTGAACTATGAAAGGCGAGGGCGAGCGTCGATTGGCGTTCAATGTTTTCAGATAGAATCCCATCCCTAACAAGACCTATAAACCTTCAAAAAAAAAACGTGCTCCCTTTTTTTTGTTGACGGGGTGGAAAATCTCTTCGGATCTCCTGCTCCTCAGGGACTCAGTAGCCAGGAGTGTGGTGATTCCACTAATAACCACCCCGACGGCCGACCCGGACCATGTTAACCATGTAAATAAAAAAAAAATAAAAAAAAAAAAAACTTTATTCTGCAAGAGAACAGCATACAACTTAATATAACTAACTTAATACTAACCTTATACAACTACAATAATATTACATTTTTTTAAAGTGCAACACTATACTACGCTATCTGTGGTTTAGTAGTCTATGAGACTGTGATCATATATGACGTGGCGCTGACGCGGTGATCACTATTATTTTTGGTACTATGTTTTGCCACATAGATAGCTTGTGCGGATGAGAGTTGTACGCTGTGTCCCACAGAATAGGTGGACCCTCAGCATTTACTGTGATGGACATGGTCCGTCCCAGTACTGATTTTCAGTGCCCACCAGAATTACTGATTTGACGCCGACAGCCGCAATTACCACCGGATATCTCTTATGTGCTGCTTGTGATGTCATGTATGACACAAGGACTGGATTTGGTAAGTAGGCTATATTGTAAAAACAACTTAACGCTAGCACAACAAAAAAAAACAACCAAACTTATAAAACTACAATTGACTGTCACGTATTAACTACAACTACAACTAAAACTAAAACTTATCGCTTACTGTATGGTTATTATTATTATACCTATTAACTTACTAACTATCCTCTATTTTAGGTTTTCAAAATTGTGAAAGTACGCAAAGAGAAAGACACCGCACAGTCCGCCGACCCAAATTCACTTCCCGCAGCCCGCGCCGCGCCAGCCGCACCACGATGCGCCGACACCGCGCCGCGCCCGCCGACTCGCCTGACTCACGTGACCGCGCCACACGGGGCCCCACGCGCTCTGCGAACACTATATCCCGGTGCTCCAAGGTGACACCTAGTTTCTTCGCTACCAGTTCCACGGAGTGAAACACATTCTCACCGGGACTCTCAGGGAGGTTCGAGATCTCGATGTCAGAGAGCAGCAGTTCCTGCTCTCGTTCACCGAGCTCTGTTTGCAGCTGCTTTACCGTGTGCTCCAACTGGTCCACCGCAACCTCGGGGGAGGTCGCCTGCTTCCTCTCGAGGTCATCCAGACGTGACTCCAGGTGATCGACCTTTTTTTTGTAGGTAGCCACAGTCTGACGCAGGTCAGCCATCTCGAGGCGGAGCTCCCGCAGCTCGGTTCTAATATCTTCCCCCATTTCCTTCATCTCCGCTCTCATCAGCTTTATTTCGTAGGCAATATCAGCACCATGATCTTGATCTTTACTGGCGGAGCCACCGGTAGATTGAGAGGAGTCATAGGAACTAGTGGGGGAACTCTCATTCTTCTCATTGCGCGTTTCCTTTGCCGAGCTCGGCTGATTGCGGTCCTTGGGGATATTATTTTTGCAGTCTTGGCACTGCCATTCCCTGCTTACCCTCGTAGCATCCGGCAAGCGCAAACAAGGCAGGTGATACTTTTTATTGCATCTGCAACATACAGCGACACCTTTTGACGAGGTAAATTTACCACATGCTGCGCAGTTTGCCATTTTAATGATATGTAGCAGATAGTTATAATAATAGGTGTAGGTATTTTTTACGAGAGGGGGCAAACGACCAGATGGGTCACCCGATGGAAGTCTAGAAGATCAATTAAACACTCGTCCGTATCGAAGTGTCGCAATTAGTTCTGCTATCGATCAACAGATGGCGCTGTTGTCAGTATCAGTTTAAGGCTTTATTTTAGGCTGTATTACGCAATTTTTCCATTCGTCACGAAATAGACCTATCACCACACACGCGGCGAGGGAGATCAATAGTTCTGGGAGCGACAGAGTTGCTTTTTCACTAATTTAGCACTTTTATTTTGTAGATTAGGGTAGATATTAATCACTGTTCTGATTCGTATTTTATATTTAACTTTATTTAAGAGTACACAGCACTTTAAGACTTGCAAACACTGCACAGTAATGCTTAGGACATAATTAATATTGTGAGCAAATAAATTATTTAAATAAGAGGACTTTATTATTTTTAAATTGAAACATAAACAGAACGCTACGAATCACTACTACCGACGTCAATCGATTCGATCGTCATGTCATGCCTAATCAGGCCCTATCCCAGGGGAAAAACACTTCCACCTCTCAATCACGACGTGGCGGCCCAATTGCGTCTTAATGCAATCGGGCAGCCATCCTATCTCCAAGAACGTACTCCCTAAGTAGCGTACGTAAAAGGCATGTGTGAATGATATTATGTTTTTTTCACAATGGCGCAAAATACGTGTGATTCTAAAACATGGCAGGCCGGGCCGAGAGATGTAAGGTGCAGCGCTCAAACCAAAAATTGGTTGTTTTCTAATCTCATGTCTATGCAACATAACGGTGCTTAGAATGTAATAATTTTTTAACGAACTACTTTACAAAATCTAAATCTACCCTCGAATATTTACCAATTTAGTTAGCAAGATTCAATGGACAAAAAAGTGTGTGATGAGCACGAACATGTGTTCTGTATCTGGGTGTAGATTATCTATAATATGTATGTATTTAGAAATATGGGAGTCTGGTTACCATAGCACAGGCTCCGCCTAATTTGGGATTAGATTATTTCGGCCGTGTGTAATAATATGATATGTATCTGTAATCCGTGTGGTAACGGATTAAGAATACAGAGTATCACCACCCCTATTTATCCCGTGGGTGTCATAAGAGGCGATTAAGGGAGCAAAATACGCAGAGCAGCTCTGCAGAGAGAAGGAAAACTTGACACAAACCCTATACCAAACCGTCTGACCAGCGTGGTGTAATAGGCCAAAACCTTATTTCTAAGGAAATGTCTATGTCCAGCAGTGGACTAGTAGGGTAATGTCTTATTAGCTATAAGTATACGATATATATGTATAAATATGGGTATCGGGCACATCATATTGTATGTGTAGTCGGAAATAAATACTTGAATGTTCAATTACACGTATTGACCCGATTCGTTATAACCCGCAAACATTACATTTGGTGACGAGGAAAATATTTCCGCGATATTTCGGATATCTATTTACCTATTGTTCGAATTTAATTAGTAATTATCTAATTGCAATGGCAAAGTTATTATAATTAAGATTTGTAACAAACCAAATAACTAGTGGTTGTTTTATCAATATTGTAGGTATATTAATTCGAATTGCTTCATATTATAGATCATTTTGTTTTATGGTATAATGTGGCAAACGAGCAGACGGGTCCTGATGGTAAGCAACTACCGCCGCCCATGGACACCTGCAAGACACAAGTGCGTAGCTGCCCTTGGAGTCCCTCCCGCTCCTCACTCACTCAGTGAAAGGCAACGAAAGAATTGCTTAACACCGGTTTTCTGTGAGGCCGTGGTATCACTCCGGTCGAGCGGCCCATACGTGCCGAAGCATGGCTCTCCCACTATAAATTCAGTATACGTTCGCGGATTTGTACTTCTTAGTAGTCGTTGTTCAAAAAAGGATTTTTAAGCATGCAGGTAGATAACACGATAATATACTAAATTACAAATAAAAGTGTGTCGTTTCGTTCTTCGTTCGTTCTTTTCACTTCTCGGTCATTCTAAGCTAAACACAAATCATGAAAAAAGAAAAACACCTTATCTCTGAAAATTAAACTGGTCATATTTCATTATCCCGTCTATTCATCCCGTGGGTGTCGTAAGAGCCGACTAAGGGAGCAAACTACATAGGACAACAGCACTGCAAAGAGAAAGAAAACTTAAAACAAACCCTATACCAACCCGTCTGGCAAGCGTGGTATAGTAAGCCAATACCTCCTTTCTAAGGAGAGGCCTATGTCCAGCAGTGGACTGTTAAAGGCTATTCATGATGATATTTCATTATTGTCGTCATAACATTATGCTTGATTTAAATAATATAGTAAATTAGGACTATAGCTAACAGCTCTCTCCTTATTTTGCCGTGCAGACCCGACAGGGTCCATAATTGTTTCTTTTTACATTTATAAGACTTGTGTATACTTTATGAAGTGCAATAAACAAATTGAATTGAACCAATGTAGTAGAATAATGACTAAGAAAAAAATATATTTAAACAGAAAAACAGAAATTCACAAGGAGTCCCTTAATCTCCTTTGTTTTTTGTCTGTAATATGATTGTGTCGCATTCTGTGGATGATTTTTTGTTGTAAACAACTTGTAAACCAATCCGGTTTTTAACTACCTACATTTTTATATTTTTTTCTTTATTTTTCCTTTATTAATTCATTATTGTGTATTAATTTCTTTCATCTGAACGCCATAATCTTACAAAAATATTCTTAAATGGATTCATTGCTGCGGCGACCTGTAGTTACAGGTTTTCACAAGTCAGTCAGTCAGTTCAGTCTCTCACAAAGTTACCTAGGAAAAGAAACTTTTGTGAGAGGGAATTTAATGGTTTATATTATTATACTAGCCGCCCCTCGCAACTTCGTCAGGGTGTCTGAAAAGGAATGAATTTGCCCCGTTTTTGCAACATATTTCATTGATGCTTGTCTCCATTGGTCGCAGCGTGATGTAATATAGGCTTCCTAGATAAATGGACTATCCAACACTAAAATAATTCTAACCAGTAGTTCCTGACATTAGCGCATTCAAACAAACAAACAAACTCTTTAGCTATATAATACTATAGTCCATCAACGTCGTGCGCGACCGTCCTGCGGGGTGACACACGGTGTCGGGGACGAGGTACTCAAGATGTCAGCGGGTAGCGGGCGGTGTAGCGGAGAAGGGAATCGTGTGTAGCCGTGTGCTAGAATGACGCGCTACCTCGCCCCCGCCACTGTCTGTCACCCCACGGGATGGTCGCGCACGAGATTGCCGGGTTATAGTATAGATAGTATAGATAGTATAGATTTATTAGTTACTTATTGGTAATGCCGAATATCCAAGGGCTAAATCTTAGTGTTAAATTTAATCGTCTTTACGCTTAAACCGCTGAATCGAATTAGATGAAATTTCATATAGAGCTAGTTTGAGTCCTCGGAAAGGACATAGGACAGTTTTATCCTAGAAATTATCCTTTAAGGGGATGAAAAAGGGGTGGAAGTTAGTGTAGGGAGTCAATAAGCGCCGTGCCGATTTAAATGAAATTTGGTATGGAGATAGTTTGATTATTAAAAAAGGACATAGGACACTTTTTGCCGTGACAACTCTTGATAATATATATTACCCGAAGACCTTCAAAAGTGCAGGGCAGTTACCGAAACAGGCACAGCTATGAGAAACACCCACGTACCTGGTCTGACATGCCTCATATGTACTCTGATGTACTTGTCCCTGTCATGTCTTGCCACTTCGAAGTAGAAGCCGAGCATTGCCATGACCATCATGGCTGCATGCTGCTTGTGCTGGCCTCCTTTGAAGAGTTCTATGCAGCCGAAGTGCTAGAAGAAATTATAACAATAAAAATTCTTGATATTTTATACAATAAGCTTTAAAGTCTAGACTGAAATAAACAAACCTAAAAAAGCAGCTGAAGAGCTGGTTAAGGCGTTCGACTTGCGATCTAATCGTTGCGGGTTCAAATCCCACCCAGTAACGACTTGAAGCCACGACTTTTTTTTTAGATGTGGAAACCACGTAGGGCCAACACCGGGGTTGTCGATGGGGCGGTGTGTCGGAATTGAACCAGCTAAAACCACACAATGTGCCAAAACTGCGCCTAAAATAGGAGGGATCCGGGAACAGTTGTTATTAAGACATCCGGATCTGTCTAGGATCGTCTGCTCGCGATGGCGCGTGTTCCACCTTTGAGTAAAACTCTCATTTATGCGACATTGAGGCACACATGGACTACTCGTGCTATCGCCACCCAGGCCATACTAAGAGCGTCATAAGGCGCTGGGACTGGGAGGCGCGCCACGGACCCAACGGCCTGACGCTGCAACGTGTGCTGAGCCCAGTCCCCACTGCAGACGCTATGGTAACAAGTGGGATTCAGGGACTTAAATTCTTCCTATTGACCAAGTACAGGTTCTTCCCAAAGCAGCCGTGTGCGAAAAGAACCTGCATCAGTCGGATGGAAAGGGTTATTTGCTGCCGACATGCCCACTCCACGATAACCGGCTTATTATGTTGGTTTTCTTATGATTTAATTACAAATGCATAGTTTTCAGATTTTGCCTTATACTTGTAGTATAATTCGGTATTACTTGCCAAATTTCATAGTTCTAGGTCAACGGAAAATACCCTATTATGATTGCGACACAAATATCTTTTTTTTACGTTACGAGTTTATCGTTTTAATTTTAACTCGATACCTCCACATGTTGCCGAGATAAAGGGTCTTGACAGACAGACAGACAGATGGACGGACGGACGAATAACAAAGTGATCCTATAAGAGTTCCGTTTTTTGCTTTTCGAGGTACAGAACCATAAAAAATACTTTTGTATAGACTAAAAAGAAATTAAAATTCGACAGGACAGCGTTATCCGCATCTTCTAGTTGTACATAAAAACACCTAAAACAATAATAAATAGATATGTAGGTAAACAAATATTTGGACTGTGTGGGTTTTGAACCGATGCTCTCTGAGCTTGAAGTGGGCTTCTATCTTAAAGTAAAATGTTATTTTTAGTGTCCTTCAGAAGTCCTAAAGGGCACGAATTTAATTGGCCAACCCAAAGAAAAATACCTTTACTTAATTAACATTCTTTATAAAAGAATCAGAGGCTTTTTTTACATAAAGTAGACGTGATCTGTGCTTGAAAATCACATTTAAGTCTTAGTCAACTGCGGGTAGTTTTGAATATTAATATGTGCAGGTAGATCAGAAGAATTTCGATCATAGTTTCAAATATACACCTCAAGGCAGAAATATCTCGTAATAAAGGTTCGCTCACAATTCAGTTCCGATCAACTTTCGATCTCACAACTGCCATTAAAAGGGTTTTTTGTTGTAAAATATTAAAGTATTTCTAACACTAGCAGTTTACCGATACAATTTTTGGTTACAATACGATATAACCACATTACGTCAACTTTTAATGTTGAATACTTTACTACGTTACCTTTTATGATAGAAGTTGTGAGATCGGAACTGAATTGAGACCGAAATTTTATTACGAGAATTGGCCTTCTGAACACTGTTCTGCAACACCTAAAGGGTTAAATTGGAAGAAATTTCCTTGTAGCATTAAGTTCGCCTTATGAGATATATTCCCAGGTAGTTTCAATAATAAATAAATAGATTGACAATAAAATTGTGAGGTATATTATGAACTGGAATGGGTAGACTGCCGCTACGAGTAGGTAATAGTGCCCCACCGCCTCAAGCACGGCCATAGGCCCTGTCAAATTCTTGTACAACTAAATAGCTCTTATTTATGACTTTGAATGGAAATTTTTGTCAATATATAATAGAATATAAAACGAAAGTGCTGCGCTAGTGGTATAGTACGCGACTGCAGTTCGTGTAACCTCGGGTTCGATTCCCGGACCGGTCAAAATTCCATAGGTTATAGCTAAGTTACTGATAAAGACAGTTACCTGGTAGTAAAATATTGTCAAAATCGTTCCAGCCGTTTTAATATCACCCGGAACAAACAGACAGACAGTCAAAAAATATTTAAACTTGTTTTTAGGCATAGGTATCGTGCAAATACCCGTATGAGCATGAAAAAAACCTATTATTTTAACATTACAAACAGACACTTTTACTTATTAATTTCTATAGAAGACTATCTATTTGTAACTATTATTAATACCAACAAATTACTATAGTAATTATATATTTTTAGTGGGTAGATGTGCATCTGCATTTAAAAAATAAAACAGTTGTTAATTAAAAAAAATATCAAACACTTTAATTTCAAGTAGGTAAATGATCACAATAAAACTATTTTCTTACAAAAAACACTTTAGAATAGTAACAAACGCGTACTTCTACGTATTTAACTATCTTTTATATATTTTACAGTCTTTGCCCACAGTTTCATCTACTTTATGATTGCTGCTCCGCTCTTAAGAGTCAAAGCGTGATGTTACATCCATTATATTCTTCCTGAATGTGCAATAATGACTCACAGATACAAGGTATACAAGGATACACAGATACAAGGATACTTTATAACCATAATGATATAATGTATCATTGATGATTTTTTGTATGATTGATGGATTATTGATTGCAGTAAATATATTTATGTTGAATATTGAATGTTTTAGATTAAATGAATTAATGTAGACGGTTAATAGTTGATAATGTATACCTATAACCATGATATTCGAGTCCTTTCGTTGTAATTGTTTTTTCTTCTTTTTTTGATTTTTTAAAATGTTTTTAAACGATTTTATGTTACATGTAGAAAAATGCTATTGTTAAATTAATTTTATATTTGTACACCGGTAACGGTCAAACATGTCGATCAGGCAATATTACTTAACATCTTTAATGTACACATGTTTATGCAAATAAAATATCTTGTATCTTGTATCTAAGGTTTAGCGTGTTAAAGAACAAAACTCTTTATGTTTAGAACACTGTAATATGCAGGTAGATGAAACTATATATTTCTAAATATTTATTAAAGTTTGTAACTGAACAATTAATGGAACTTATTCTTTAAAAATATTTGAAACTAATCAAGACATGTTCTGAAAACATTTTGGTATCAACTAATAAATGCTAGTGATATGTAGGTACATACATATATTATACGAGTATATTTAACAAATATAATTATTTAATTTTGTGAGGTAGTTTTTATAATTGTACATAAAATAATAATTGAATCGATAATATTTAATACAGTTCCAAAAATAAAAATATAATTTGAGCGATCTACACAATTTGCACAATTCTTAAACACACATCAAAATTATATGATGATATTTTTTTATAAAAACACTTAAAAAACGTAATAGGAACTTCTAGAATATTCTGTATTTCCATGATATTCATTGCTTACAAATTGGTTGAAGATGTTGTTTGCAGAAACATATTAAGAAATGAGATCTCTTTAGTCTTTCCTTTTTCTCTCGTAAATATTTATCCACTATCCTCCTCGCCCTTCAACTCTGGTAATTCTCTAAAACTCCTTTTTCTCCTAACTTTTTTTTAACCACGGCAGCCCGTAAACTTTTATCATTACCTGCGCCCATCTTCTCATACAATCTGTCGTCTTTATCTGAAATTCTTCTTCTATGCAATCCGTATTCATATCAAGCCATTCGAGAGTTCTTTGACATTCTTGCTTCATGAATTCTTTCTCACTCTCTGTTAATTTGTCCGCGTGTTCTGTTATAGTTCTTCTAGCTTGATAAACGTAAGTTTCTAGCTGGTTCCTTGCTTCTAATCGTCTTCTGTTTTCTATATCGTCCAGTCTGTGGGCGACGGCATCTAGGATCATTTTCGCAATTTGCTGCTCACTCAGTCTCTGTTCATTTCTAATCACAATACTCTCTAAGCTTCCAGTACCCCTGTCTTTAGCAGTTACACTCAAAATGCCATCTGCATTAACGTCGAAAGTGACATCAATTTTAGCTTCTCCTCTCGGCCCTGGTGATATCCCATTTAACTCAATAGCTCCTAATAAATTGTTATCCTGAGTTAAGCTTCTTTCACCTTCAAAAATTTCAATTGTCATGCTTGTCTGATGATCTTCTACTGTAGTAATGTCTTTGGTCTTCTGACAAGGGATTGGAGTATTTCTTTCTATAAAAGTTAACATCACACCTCTTGCAGTTTTAATACCTAGTGATAGAGGAACTACATCGACTAGCAAAAGATTTTGGATCTTTTCGTCGCGTTCACCGTTTAAAATGGCGGCCTGGATTGCTGCTCCACATGCTACAGTCTCGTCTGGGTTTAAAGAGGTGGTCAAAGTTTTTCCATCGAAGAATTCTTGAAGCATTGCCTGTATTTTTGGTATTCTCGAACTTCCACCAACAAGAATTACATCATTTATATCAGTTTTTGTTAGTTTTGCATCAGTTAACGCCTGCTCTACAGGACCTAATGTATCCCTGAATAAGTCTGAACATAAATCTTCGAAAAGAGCTCTAGATATTTTTCCGTGATAGTCGATTCCTTCGCAAAGACTTTCGACGTTTACAGACGCCTCAGAGTACGAACTAAGAAATCTTTTCGCACTTTCAGCCGCTGTCTTCAATCTTCTCAATGCCCTAACGTGTCGCGTAATGTCTTTATGAAACTTTTTCCGAAAATCTTGAGCGAAATAAGCAACTAAACGATTATCGAAATCCTCGCCACCTAAACGAGTATTACCTGCTGTCGATTTGACTTCATAAACCGAACCAAAAATTGACAAAACGGAAACATCAAAAGTACCACCTCCAAGATCGTACACAAGAACATTTTTATCACCTTTTCTGTCTAAACCGTAAGCTAAAGCAGCTGCTGTGGGTTCATTCGTAATTCTTAACACTTCTAACCCAGCAATAAGACCAGCTGTTCTTGTAGCTTGTCTCTGAGAATCGTTGAAATACGCGGGAACCGTAATTACAGCTTTATCCACCTTTTTACCTAAATAATTTTCGGCAATTTCTTTCATTTTGAAAAGAACCATAGAGCTAATTTCTTCTGGCGCGAAAGACTTAGTCTGCTCATTATTTTGTACTAAAATCATAGGCTTACCGTTCTCGTTCGTAATTTTAAACGGCCAATGACGTAGATTTGTTTGCACGCCGATGTCGTCGTACCTTCGCCCAATCAAACGTTTCGCGTTAAAAATTGTGTTCGCCGAATTAAAAGCTGCTTGGTTGCGGGCCTCTTCGCCGATTAAACGTCCCGATTCGGTGAATGCGACGCAAGATGGCGTAGTCCGGTTACCAAGTTCGTTTGCAATCACTTCTACACTGCCTTGTTTCCACACAGCCACACACGAATACGCGGTACCCAAATCGATACCGACGGCAGCCATGATAACTTTGTAAACATAACACACTACTTATAAAAACAAACAAACGCAGAAAACTTATCTAAACGAAAACTGTTCAAAATAAACTTATTTGCCGCGTTTCTGGGGGTATTTATACCTTCGGCCAATGGGCGTCGAGAACTTTCGATACTGCTCAACCAATCAGAGAGCGGTACTCATAGAAAGTTCTGGAAGTAGGGTGGCCAGCGCTAGGAACTATGTTTTACCAGATTTGATTTTAAATAATCAAGTATGAGTGAAAATAAATATCGGTTCACTAAAAACGATGTTTCATAAAAAAAAAAGAATAAAATTCTATCAATAGATGACGTTACCATATTGTTGACTTCTCCAGAGACTTGTTAATTTTATTTATTTTTATGCAAATCATCAGTATGTTTTTGTAGTTAGTATGCTAGCAATTACCGTGGACTGTTTTTATCATTTACGTCCTACCCGGAATATGATAAAGAACCGCAACTTTGCCCTAACCTTTTCAATCTTATCAAAATTACGACATAGCTAGAAAAATAAAGTTTTTGTACAACTATAAGAAAAAGAAAACTGAAAGTAAAAGGTTTAGTGAGCAAACTTGATCCGGTTTGGTATTTACAATTTGTGGAATGTTAGGTTTTATTTAATTTAACGATTTCTTGTTTTTAGGGTTCCGTACCTCAAAAGGAAAAAATGGGAACCATTATAGGATCGCTTTGTTGTCTGTCGGTCTCGATCTCGGGACCGGGCAGAGGAATTGAGTTGAAATTATAACCGTATACTCAAGTCTAGTCACTTAAAAAATAAATAAAAAAATCAAACTCCTAAGTTAACGTAAAAAATATACGGCCGTTTATGTCGCAAAAAAGGCATATTTCGACACTCTCACGGGTATAAAAATAAATAATACTCCCCGTTGACCTATAACTCTGAAATTTGACAAGTAACATCGTCTTACACTACAAGAAAAAGGAAAAATCTGAAAACTAAATTACTAAACTAAACAAAAAATTTGTAAATAAATCATAAAATACTAATTATAGGTTTTGGAAACTGAATTTCCGGCAAAGGTCGGTAAAAAAATGCGGGATTCAATTCCAGAACTATTTGTAATATGTACCTACAAATCTGTACGAAACCCTCCGTGGGCGAGTCCCACTCGCACTTGTCCGGTTTTTGTTTTATTTTTAAAGTCAATAATGATGAAAAATCATTCATACATTTGTCTGCTGCAGCAAACTGTAATAACAAGTTAGGACATCCGCTGCTTTTTTAAAAATTCAGTACTTACACTTCTTTCTTTTTGGTTTAAACTTTTATTTCTAACTAGCTTTCGCCCGTGGCTCTGCCTGCGTAAATGTCGGTTGTCGCGGTAAAAAGTAACATATGTCGTACCTCAAGAATCAAAGTAACTCTATACCAAATTACATCTAAATCAGTTCAGCTGTTATTGATTCCCTATACAAACTACCATGTCCATTTTCACCACTTAAAGTGGGTCCTTTCCCAGAACTCGGACTATTTCTATACCAATTTTTATCTAAATCGGTTCAGCGGTTTAAGCGTGTAGTTGTAACGGACAGACAGACATACTTTTGCATTTATAATATTAGTATAGATAACAGCATATCCTCCCAGAATACAAACTTTAGAACCACACGTGTAAGTTGAACCTCGGTTTATATCCTAGGGCTATTCAAAGTTCCTCACCCTTTATAAGATTTATATACTTTTGATTTAATTTTATATCTTTATACACTTATGTCCATCGCTGGACCTAATACCCTGGGCACTCTCCACCAGCCACCCTTTGAGTGGTGTAGAAATTTTGTAAGAGTTTTTTGTTGTTATCAATGTTTATAATTTTTTTCCATATACATATAAAATTAACGTAAACTTACATATGCAATTACACACAAATATAAAGTAATACATATATAAATATAAATATATTTCTTTTGGCCTTTTGAGTAGTTCTTTAAGATTTGCCTCGCTTTTAGTGGCAAAAGAAATAAATTAATAATCAAAAGTAGTCATAACTAAATGTTTAGTTTTATTAATATTTATCATCTAGATCAGCAACCATTTTAGTTTAAAAATTTAACGACTAAAGTAAGTGTTAAATAAAGATAATATTAATTAATTACACAAACTGACAAGAGTTATTTTATAATCCTAATAATGCAATTAAATTGCACACAGTTTTACGTATCAACATATAATTAATAATAATAATAATAAATAAATAATAATAAATTAATTAATTTGTAATATATTTAAAAATGTAATTAATATGTATATATAATTTAATAAAGAGAATAATAATAATAATAATATTCTACCACAATCACACAACGCCATCTAGTCCCAAACTAAGCAAAGCTTGTACTATGGGTACTACACAACTGATATAAATACATTTATACTTTTTTTTTGTAAATACATACATATTATACATAGACACACCCAGACCAAATCAAACATTAAATGTTCATGCACACAAATGCTTGACTTGAGCGGGAATCGAATTAAAATAATAATAAAAAAATTTTTTTTCATGGTAATTTTTCCCACAAATCAGGGAATTTTAATTACCTGACCAGTCCCCGTTAAGACATCGTACACACTGCACGCAATAACATTACAACTGTATCATGTTAGTCCGTCCTTCACGCACCTACGTCCCTGAGCCGTAAAACTTTTTAGTTCTCTTTCTCTCACTGTAATCCACGTGAATTTAATAAATTAAGACATTTTAATTTTGATTACACTGTTTAAAAAGAATAGAGAATCAAGAAGTTTGAAATCAAGTTATTACTGTCTCTAAAAAAAAATGTAGTTTGTGTGGCTTTTAAAATCAAAGTTATCAATTATACCCACATGTTTAGGTATAAAATTTTGTAATCTTGAACTAACGTTAAACCTGTGCAATACGCAGGGTACGACTAACGAAAACTATATTTGCCAAAAATCTCTTTTAAATTTTTTTTTTTCTTGATAGCAGAATACTCGTATAAAACAAAGGAGCTGGATGCGAGAAGCCCAAAATCGATCTAAGTGGCGTGCAATGGGATAGCCTATGTCCAGCTGATGATGTGATGATGTGATAAAACAAAGGTAACAAGTACCTTCATTTAAATATTTTTGTTAATATAAAACTTTCAAAATAACGTATTTCACCATCCAATCATACACAATTCCACAAAAAGTGGGTAGATATGTTACTACAGGTTTAAACACATTAAATGTATCATAAGTCGATCATCGTCTTTGATTTTTGGACTTGTTATACCTAACAAATCTTTTTTTTTGTTGATGGTGTGTGTTTTTTTACGGTATAGGGAACAAATAAGCAGACAGGTCATCTGATATTAAGTGACTACCACTGCCCAAGTGCGTTGTGGCCTTTGAGTGCCCCCACTGCCCAGGGAGGAGGTTTAGATATTATGTAACCTTATTCATTCTGTGAAGATACACAATAAGCCAAGTGTAAAATTTGTGGGTAGTCTGAGAATTTGTAAACAAAAACAAACATTATTTGCAACTAAGTGCGAGTTACTAATGAGTTACTAATGTGACGTGTTAGCTGATGGAAAGTGACTACCAACGCCCATTAACGCTCCAAACTCAGGAGCCACGAGCGCGTTGCTAGCTTTTGTGCTTAATACTTAATTTCTATATTATTCAAAGAAAACTTATGAAACGAATTCTTTAAGTTTTATTCTCAGTAAAAGAGATTAAATAAAACTGCTGTCTCAATTATAATTATTATTTTAAGAACTAATTTTAGATTTAGGGGTTTGTTTTGACTAACTAACAGAGGTATTTCAGTGTTACAGTATTTAGTAAGTTCCAGCTTTGGAGGATTCTCAATTATCCAGGTCCTACTTGTTTTTTTTTTCATTTATCAAAAGTTTACGATTACATTATTAAGATACTAAGCCACTCGCTTAAACCACTTAGGTTTCTATGCGAGCGTTAGTTCGCATGATGATTACAACAACAATATCAAATCAACAGAAACTATCAAAAGCAATCACAGATACGTTTGACGCTGTATGTACACACTAATGTATGTAACACATGGACACATACACATGTGTGTACACACAACACTACATTACATTATTTTCAACCAAGCTACGAAGTTAGACTGCACGGATGGCGTAGTGGTTTAAGCGGTCGCCACGCAGCTTCCTACTACGCTGAGTGTTGTGGGTTTGTTCCCCACATGGGACGACACTTTGTGTGAGCCATAAATTGTTATTCTGTGTCTGGGTGTTCTTTGTGTCCGTTTCATGTATGTTTGTAGAGTCCCCCACGACACAGGATATATGCCTAATGCGGGAGTTGTCTTCAAAAAAATAAATAGTGGTTTCCATTAAATGTGTTTGTAAAGTTTTTAAATAAGGTTCCTTAGTGAGATATCGACCCCAAGGGCTTTTGGGAACCCCCGACCACTTTGGGAATCCCCGGGTTTAGAATGTTTTGTTTGAACATCTTTTGCAATCGTTACAGGTAATTGAAGCCCTAAAAAGTACAACAATAGTCTTTCTACAGAACTTAGATATTGTTTAGTAGGCACTTGGGTTGTGGAGTTCTGCCGTGCCAATCCGATACACTGTAACTTTTGAAAACGACTTATGACTTTTAAAGCTTTGTTACAGTTTTTTACGAGGTTAAACACCTTATTTCAATACAATACAGTATTTTTTAGATTATTGTCTCTTCTAAAATACACTTTAGAATAACAAAAGGGTTGATCAAGCGTCCGTAGTCCGTGTGGAGACGGATTAAGAATACGGAGTGTCACCACCCCTATTCATCCCCTGGGTGTCGTAAAAGCCGACTAAGGGGACAAACTACGCAGGACAACAGCGGCAAAGAGAAGGAAAACTTGACACAAACCCTATACCAACCCGTCTGGCCAGCGTGGTATAGTAGGCCAAAACCTCCTTTCTAAGGAGAGGCCTATATCCAGCAGTGGATTATTCAAGGCTGTTGATGTGATGTGTGATGTGATCAAGCGTACTAAACTGACGTAAAGAAACTGGTTGAGCGTTGTTAAGGCAAAACACTGTAAGTCGAGTTACAGTCTTTGAGATTGGCACGGCAGAGTTGCTCCACGTAAAAACCCTTTTAAAAAAAAAGTTGAACCGACTTCAAACAACACCGACAAAGAACACTAAAAATTAAAAAATAATTACAAATCCAAGTAAAAAACTATAATAAGTACCCTCAATGTAACAGGTAACATTATAATACCAATAGTCCCTTCTGTTTGAAGTCGGTGCCAAGCCAAATAGGTGCTTGATAGGCATGGTAGAATGTAGCGCGGCAGCTGCAACAGTCTTCATGCTGCGCAAAACATGTTGAACGAGCTAAAGTGGACGCACATCTCCAATTATATTATTATTTTGAATGCTTTAATAAATAGTTGATAAGTTTGCGCACGTAATTTATCTGGTTGGTCTTTATTAATTAACAAACTCTTCGATGTTTCATTAGAATTATTTTGAATTCTTAATTTTTCATTGTGCTAATATAAAGCTGACATAGACCAGTATTACTTATTGTGCATCGAGCTTGGCACCGACTTCAAACAGACTAGAAGGGACTATTGGTATTATAATGTTACCTGTTACATTGAGGGTACTTATTATAGTTTTTTACTTGGATTTGTAATTATTTTTTAATTTTTAGTGTTCTTTGTCGGTGTTGTTTGAAGTCGGTTCAACTTTTTTTTTAAAAGGGTTTATTTTTCCATTTTTAGTTTAGGATATGTTTGTAATGAGTAGATAAGTACGATATTTAAAACACTACGCACCGTAATGTAAACTGTAGTTTGTTAGATTATATTAAATATTATATTAAATTACTGCTGGACATAGGCCTCTCCTTAGAAAGTTGACCCACACAAAATTTAAGAGCTTTTTCCAGAACTATTTTAATAAATCTATACTAATATTATAAAGCTGAAGAGTTTGTTTGTTTGTTTGTTTGTTTGTTTGTTTGAACGCGCTAATCTCAGGAACTACTGGTCCGATTTGAAAAATTCTTTCGGTGTTAGATAGCCCATTTATCTAGGAAGGCTATAGGCTATATATCATCACGCTAAGACCAATAGGAGCGGAGCACCAATGAAGAATGTTTCAAAAACGGAGAAAATTTATTACTATTGAGAGACGCAGACGAAGTTGCGCGGGTCAGCTAGTTAAGTATAAAATTACTTACAAACGAAATGCGATGCCACCCATAGCAACAAAACGTCTATCCGAATTATTTTAACAAGATAGAATACAAAATTTCAACCTTTTCTTCTTAATACAACGAAAATTACTGTGGGGACATAAATACTGCAAGTTCTCTGCGCATCACATCGCGCAGTCTCTGACGGTTGCAGTGGTTTGTTTGGCTAAAGAAATACTCGTAGCTAAAACACGTTGTCGGGGCTGTCAAATTCCCAATAATTGTGAGGGTTTCCCTCGATTTCCCCAGGATCCCATCATCAGATCCTGACCTGGTGACAATGGGACCACCTCTGACGTATGACCTACCAAATAAAAAAAGAATTATTCAAATCGGTTTATAATTGCCGGAGTAATCGCGTAACAAATATACAAAAAAAAAAAAAAAAAAAAAAATACTGTCGAATTGAGAACCTCCTCCTTTTTTTGAAGTCGGTTAAAAATTGAAGTTCAGCCGATTCATAGTAGACTCAAAGCAGGCCCCAACCTAATTTGGGAAAAAGGCTTAGATTGTTGCAGTTGCAGACGTTTAGATTGTCTTATTATATTTATTATTATATTTTATATACAGAAACACCCCCGTAAACATCGACACAACATACAATGGCACACAACTAGAAACTGTAGATACATTCAAATTACTTGGTATAACTATAGACACACACATCAACTGGAAAGCACACATCGAACATACAAAAAATAAACTGTCTCGATTTACATATGCTCTATTCCAACTTAAATGCAGCACAAACGAAAAAACCGCACTGTCAGCATACTACGCATACGCATACTCCTGGTTACGATACGGCATTATGTTGTGGGGAAACAGTGTACACTTTCAGGATTTATTTATATTACAAAAGAAATGTATTAGAATTATCGGACAAATTGGAAATCGTGATAGTTGTAGGCCCTTCTTCATTAAATATAACATCCTCACACTACCATCATTATACATATTTGACATCTGCATATTTGTATCCAAGAACATGAGTCACTTCGCGAGAGTAAAAGACAATCACAATTTAAACACACGCCACAGAGACAGACTATACCTACCACCATCAAGAATTAAAATGCTACACCAGAGCCCTTACTACATGGCTGTAAAAATATACAACAAATTACCTATCCACATAAAAAATGAAACGAAGACTACACTATTCATTAAAAAACTAAAAGCATTCTTAATTACAAAATGTTTCTATTCTGTTAAAGAATACATTGAGGAAAAAAACACTTAACAAACTACATTTCTTATTACACGGAAAACAGAAAGCATATACCTAAGTACAAATCATAAAAAGAAAAATCGGTCGTGATGCTCGGAAATGCTAGGGACAGTAGGAAAATGTGTATATGTATTAGTGATGTAGAATGTCGGGTGCCTTCGTATTTTTGCATGCTTTATTCGATTGTTATACTGTACTATTGAGTCACTTAATTTGTATTGTTTTATTCTTCTGCGTTCTCTCTCAAATTTTTGCAATGCCTGGAAAAGGCTTCTGAGTTGGGACTACTACATATAATATTATAAGATCATTGATGTACACTTGGTTGGCAAATAAAGATTTGATTTGATTTGATTTGATTTGATTATTTATCAGTATAACTTGGACTGACATTTAATAGGCTTTTGTACTGTGGCAGGTCAATATCTATCTATATCTATAATCTATAAAAATAAATAAAATTGGAGTGTCTGTTTGTAATATTAAAATAACCGCTTTTTACTAAATGCATATGTATGTTTTGTGTGTACATTTTTTTACAATTTTTGTCTGTCTGTCTGTTTGTTCCGGGTAATCTCTGGACCGATTTCGACGGGACTATCACTGGCAGATAGGTGATGACATAAGGAGTAACTTAGGCTACTTTTTAGACTAGCTTCGCCCCGCGGCGTTGCCCGCGGTTATAACAACAAACGCGGGTAACACCGCGGGTCTCAGCTAGTAACATATATATTAGACCTATAGTTTTAATATAGCTGGATTGACAGTTTTTTTTAAACTTTATTGTACATATTGTATAAAAAATTAGCTTTCTGCAATAAATTCTTTAACATATTATAAATACGATGTGCTTCTGTGCGCCATTTTGTTGCAAAGAATTTTCTTCAAGTATATATGTATTTTCTTCAAGTATATATGTATACATAGAAATAGATCAAACAACGAACGCTTTGAAACAAAAATAAACAAGATTACCTGTTGCCCACCAACTCTTCCAGTAACGTAATCAGGGCTGGTATCCAGCACCAAGTAATCTTCGTAATTCATAGCATCTTCCTCCGTCACTTCCTCCAGCCTCACACACGTTTTACGTTTGAGGATTGCTGCTACTGCTCCTAACCTCGCCCGCATGTCGTCTAAGTCATCTAAACCATGGAGAATAAAAAATATATGTGTATCGAATAGTTTGTCTCTGACTTTTTATTTTGTTTCACTCTGGCGTAGTGGTTTAAACGGTCACCTCGCCGCTTCCTACAGCGCTTAATATTGTGGGTTCGATCCCCACACTGGCCAACACTTTGTGTGATCCACAAATTGTTTGTCCACAAAAGTCTGGGTGTCTTTGTGTCAGTTTCATTTAGGTATGTAAAGTCCCCCGCGGAACTTATATCCTAATATATTCCTAGTGCGGTAGTTGTCTTGAAAATAAAAAAAAATCCTATTATAGGCTATCTCTGTAAATAGAAATCTTTTAATTATATCCATTCAACCGTTTTGGTGTTAATACTCGTAAGTAAAAATCGCCCAATCATTCAGAACCGCATTTCGCATTCATAACCGTAATATAAACAATCATCATCATCAACCATCATCAACAACCTTTACTAATCCACTGCTGGACATAGGGCTTTCCTTAGAAAGGCCAGACGAGTTGGTAGAGGGTTTATTTCAAGTTTTCCTTCTCTTTGCAGTGCTTTTGTCCTGCGTAGTTTACGAGACCCACGGGATGAATAGGGGTGGTGACACTCTGTATTCTTAATCCGTCACCACACGGATAATATCTACACGGATATATATAAACAAAAATAAATATTTAAAAGAAAAAATAAAAAATAAATTTAATAAAGTAATATAAACTTTAAAAAAAGGTCCATAAATTTGATAAAATTTGAAATTTGAAAAATTTTGATAAAAAGCTCGAGCAAAAACTTGGCAAAAAATACGCTTGGCTTGGCTTCACTAATTAAAAATAAAACTTAATAGTTTGAACCATTGATATACATTTAACTCTATAGTTTGAACACAATATTTGTTAAAACTTGAAAGTCTTTTTGTCTATTTAATTAAAAGTCATACTTACAGTTTTCCAGGGGACTGATAACGTATCTTAGAACACCTTCAGGCCAACGTCTTTCATAATAAAACTCTTTGTTCAATCTTGTTAATTGAACGGTTTCAGGAAGACCATCATGACTACGCTTTTTTTGATTCGGCGATTTCGTTTTCTCTAACCTTTTAGGCAAAATAACAATACTAAAAGTTATTCTTACACTAAGAATAAAAACAGTATGGTTAAATATTCATAAATATATTAATAAAAACAGCAGAATTGATAAAGTTTCAAAATTACATTTTTTGGCGCGTAGTGATTCCGTTACGCGCCAATATTTATTAGGTTCTGTGTATTGGCATGGGACAAAATCACAGTCAACTGTGAAAGACCGGTGATTTATCATTTGATTTTTTGGACGTAGGTTAGGGTTACTACTTACTTATAAGCTGTTTTCAGACGATGCATAAAGACCCTATTTCACCTATTCAACAATAAATCTAGTAATTATTTAAATATATATAGCTACCATTCCATTAATTTAAATCATTTACATAATAATTTACTGTTAAATAGCTTTAAACTTCGCTACCCAGCAACCCTAACCTACGAACTCAAAAATCGAATGAAAAATCACAGTTCACTATGATTTTGTCCATGTCTACTGTGAATACTTTGAATGAATACACTGTGAATTAATAATCTGTGGCAACGTTATGCGCATCAATGTTACAGATAAATTAATAATGAATAAGTTATAAGGATTTACAAATTATTTTCTATTACAATGTAACATATTAATAATGACATTATATTGTTTAAATTATATGTGTTTAAGTTTAAACAATTTTTTGAATAGTGTGTTTTGAACACTATGCTATGTAATTTTAGTAAAAAATATTCAAACGTTTTATTGTAGTGTCTGTAATTATACGAATTGATCGTTTGACTCATTTATAATGTTTGTTTGAGGAAAAACGTATAATTTATTTATGTTAATTATATTTTTATTCACAGGACAATAAAAAAAAGATGTTTTGAATCATTTGTCACATTGTCATTCATCGATTAATTTTATATTTAATTGAAGAATATAATTAGTATCTAATATTATTATGAGTATTTAATGACTACGAAACTATGCCTTATAACCTTTTAGAAACGGTAGAGTTCTAGGTACACACGGCAAACGAAATACCTGGTCAATAGTACGACGTATGTACTTAAGAATACGTTATTTTCTTCATATATATATACAGACAACACTTCTTATTCTCGTCTGGGGTCCCGCACCGCACGATCAACCAGTCAAATTATATAAAAGCTTTAAGTAATGTCCTAAATCGAGAATATGTTTTCAGGCGATATGTTTGGGACTAGCTCTGAATTCAAAACTACCCGCTTGATACATAAACTATAAAATCAGCAAAATCAATACTCACTTATTTATACGCCTTTCAAAACAGTATTCATAAGTATGATTTTAATGAACTATTAGTAGAAAAATAGGAATTAGTAATTGTTGTTGTTTCAAAACCATTCTGAGTTTTTAGTTTAAATTTCTCTAGGAATAGTTCAGTAAAATCGCAAGTACTTCGTTCCAATGACTAAACTTTTCATTTGTCGACTATATACGATTATACCATTTCAACTTTAGAACTTATAAATTGCTTGTCAAATATATCTTACCTGATATTTTTGTTTATATCTGTAAATCACCGCACAAAATACCTATGAAAGTGCAAAATTTGTTGCACGTAAACCGTTTTTACGGACTTAGATAACTAACGATACCTTGGCCATTTATAAACTGTATTCAATAATTCCTTATTTAATTTGCTAGAATGCATTCCATGGTAGACCAAACTACAGTACAGTTTGACGAATTGGTTTGAAGTCATAGAGCCTGGCCTGAGTCATAGAGCGGTGGCCTGTGTTGCTCTATGTTTGAAGTATTCTGTCTCTAGTGGCGGGAAATCAAGGTGAGTTGAAGAATGCAACTAATTATAATTTATCATCAATATCATACAAAAAGAGCAGTCAAATTGAAAACTAACTAAATGGCGACGGTTAATGTAATTTTACAACGATAAAATCAATTTTTACACGTTTTAAGTAACGTCATCACAAGATGGACGTACAGGTGACGTGACGTGGCCCTGATATCTTCGACCTACTGTCTCGGGTTATTTTTCCCATCCAACATCCGATACTGATTACCCTAGCTGCTAAGAAGTTAAATTAGGGTAAGCAAAACAAACTTTGGTTGGTTTTTTAACCCTAATTTAACTTCCTTCTTAGTGTCTGCAGGTATATTATGTTAAAACGCTTCTTTATTTTCTGTTCAAGTTTTTCTTTCCATTGTACATAATTAATGGACTTAAGTCACTTCGCTAGGCTCTAGCTAGCAGTCTTTTGCGTTTCACAATCTTACGGTGATACTTTTCTAGTCGAAATCATTCCAATACTTTAGAGGTTAATGTAATACTTCGATTTATTTAAGGCTCAGTATGGCACACTATGGTTTTAGTCGATTCGATTCAACGAAACGACCTACGCAAATTCTGGCACAAGTACAAGGAGTTTTTTTTAATCTAATTTGATATATTACCACCCTGTTTTCATTACCTTTATTTACTTTCTGACTTTGTTCCGTCTAAAGATAATATAAAGTGGATCGAACTAAAAAAATATTCGTCTAAGAATAATGTACAGTTGATTTATTAGGAAATTTTGTGAAAAGGTGCTATCCACTTTATATATCATCGGTTGACAGCCAGCGAATAAAAACACCAGTCAAAACTCTTTGCTGTGTCATATATGACGTCAACCTCAAAAAAAATAGTAGAGGACAGGAAAATGTTGATGATTATGATGATGATGATGATATAAAATGAATAAAATTTTATCACAAGTAAATAATTTCATATAATAATTACTTTTTATCCATAATTTCGAATGTATCTTTCATTTTAATCTTATTCTTAGACTTAGCTATTTTTTCCTTTCTGGCGGGAACATCGACTTCGCTGTCATCTTTGTCCATTTCTTCAACGACATTCTCCTCAACAATAGAAACTTCCTTGGATTCAAAATGTACCTGAAATATTTTACTGACATAAGTGTTACGATTCGATGGCCCAATGATGACCAACACAGCTAAATGACTCCGCAATTTCGTCTGCGTCTCTTAAAAGGAATAAATTTTCCACGGTGGTCGGAGCGTAATGTCACATAGCTTATAGCCTTCCTTGATAAATGGACTATCCAAGACTAAAAGAATCTTACAATTCGAACCGGTAGTTCCTGAGATTAGCGCGTTCAGAAAAACGAATAAACTCTTCACCGTATTAAAACTAGTATGACTACTATAGATAGTATCCATTTATTAGTTACCTATAGGTCCGAGGGATAAATCTTAGTGTTTACAACATTGGCAGCTGATGCTTCCAATCAGCTGCCAAAAATTCAAGTAAGTAGCCCCAGTGGTTTTAACCTAGTTACTAATACAGTTTCTCACTAGTTTGAGAGTTTAGTAGAATACCAATAACAAATCGGTATTCTACTAACAAAAAATCAGTGTCAACAGACTGTTGATGTAGTGACAATGGCTCATCAATGGTGATATTAACAACTTTGCCATATCTAGATAACATTTCCTTACAAATTTAAAATGAATAATGAAAGTTACATCAGTGGCAGTTCAGTGAAAAGTGAAAGTGCAAAACTATTCCGACGACAGTCCATCGACAGTCTATTCATACAATATTAAAATAGCAGAATTGAGGCCCTGATGGTAAGATGCTACTGCTACTGCAACTGAAAAGTCACAAATGCGTTGCCACCTTTTGTCCGAACCCCAAGACTCGGGGGAAGGTAAGGATTTGCATCCCAGTAACTTCACTCACTCACGAAATAATTGCTTAAAACCGGTTTTCTGTGAGGCCGTACTATTAATCCGAATAAATCAGCTCGTCTATGAAAAAGCATCTCTCACAGTAAAAGCTTACTGACATATGACTGTCATCTACTGTTGTTAATGGTATTTATTTACGTATGTATGTATTTGTTTATATGTATTTAGGTATATGTATGTACGTATGTACATTGCGTATGGGTTCTAGTGTATGATAGGTTTACGTACGCGTATTTGATATTATTACTACAAACAAACTTTAACCAAAATGCATCTACTTCCTTTTTTCTCTGCATTAATCAAAGGTTAACTGGTAGAGAATGCCTTAGGCATTAAGTCCGCCAATGCACCAAAAGTGCATGATGTGTAAATTAATTAATAAAAGCTTTTTTAGAGAAAATACAGACTCACCCTTTTCCCGAAGTCAGTAGTATCTTGATTTACTTTGCTCTCTTTGATCAAGTTGGGTGAAGAAGGAGCGTCATTCACTTCAGCAACATCAGCGATCTCTTTCCCTCTAGATGCACTCACACCTGTCCCTCCTTCACTTGATACATCTGATGATGCCCATTGTGATTCTGGCTTAATGGTGTCCTTTTTCGTCCTGGAAAACCATTTTTATACATATAAAATTATTTGCCCTGACGCACTAACTTATTAATACAGAACCTAAACCGGTGGGGCAAGTAGCATCCGTTAAAAAAGGATTTTGGGTAATTTCACCCCTGAGGGGGTAAAATAAGAATGAACGGTTGTATAGAGATTCGTCAGTTTTAAAGTTAGAAACACGAAATTAGAAATAATTTAAGAAGCAATAGCTGATATAAATATATATAAAGCGGGACATAAATGTAAGATATTCATGATGGTCAGGATGTGACCATAATTATTTTATATCTTTACCCAACTGCGCCAAAAGGAGGCATATTTTGTCAAGTGTATGCAGATAGGTGTATATATATAGCTCACTTAGTTATGTAAGGGGTCAAGTCAATATTTAGAGAAGTGTGAATTTAAATGCTAAGATCAAATAATCATCATCAACAGCAACCTTTAATAGTCCACTGCTGGACCTAGGCCTCTCTTTAGAAAGGAGGTTTTGGTCTACTATATCACCCTGGCCAGACGGGTTGGAATAAGATTTGTGTCAAGTTTTTCTTCTCGATGCAGTGCTGTTTTTCTGCGTAGTTTTTCCCCTTAGTCGGCTCTTACGACACCCACGGGATGAATAGGGGTGGTGACACTCTGTATTCTTAATCTGTCACTACACGAATAGATAATATAATAATAATAATAAACGTATATAAGATGGGTTCGAGTCTTGGGTAAGGATGCCTGGCGCACCAGGGTGGACCATGTATAACCGCTGAACCAATTTAGAAATTTTTTGGTTATAGAGATAATCCGAGTCCCGAGAAACACATGGGATACTTTTTATTAATCATCCTTTAAGGAGGTGGAAGTTGTTGGGTTGGGAAATCAATAACCGCTAAACCGATTTAGATGAAATTTGGTATGGAGATACTTTGATTCTTGATTTTTAGGCGATATGTTTGGGACAGCCCTAGCTGTGTTGCATTCAAAACTACCCACTTGATACTAAAAATAAAAATCATGAAAATTCATACTCACTTATATCTACGCCTTTCAAAAAATCGCCTTTTAATTCCACTGACAGTCAAATCAGGTTTTGCATCATTACCAGTGACTGGAGTCTCTTTTATCTTTTCTTTAGCATTCATTTTCTCCTTCTGTAATTTCTCTTTAACAAGAGAAGTCTTCTTAGCATCGAGGGCTTCTCGTTTTCTTCTAACCTGGATCTGTGGTGTGGTACCCTCATCTGTATTATTGCCACTTCTCCAAGCCGGTTTATCATAAGAATACTTCTGGTTATGTTTTACTTTTGTCGATTGAATAATATATGGTCTATAATTTGTTGAATAAAACACATTGCCAGTTTTCGTAGACCTGTATGTAGGTCTACATCTGTTATCTAACTGCCAGTTACAGGACCTTTGATAAGCTGCTAGAACGTCAGGCATCTCACAGAATACAGTTAAATTTGAAACTGCTTTCTCCACCGTCTCTATAGCATAGTCGGCTATCAGTTCCAAAATTCCAATGATGTCGTTATTGTGTGTTTTCTCTGTCGTTTTAGAAGGTAGAGTTACTGGACCCTTTGTGTCTTTACACATTTTCTCTCTGGCATGTAAGAGAGCTTCTGAGGATAACTTAAAAACGTTATCCACCAATGTTTGAGCCTCTTTTTCTACGCCTAGTTTTTTTAGGGTTTCCGTTATATTATTTTGTGATACATTCTCTTCAGATGCTCTTGGTGTAGGAACAGGGGCTGGTGTTGAGGGAGGTGGCGTAATATTTGGATTGACTCTCAAACTCTTTACAGTTTCACCCGTCTCTGTTTGTCTCTTCCTTCTTACGACTGCAGGGTAAGATTGGCATAGCTCAACTTTCTCAAGGCGGTCTCTCACCCGGCATTCTTCTCCATAGACAATTTCAATTTTTTTTAAATCGGTATCTGTTAAACCCTCCCGACGTTGCTTGGTGTTTGCACTCTGAAATTATTTAAATTCATTCGTCGTAAGGAGTATTTATAACCATGGGAGAGTCATGATACATAGGTATGGGTTGACTTGACTGGAGTGATGCCACGGCCTCACGGAAAACCGATGTTAAATTATTCTTTCGTAGCCAAGTCCCTCCTAATTCTGGAGTTGAGCATCAAAGGGCGGTAACTCACACATGTCTGTTGAGTTGCAGGTCTCCATTGGCAGCGGTAGTCGCTTACCATCAAGTGACCTGTCTGCTCGTCTGCCCCCTACACCATAAAAAAGCCGGCTTCAACGCTGTAGGTATTACCTTAAAGAAAATGGTTTTGTGACCATTTTTACTGTAGTCTCTTTCCCCGAAGTGCATGACACTGTTTATGTCGTATGGTAGTGACCGCAGCTCTTGTGGTAGCGCAACGTCTTTGGTGAAGAGCTCCACGGCACCTGGTGGTGGAAAACATTTATGTGTTATTGAATTAAGAAGCTTGTTTTCTTGAAATCCGCCTTGGTGTTCTAGATATCTGTCACTGTGTCAGTCAGCGCCTGCAACCCATACAGCAGGACGCTCTATACATCTGGTAAAGAGCTCTCGACGCGTTTAAAACTAGTCAGGCACCCCTTTATTTTCTTTTTTTTTTTTTTTTTTTTTTTTCCGTGCGGAAATCCCCTCGGATACCACCTGTCGGTGGCATGTCGGACTCGAACCGACTAAAACCGCACGCCTTCTCGGGTACTAACAGCCGGGGAACCAGGTATACCCTAGAAAGGAAGTCCCTGGTGCCCCGACATAGTCAGGCACCCCTAAAATTTACCATAAAGTTAAATAGCGTGTAATGTGTGTTGAAAATATGTATCCACAGTCCACAGACAAGGTTTTTGCACTTCTTCTAGATATAAACTTTAAGTATTTCAAAGATGATATGCTTTTCTGCCTGCAAATAATAATTTCGAAAATAATGTAAGGTATGTGTTATAGTATGTGTATGTTATATTCTGTATTTCATTTAATCATCTTTGATTTATTTTCATAAAAAAAAATTTTGAAACGTTGAGAGTAACTTTTACAAAAATAAAAAAACAGCGTGAGGGGTCGACGGACCCCCGGTCGGAACGAAGTTCCTTTCGCTTTTTGGCAGAACTTTGCTATACAGTCCGCAGTGTCGAAAAAAAGTCTTGTTACACATTTTTCGGTCTCGCGCCTATCCGTTCAGAGCGTGTAACGCGCGATAACTTCGTTCCAATAACGCGAGCGAAGCCGTCGACAATATCTAGTTTGTTATATTCGTTGAATGTTGCAGCGTGGACAAACCAACATTTATGTATATAGATCATATCCATAAGCATTAATATTATTATTATATCCATTTCTATATTTAGAGACGAAAATTTAAATGTATTAGCTACCCCCGGTACATTTAGCGGTAGTTACATAGCGGACAGACACGCCACCATCGAGAACAGCGCCATTTCGAAAGTGGTTCATTGGTTTAATGTCAACAATTTACTATTAAATGAACAAAAAACTAAGTGTATACGTTTCACTATGCCAAACGTCAAGCCAGTGAAAACTACTGTGATAATTAAGGATGTCGGGCTGGACCTTGTGGACACTACGACATTTTTAGGTATAACACTAGATGCTAAGCTACAGTGGGGCCCACATATTGATAAATTGTCGAGTAGACTCAGCTCAGCAGCATACGCAGTAAGGAAAATCCGAGAGTTGACTGATGTTGATACAGCACGACTCGTTTACTTCAGTTACTTTCATAGCATAATGTCGTACGGTATTCTGCTGTGGGGGAATGCTGCCGACATTCAAACTATTTTTGTGCTGCAAAAGAGAGCTATTCGAGCACTTTATAATTTAGGCAATCGTTGTTCATTGAGGCAGAAATTTAAAGAAATAAATATAATGACAGTGGCAAGTCAATATATTTATGAAAATGTAATATATGTTCACAAAAATAAAGATAGCTTTTTGAAAAAAAGTGATGTACATGCCATAAATACCAGAAATAAAAATAAATTTGTTGTACCCGCCTCTAGGCTCCAAAAGATAAACAAGTCTTTTCGAGGTCAATGTGTCCGATTTTATAATAAAATCCCAAATAATATTCAGGAGTTGAGTATTAACAAATTTAAATCCGCAATAAAACGTGGCTTGTGCCAGAGGGCCTACTACTCGATTGTGGATTACATGGAGGACAAGAATGCTTGGGATTAATTAGCGCAGGCTATTTCTTTCTTAAGTAAAAATGTGGTGTGGCTAGTGTGTTTTTTATTATTATTATTTTTTCTATTTTTTATGTTTCACTTCATTTTCTCTTGTATTCGTTTTTTCTTCTTAATCTTGTTTTCTCTTCGTTGTTTTTTTCACCTTTAAGTCCTTAATAACGGACATACTAGCACACATCAAAACAATGTTGTGATATATTTAATAGTGCCATTGTATCTACTTGTGAATTGCAAAAGAGTGGCCATGAGTTTGTTTGCCCTTTCTTCTCATAAGGCTCAACCCCTTGGAAACGGGCGGTTGTAGATCGGCACAGGCATATCATAGATTTTGTATGGGTTTGATTTTTGTTAAATTTATTTGGTTACTATTTGACAAAACAGAGATTGTTGCTTTTGTGTGTGTTGATCTATGACTTTAGAGTCTACATGGAAGACGATTTCAAACAATTTTGGAAATTTTATGAAATAAAGAAAGTTTGAGTTTGAGTTTGAGTTTGACAAAAGAAAACAGTACCAAAAAAAAAAATTCGAATTTATACATAAATTATCATATGAGGAAACCGAAAATCTCTTAAATGTTCCAGAGTAACCTTTCTACTCATCCTGTCACACTGACACATTCTCAACCTCACTCCACTGGCAGAGAGCTTCATTCAGCTTCGATGTGCAGTGATATTTTTTTTAAACTTGTGTAAAACTTTTGTTGTAATAAATGGTACATAACAATGGCAAATAAGGTGACGTAACTAGGAAAGAGCGCTGATGTCTGGGGTACAGATTTCTTATCTAGTCCAGGCACAATTTAAATGTATCACGTACCCGCAGTAATATTAGTAAAACCAAACCAAATTTTACATGTATAATGCTACCCATTATAACAACGGTCTCTTCTATCTCAGATCTTCTATTATTAATATATTTTAAAGTGTGTTTACCTTTTGCAAGTCTTGATTTTTACCCGCCTACGCTAGAAAGAGTGTTATGTGTATGTATGTACATATCATTTATAACGGACATACTCAGACATACTAGCACACGTCAAAACAATGTTGTGGTATAGTTAATGTTGCCATTGTAATTCATTGTATGTATCTGGTAATTAAAAAAGAGTGACGGTAAGTTTGCTTGCCCATGCCCCATAAAGCGGAAACACCCGCTCTCATTTCTTGAAAACGGGCGGTTGTAGATCGGCTCAGGCATATAATAGGTTTTCAATACGTATACATTTGGTTTGTTAAATATTTGACGAAAAAGAGATTGTTGCTAGAGTGTGTGTTGATCTATGGCCCTAGAGTCTACAGAAATTAATATTTTTTAATGAAATATAGATATTTTGAGTTTAAGTCGTATGTATATTTCTTTTGCACGTCAGTTTTAGTCTAAACGGCTTGATTTTTTAAGGCTTGGGAGGAGTCGTTAGATTTGTCTTAACGTGTGAGAATGAAACTGGATACATGAAAATTTTACAATTTAAAATCGTCAGTTAACGAAAAGAAAAGAAACGAGAGAAACGATAACCGATGCTATCTTCTATCTGGTGCCATCTTTATTCTTCACATTTCATTTACTCATAATAATATGTAGAAGAAACATGATTCATTTTGATGTTACTAGATGGCGCTGTGCTACTTTAATTTAATAAAATAACGAGTTTTAATTGGCATACATACTCAATTGAGTTTTACTTTTATAACACTTACTTTAATTTACACAAATCGCAATTAATGGTATTAAAATAATCACAAAAAAACGTGTGCGTCTCGGGACGCCCGACAGAACTGAGCTATTTAATATTGAAATCGTTTAACTTGAGAAAAGCTGTTATTACTTAAATTTTATGTAAAGCGGTCTTTGCGAAATACGGCTAGCGCTGTGGGTTAGAGTGAGAGAGGAGGAGCCTGCCTACCGCTGCCGTATGCGTGAGAGAAAGGGAAGCCAGAAAGACTGGCGCCGTAACGCGTCACGGTATTATAATTGTACCGTGAACGCGTTACGCAACAAAGCGGTTTGCCCTCCCATAATAAATTATCACTTTAAAATACAAATATACCACTACGATTTATGCTACTATTTTCCATTAAAGCATAATAAATTAATACCTAGTGGGTGTGTAGTTTGGTTTTAAGTAATGACTTGCTAGTTAGTTTGTTCGCCGTTCGCCATATTCGTTCTTGTTTCTGTATTTAAGGGTTTTGTGTAGTTGTTAAGTGTTTTTAATTAAACTAATTTATCGAAATGAATATAATAGTATTTATAAGTAATGACTTGCTTTTAGAGCACAAATAATTGCTTTGCATAAAGGCGTGAGTGAGTGTAACGTAAGAAAACCTAGTAACGCCATCTAGTATATTTTTATCAAATTAGATTTGTGTTTATGCAATTTTAGACTTAAAGCTTTTTGTATAAACGTGATTTTACCTATACATCAATTTTCATGTCTTAGGTTTTTTTTAGACAACTTTACGAATATATCCTGTGTCGCGGGGGACTTCACAAACATACATGAATCGGACACAAAAAAAACACCCAGACTCAGAACAACTATTTGTGGATCACACAAAGTGTCGTTCCATGTGGGGATCGGACCCACAACACTCAGCGTAGTAGTAAGCGGCGTGTCGACCGTTTAAACCACTTCGCCATCCGTGCAGTCGCCAACGAGTTATTTACAATCATCATCATTAACAGCTTTTAATACTCCACTGCTGGACATAGGTCTTTCCTTGGAAAGGCCGTTTTAGTTATCTACAATCCCACGCTAGCCAGAACGGGTTGGTATAGTATAGGATTTGTTTTCCTACTCTTTGCAGTGCTTATATCTGCGTAGTTTGCTCCCTTAGTCGGCTTTTATGACGCCCATGGGACGAATAGGGGCGATGAGACTCCGTATTCTTAATCCGTCACCTCACGGAACAATATTTAGTGTAAGGAACGTTATCACGGTACGAAATACCTAATCAGTAGTCCGCAGTTCATGTGACTTTAATGGACTAACTACTAATTAAAGAAATTGAGTTAATAATAAGTTGGAAAAGACAAGTTATTTACCGAGTTATATACTGACAATGTACACACATGTACTCGTAAACATATAAAAATATACTTAGGTACTGGAATAACTCACACATGTAAACCTGACCAGAGGGGCTTGTGTAAGTTTATTTCACTACTTCTCGATCGTCACAGTGATTACGTACGGCGCTGCGATTGGCCTGTACTGAAATCTGCACCAATCGCAACTCCGAACGAAGCCCCCTGAGGACCAAGTGTGAATTTATTTCACATCAACTCACTCGTCACGGTGACCGGAACAGCTCCTCCTCGGCGGACGGCGAACGCGTTTGGCGTTGCGATTTTAATGAGCCAATCGCAACGCAGGAGCTATTCCGGTCCTATTTCAGGTGCAGAGTGGCATACAAAGTGGTTTTAGTTGAATCGATTCTGACACATTGCCGCACCGCCTTTTGAGTTTGATACCCTACTCGATGAACGTTTATTAACCCATTTCTATTATTACAGTTTTACGCTAAAAAGCCATCAATTTGTTTCTTCTTTTAAAAAGACGTCTTGGGTTATGTTTTTGATACGGATAAAACAATGAACTGTCTAAATCCATCCAGCCCTTTCGAAGATACGAGGTAATAATAATGAAAATTGGAAAATATTGTCATTTATTTTTCTGTATGTAACCTTTAACCGGCTTGATTACAAAATTATCGCAGAGATTAATGTGTATTAGAGATGTAATATAAAAAAAAAACAAATAGAGAAACGAATGCCCACTTATCTATTTACACTAAGCTGATTACGTATCAAAAATTATAATCTTCACCTACATAAAACTAAATTACTAATCACTTATATTCACAAAAGCACCTTGTGTAGATGGCATAGAGAAAGAATTGGCACAGCAGTGGGCTCATGAGGCGGAGATCCGGCTCCCCCTGCGATGTCTAGGTGAGTATATTTCACATTTTTATCCTCTAAACCACCAACTTTTATTAAAAATCCAGCTGCTAGCTGATGATGACGACATTTTATATCCGTATCTACTTGAAGAAGATCATCTCCTTTGCATTTGCCAACGTTCACTGCCAAGTCTTCGGGTCTTATCACCGATACTTCGAAGCCTTCCCCAATCCTGCTGCCAGAAAACTGGAGACGACTAGAATGGTTAGTTCCTTTGGCTAAATGATTGTCCATGGCTGCTGTATAATCTCCATATGACATTCTGGCATGACCAGTCAACGTTGCTATGGTGTAAAGATGGGGGTTTAACTCTTTCAACGCATCTTCACCAGCTTTGAAAAGAGCATCAGCCATTGCAAATCTACCTTCAGCATCTGTATTTGTCACACGAACGGTCTTGCCGCTTTTGGACATCAGTAATTCATCAGGCACGTACGAATCTGCTCCAATGGAGTTTCTACAAAGGCATAGAATACCTACTACCTTTAGATGAGGTGGTTTCAATAGAGAACAGGCTTTTAGGAATCCAGCTACGGCTGCGGCACCGCTTTTATCACGGGACATGCCAGCCATTTTACCTGAAATCTTCAGGTCAGCTCCACCAGTATCATAAGTTACTCCTTTACCTACTAATATTAGGGTTTCGGTGACTCTTGCAGGGTCAGATGGATTGTACTCTATTGTGACAACCCTAGGTTTGTGTCTCTCAATCCTGCAAGCGGCTCTAGATACAGCTGCCAGCAGAGGATAATCTGCTAAAATTGTAGCATCGTCAGATACAACTTTAATTGAAATGTTGGTGTATTCAGCGAATTTCTCCTTAACATATTTAACAACGTTTTCAGGTGACATGCGCTCAGGGTCACCACCAGCGATGTCGCGAGCAAAAACTCTGGCTTTTTCTAGAGCAATTGCATTTCGGACCGTTCTTTCAAATGTCTCACTTGTTTTCTCTTCAGAATGAAACCCAATTCTAATAAAAGTTTTAGTGTTATCTCTTTCTCTGAGCTGTAGAGGGACATACAGAGCTTCCAAAGCACCTAAAATACATACCAACTGTCCATCAAGGTAGTTCACGACATTCTGCACGACCAGCAATGGCTTTTTGGACCCAGCTTCCAGGGCTCTTCGCATACCTTTGTAGGCAGCTTCTTTAATAACTCTGGCATCATGATATGCGGTTATATTTCCTGTTGGTGCAAGGACGATTCTTCCACCAGAGACGTAGTCGCAGCTCCAGACGGTAGGAGTTTTGTAGATGCACTTGTCTTTCTTGGCGATACTTCCGATGAAACTGTCCAAGGACCTCGGCAAAGGGACATTCAGTTCGTCAGGAAATAGAATAAGAATAACCGCATCATAATCGTTCGATAATATATTAGTTTCAATAAATAAATTATCGTATAGTTTATATTCCTGCGCCATGTTGTCGACACTCGGATTGAAAACAAACTGATAAATTGAACAATGCGTTTTATCTTGTTAATGTAAATACATTATCATTGTTATCAAAAGGTATTTATTCTGATACCATTATTAACTTACTGTTATTTATAATCAAGTCCAATGTGGATTAATTTTTGGCGTGCACAGCCCTCAGACACGTATTAGGCTTGAGGTGCCAATTTTAAAAATGAATTCATCTATTGCACGACAAATAAAATTTTAAATTGGCGCGTTTCGTGACATTGTAAAGAATTTAGCTGGTTGTTTTCATTGACGGTCGCTTATCTAGCACCAAACCTCCTTGGTGATATAATCATTTTCAGGCGGTTAAAAGAGCGAGGTATATTGGACAAGACGAGAGGAACGGATGAGGCGTGGACGGTTGAGTTAGGGGTTCTGCTAGTCTTGGATGGGAAGCAGGACTGCGGACTGAGGCTGTAGTAGGTCGAGCAGAGGCCGGGATCGCATACCCAGAAATCCATCCGGTGCTGAAGGCCCCTAGGACAGGTATATTAATGGTCAAACATTTTACGATAAATCTAAGCAAATCTCGTCACACATCACATCAACAGCCTTTAATAGTCCACTGCTGGACATAACCTCTCCTTAGAAAGGACGTTTTAGCCTACAATACCACGCTGGCCAGACGGGTTGGTATAGGGTCTGTGTCAAGTTTTCCTTCTGTTTGCGTAGTTTTATGGCATAAGGAGCAAGACGGGTCAACTGATGGTAAGCGATTATGCCGCCCATTGAGACCTGCGACTCAAAAGACACGCCTTTTGAATCCTCCCCCTCAGGATCAAGAGGAGGAAAGTTTGGGCTCCGGTAACCTCACTCAATGAAAAGCAATGACAGATGTGCTTAGAACTGGTTTTCTGTGAGGCTGCGGTATCACTCCGGTCGAATCGGCTTCCCCATGGTAATCCATTCTAATCTTATAAATGCGAAAGTGTGTCTGTCTGTCTGTCTGTTACCCTTCACGCCGCTTAAACCGCTGAACCAATTTAGATGATTTTTTTTATAGAGATAGTACGAGTCCCGGAAAAGGACATAGGGTAGTTTTTATCCGAGAAATCATTCTTTAAAGGGGTGAAAAGTGGGTAGAATTTTGTATGGGGAATCAATAACCGCTGAACCGATTTAGATGAGATTTGGAATGGAGATACTTTGATTCTTAGACATAGGCTACTTTTTAACGGGACCAACGATATTTACCGACATAAGCTGGTAATAAAATAAGTAATACCTACGTAGTAACGAACAAAATTAAGAAACAGTTCTATTTATAACTAACTGTCTTCTTCATCAGGCCTTCGTTACCAAAACCAATCTTACATTAAACATTTTAAAACTAAGCGTATGAGCTCAGCTTTCACAGGCTTAACAATAGTCAATAAAGAGTCACTATTCATCTACTGCTTCCATCATCAGAGCGTCTAGTGCGAGTTTATTTTACACTAGCTTTTGCTCGCGGCTCTTCCCGCGTTAATGTCGGTTATCGCGGTAAAAGTAGCCTATGTCCTTTCTCAAGAATCAAACTATCTAGAAACCAAATTTCATATAAATCGGTTCAGTCGCTATTGATTCCCCATACAAACTTCCACCCCCTTTTCACCCTCTTAGAGGATGTTTTCTGGAATAAAAACTATAAGTCTTTACTCGGGACTCAAAGTATCTCTATGCCAAATTTCATTTAAACCGATTCAGCGGTTTAAGCGTGAAGAGGCAACAGACAAACAGACAGACAGACACTTTCGCGTTTATAATATTACTATAGATTAAATTGATCGTTGATTATGACGTGAATTGCGATTGGCCCGCACTGAAAATTTCACCAATCGCAACGTCGGACGCGGTCAAATTCACACTATATACCTTCAGATAACTCCAAGATGCCACACTACAGCATTATTATCTAAATTACATAAATATACAAATAAAGTGTGGTGACGGATTAAGAATACGGAGTGTCAAAACCCCTATTCATCCCATGGGTGTCGTAAGAGCTGACTAAGGGAACAAACTACGCAGGACAACAGCACAGAGAAGGAAAACTTGACACAAACCCTATACCAACCCGTCTGGCCAGCGTGGTATAGTAGGCCAAAACCTCCTTTCTAAGGAGAGGCCTATGTCCAGCAGTGGACTGTTAAAGGCTGTTGATGAGTACACATAAAGTTGCATTTCGATACATAATTTAAAAAGCAATAATTCACTTACAAGAGTTTACCTACATAATTTGTTAGTTGGTTACATGTAACCTTAATTAAAGCGTGTTAAAAGAAATAATATCTTTGTATCTTAAACTTATAAATGGTCGTTTTTATGTACGCCTATTTATTGTATTAAAGGTGACAGCCAGATCCGCAACACAACAAGAGCCATAATGAAAAGAACCTGATACCATAGACTAACCTCCTCTTATTTTCTTTGAAATAACATTTAAAAAGGAACTAATCTTATAAATACATTTATTTGTAATAAATTTAGTACTATTTATAACACTTGTAACTAAAACAAGATGTAGAATTTATAATAATTTAAAATAATGTAAGGCTATTTTTAAATTATGAAGTGACTACTAGTGTTGCGTGTGTGTAAAAATGTATATACGCGAATACGTATACAAATACAAAGTATTAGTGTCTAGATCCGCATATTCTAGTTCCGACCTCGAGTTTCACCCCGATTTAATGCCAATACGCGTGACAGTCGACGTTGATTATTAAGTAACACAACAATGCGCGTGTTTTTTTTTAATATATTTTAATAAACATATTACAACAATGTGGCGTTAGAACTCGTTATAAAAATAGTACATTAGAGCGTGTTAAAACAATAAAAACTACCATTGTGACGCCTGATACCGTCACGGCTAGACGTTTCACTCGTGGATCTGAGGGTCTGAAGTACACACGTCGGAGTAACCATTCATGCACAATAAAAAAGAGTGAAATTACTTACCAGGTTCAACGTTCTCCATCATTACATTGATGTAAAGATCTCTGCAAAGCCTATTGTGTTCGAAAGGGAAGCCCAGCGCTTTCATGATCATCATATCAATCTGCGGCGATTTCAGGCAGTCATAACCTAAGGTGACTTTCTAGAAAAGAAGAAACAAGAGCATCAGTCATATCTATATATGACAAAGAGAGGAGAATGCTACGTATGCATTTTAAGCAATAGGAAAAGACAATTATATGATGTGAATTTAATATTCCCGTCTGATCTTTGATGCCCCCTTCGCCATTAAAAAGTGTACTTCTTCTACATTTAAAAAGCACTAAACAAATGACTATGTTAAAACGGCCATGTGAAGTGGTAGGGTCCAGTATATATTTTGACCAGTCGTTGCAATACAGCGTATACAATGACAGTTGAACTTGTTCTGGTCAAAACCACGGTACAATTATAATACAGTATTGTAACTCGGCCGCATGATAGAAATAAATGCCTACAGCCGCGCGGTACGTAAACATGCGTTAGGGCTGCCCATCTCCAGCATTTTAATTATATTTGCCTACTTTCTGTTTCTATTTAGATTTGTGATTGTAAATATCCTTTTTATATAAATAAATGAAATACTTTGTATATTGAATAGGAATTGTTCAATAAAAATGCGTGTTGTTTTTTGATTGGTAGATTTAATTAAAAAACATTTTTTTGTTTGAAAAACCAATCGGGCTTATAAATTAGCGACCGAAAAAAATCCTTCTATAAAATAAAATAAATGTGCTTTCTCCATACGCGTTACAAAACTCCAATCCTTAGAAACTCCAACACCTACCACCTACTCAACTAGAATGCAAGAAACAGCTGACGAGTAAGTAACTTTTTATCTCAGCTAATTAACGTCTCTATAAATTACCTAACCTATAACCAACAACTCGCAACAACTCAAAACAAAAATTCTTTGGTCACCAATTAATTAATTATTAAAAAGCTGAACAGCTGACTACGAATGTTTTAAAATCACAACCCTCAAACATCTAAATATTATATATGAGTCTAGCTGTTGTTGTTAATACCGAGAAAATAAAACCAGTTTTTAGTGGTATATGTTGTTATAGTAGCAGCAGAAACACTTTGTGAAAATTTCGAAAACTGTCTAATGACACACAGACGGTAACAAATTTTTTTTTAGTATTATTCATACACACAGATAATAAAGATATATTATTAATAATAAAATACCACGTCTTTAAGTAGAATTTTCTTTTTTTTTGAATTATGCAAAGTAACAAAACAAACATGCACCGAAGTTTTAACACAAGCGTAAGTAGGTAGGTACCTACCGTATCATGATTCATTCAGAACCGCATGTAACTCCCTATTTCACTCGTCTCAATAACTTTCCGTTACTCTATTTGCTTTATTTATTCATCCAAACACCTTTTTTTTTTCGTGAGATAAAAGGAAATACTTATCCATTAAAAAGACACACATTATGTACCTACGTACTAGTAAGTAAAATTATTTTATAGTCTTACTTTTCAGAGTTTCCAGGTAATTTAAAAAAACTTATGTCTGGATGCGTTATTGACGAATTCATACAACCAAAAACAGCACAATATTTCCTACTCGTCATATTAACTGATTTTTAGAGAAAAAATAGCGCGGTTATTGTTAAAAAAACAACACGCAGTCCGTTCGACACTGCGGTACAGCCGTGACTGTCTGCGCCCCGAGCGCACCCCGAGATCGAGGCGCGTAGGTATAGCTCCCGTTTCGTCCGTTTGTATGAAGTTGCAGTACTGTATTATAATAGTACCGTGTCAAAACGGTCGAAATTCGAACGCCAGATCTCTAGTTTAAAAGGAAAAACTGACTCAGTGGTGCAGTGGTAGCGTATGTGACTGCTGTACTGAGGTCTCGGGTTCGATTCCCGGGTCGTACCATGATCTACAAATATTTGATTCGGAGTTTGGGTGTTTTCTATGTTTAATATGTTTGTATTTACAAAAAAAAAGTATAGAAGTATTCTATAAGTCAATCTAGCTTTCATGGTACAAGATCTGCTTAGTTTGAAACTAGATGGCATTGTGTGTCAATGTCCGAAATATTATTATTTTGGGACTATTTTTCGCAATTTTATTCATTCAATATATTAATACTTACAAAATTTTCGTAAACTGAACTTCCTTTTGTATCAATCTGGCATCTCCTGTGACCATTAGGATTGACGAAGGTCATAACTCTTACATTGCCATTTGGCGGCTCCAGAACCGGCATGAACTTGAGGCATGTTTTAAACGCGAATATGGAAAGCGCTGTCATAATAGCCACAGACTGTTCCTTGTCTGTAAAAAAAATAGGAAAAATTGTGAAAACTTGTACATTTTTCTAAGCTTTTTTCAGCTAACCGTGAGATAGCCATGCTTCGGCATAAATGGAAATGGCTCAACCGGAGTGATGCCACTGGGTCACAGATATTATTAAAGTGACAGTTTCATTACATCGCCTCAAAATTTTTCGTCCATCTATCGCATGTAGCATTCAGTCAAGCCAATATTCCATCTCCTTCTGCGAGCAAGTTATGCTTGAGAGGAGAGGAGAGGTTTAGAACTCTCCCGGAGTTCCAGGCCCGGCAACGGGCCAGGTACCGCAGACGACTCAGGCGCCGAAGGTCGCAGAATGACCTCCGTCCTCCATAAGGGTGGTAGGTGAGGCCATCTGTCACCCTAGCAGAAGCAGGCCGGGGTGGTGGCGAGACCCCCTTTCGGGAGCACAAAGGGGACATAAGGGTTCCCACACAGGAGGGGGGTCATTTACGCAAGGCCCGAGGTATCAGGTATCAGGTCGGGGTATCAGCGTTTTTCCTTTCTAGGGTACACCTGGTGCCCCGGCAACTGGTACCCGAGACGGCGTGCGGTTTTTGGTCGGTTCGAGTCCGACATAACCACGTTTCGTATACGCGAATATACTTTTTAAATTAGTCGGGAGTGTTCTTAGCTATGTTTGATGAAAATCGGTCCAAAATGGCCGCCGCCTCAAAATGGCGGTTTACATGTGTTTTCACAACTCACTTGGTCCTGTTAGGGACTCTCTCTCCCTCCTCATATATTTTTTTATGTTTGTTGGGACATAACTTCGTCATGTATAGGCGAATTTTCAATTTTTTTTTGTTTGATATGAGTTTATGCCGAAATGGTCCCATTTAAATTTCATCTCGATCTCCTGATGAGTTTCGGAGACAGACAACGGAACTCCAATGACAGCAAATCAACCGCGGTTGCTGCTGATGTAGTGATCTTTGTTAGTATTGTATGAAGTCGGTTCAACTGTTTTTAAAGGAATTTTATTTTTTCATGATATATAGAATTTTTTTTACAATACCAAGATAAGGTGTCAAAATGTTACATCAAATACGACTACTATAAGGATTGCAATTTTTTTCCTTTTGCAAAAGTCTACTACGATACGGTTGAAATTCGATTTTTTACGTGGAGCGACTGCCTTCAGAGCGACTTCGAAGTTCTATATGATGATCCTATGACAACCGGGACCGACCGGTGACCACTTAACGTGCTCTCCGAGGCACGGAGGTGTCTCAATGTTTTAAAAATGGTCACCTATCCATAAACTGACCTGGCCTCCCATACAACAAACGTGATTTTTTGGTCGCTTTTGCTCGAAATTGATAACGGCAGAATATTTAGATAGATAGATAGATAACTCTTTATTTGCACACTAAATTACAGAGTGTACAAAGTGCGGCCTTATTGCTAGATGCAATTTCTTCCAGGCAACCTTAGGATGGATCAAAAGTTGCAGAGAGACAGTAGTAGTTGAATATCTGCATTTGTGAACCTACTATTAGTTTATTATTATCTACTATACATATTACATATACTACACATATTATATTCACATATTATATCTACAAACATTTACAATTTTAATACTTACATCTACAATGCATATCACAATAAATAAATCTACATATATATAAGTACCTACATACTATACCAGCAAATATACATATACACATACATATATATATACGCATTCTTAAATGAATAAACATATAGAAAAGAGAAACAGTTTCGTTACACCCTCAAGCGTGATGGACTCAATTAAGGTGAATAAAATTCCTGTACCATTTTCTTGAATCTATTTAATGTTTGCGCCTGTCTGATGTTAAGCGGCAGTGCATTCCACAAGCGCACAGCTTCAACAGTGAAGGATTGATCATAAAATTTGGTGGAATGCAGCCGCATCTCCAGTTGTAAATTTACGGATCACCGCAGACATTTTTCGTGTGTGTCATTAAGGAACTTGAATCGTTCTTTGAGGTAGAAAGTGGTTTTGGGATTAAACAAAATGTTGTAAAGGAAAATAAGGATATGAGTATTCCGGCGAGAGCGAATTGGAAGCCACTTGAGCATTTGACGGAATTCAGAGACGTGATCGTATTTTCGTAAACCAAATACGAATCGTATACACATATTTTGTAGTCGCTCAAGCTTATCGAGTTGTGCTTCAGTGAGATTCAGATAGCTGACATCGGCATTTAGTTATTTATTCACTTTAAAAATTCACTTTCACTTAATTAAATAATTAAATTAAAATTAAACAAATATTTAAGGAGGGCTCCCATACAACTAACGTGATTTTTTTGCCGTTTTATAGATAATGGTAGGGACCCCTTCGTGCGCGAGTCCGATTAGCACTTGGCCGGTTTTTTAAATACTTACCAAAGTGATCAGGTTTAATGTAAAACGGTATTGTTCCATTAGGCCAGAACATATAATTCTTTGTCGATATTACTGAAAATCAAAAATATTATCAGTTAGATCTGCTAATATCTATATTATTAATATAAATCTCAGGAACTAATAGATCGAAATTTTAATGTTGGATAGCCCATTTATCAAGGAAGGTTATAGGTTATATGACATCACGCCATCACGCTACCACCAGTAGAAGTCGAGCGTTAAAGTAAAATGACGCAAAAACGGGGCAAATTGATTCCCTTTGAGAGGCGGTTGCTTATAATATAATGAAATACTAAGTAGCGAACCACCTCTGTGTATGAAAAGTGTCCGTAAAAATGAACGGATGGCGTAGTGGTTTAAGCGATCGCCACGCCGCTTCCTACTACGCTGAGTCTTATTGGTTCGATCCCCACATGGGACGACACTTTGTTTGATTCACAAATTGTTGTTCTGAGTCTGGGTGTTCTTTGTGTGCGTTTCATGTATGTTTGTAAAGTCCCCCATAACACAGGATATATGCCTAATGCGGTAGTTGTCTTTAAAAAAAAAAACGACTAGCTGACCTTCGTCTGGTTTCTTTTTACCGAGGTTTGGCTCCTATTGATTGATATATAACCTATACCCTTCCTAATTAAAGGAGCTATCCAACAATTCAAGAATTTTTGAATTTGAACCAGTAGTTTCTGAGATTAGCGTGTAACAAAGAAACACAAACTCTTAACTTTATAATATTAATATCGATTAGATACTCACTTTTGGTAATCAATTCATCGTCACTTATATCTATTTTTGACAATATTAAATTAATGCTGTTTAACAATAAAAATAATTTTAAATATTCCAACATAACTATAATAACGAAACACTAGAAAAAAAATGAATTATTTTGCAATCTTTTGGTTTATAACAATTTTTATGGCGGCCAGTTATTGAAGCGAATCAAAATGTAATTCGGTTACCGAATACCTAAGTCACGGTTTAATAATAAAATTCAAGTAAATTTAACTGTGTATAAAACTGACTTAAAAGAAAGAAATCTGTTGGGTTAGCTCTGTTTAATGGACGGCGATAGTCACTTTCCATCAGGTGACCCGTCTGCTCGTCTGACCCCTCTAACATAAAAAAATAAAATTAAGAACTGATTAACTCTTAAAATGTACCTATTTTACAAAATACAAAATGGTTATAGATAAACTGCTCCGGGCCCTCGAATAAAACAAGAATACGCCAGCGCTTTTACAAAAAAATAATGTATTTTTTACCAAGGTATTTTAAATAATGCAGTATTATTCCTTATTCAATTAAAAATGTTAGATATGTTGTGTATTTAATTTAGATCAAAATTGCCCTTTACAGCATATATCATTGAAATGAAAATATCATTAAATATCTTAAAAGATATCAGAGGTTTAAATGTGGACGGCACAGCGGCCGCTGGGCCGTACTATCAATTCGGGCGTACGGGGTGGCAACAGCCGCGGAGCGTGCCTATAAATTACCGACCTCATCACATAATTTTGTATCCTAGGTTGGAATCGAATCCACGATCTGTAACGTAGTCAGGATCTCTAAGCGGTTGCTTGTTTAGAACATAAACCTCAAAGAGCACCTAAGTAGCAGCTCCCACGTACGACAAACCTGGTAAAGCCATGCTTCGAAAGACGTCCATTGCTGGACATAGGTCAAATAAGCCCTTCCAAAACTTCGCCACAGCAACCGGTCCTGTGTAATATGTGCTGTAATATTATACTTGTTTAATATAATGCATACATCTTTGCTGGATGCGAGAAGCCCGAAATCGACCTAAGTGGCGTGCAATGGGCAAGGCCTATGTCCAGCAGTGGACTGAGATAAGCTGATGATGATGATACATCTTTAATAAAATCTTTGACAAAAAGAAACACAATTGGACATTACTTATGGGAATCAAATCTGAACTTAATTTTGGTTTCATTGTCTCCAATGTTACAGACAAAGTATTGTTTTTCTCCTGGTAATTAAGTTCTAAATAACTCCTTGAGAGGGAGAGAGATAGGATTTCTACACAGTGAATATCCTACCGCCACAACATCAAGTAGGAACTCGAACGATCGGGTAGATATTTATAGGAATTTGATTGTGGTGCTAATCAGGATTAATAGTTACTACATAGTTCGGTGTGCCTTCGACAGATGGCATGGATTTATGTTTTTCTTCGTATTTGGAAATAGCCTAACGACCGGTGAAGTGGTATGACCGAATCAAAGCTACTAAAACTAGTGTTACTTAGGAAGAAAAATCTTTGGAATCTCATACTTGTAACATAACAGGATCTACTAGGCAGCATGTAGCAAATAACAATAGAAAGTTATGCATTGCTAAAACTTATGCAGTCACCAATGCGTAATTAAAGTAAAATAATGTACGAAATCAGTTTTTTTTACGTGGTGTAGTATATAATACTAGAAAATTAATTGTAAAAATCTCCGTTGAAATAATAATTAAACCTTTTTTTAAGTATTTCAGAACAATTTCTTAGCAACGGTTTCCAAACAGACCTGTAGTTGTCATTACCACTGTCATTCACTTTTTGAATCAGGCTTCTATTGTGTGGTCGATCTTGTTTGGATTTATAGCGCGCTGTCAGTTCTTATTTTTCTACATTTTCGTTTTTTAAATAGTGAATAAAACAAAATAGTTATCGGAAATGGCTGTAAGTATCTCACAATACTACTTAATACGTTGAAGACTATTAAAAGCAGCCGGTTTTAGTAAACATAACCTCACTTTGTAATAAATCATGTTCTTTTACCTTTACGTTTGTTTCCTAATTATTTTTTTAAATTTTGCAGTCGATAGCCGCCGCCCAGGTGCAAGAAGTGCGTTCGATTACGCGCATCGAACGAATTGGCGCACATTCGCATATACGTGGATTAGGTCTAGATGATTCCCTCGAGCCAAGAGCCGTTTCCCAGGGCATGGTGGGACAGAAAATGGCCAGGAAAGCCGCTGGCGTCGTTTTACAGATGATTCGAGAAGGTACTATTGAACAAACAACATATAACAAATCTCTGTTGCTATGACAACTTTATCAATATTCATTTAGGACCACTTGTTTTAATGTTTTCACTTTAAACCTATCAAATTAAAGGTAGTAGCTACAAAATGACTAGTTTGACCATCATTTGCTCTGTATCTAGCTGTAACTTATTTATAATATGGATTTATCAGTAGTTGGGTTATTATAGCTTTTCACATTATGCCGTTGCGCTTGCGGGTTATGGTTTATTGACCAAACAAAACCTATTTATCTACCAACTGATTCTAAACCGAGTTGACACACTATGACACTGTATATATATATATATATCAATTTACCTACAAGCACAAACTATGTAATTATGTTCCTACAAAATCGAATACGCATCGTCAGTTTAATAATAATTTATTACATAAACCTAAATACTAACTGTTCGGATCTAACGGACATATTTTTCTTATATCCACCAAATGAGAAAAAGAGAAGGCATGGTAATATTGATACTTGACTGGGTAGTTTGTTGTATAGCCCTTGGCTCTCAATAATCTACCAATCAATTCATACCAACGCCGCGTCGGTCATCAGTTAGTATGGGTAATGTCAAGTTTAATGCTTGGTTGCAAACCGTAAAACGATGGCCTAATTGATCCCGTTGAATAATGTTGCACTTTACTTGTATGTTACATTTGCTGGTCGACTTATCATATGGTTCAAAACCGTGGTTTGAATGGTATCATTGATAAATAATAAAAAAAAAAACTCATACAAACGAGGACATAGGACATCATCTTCAACAGTATCAGAAGCACAAGTCTAAGTCCAGTTAACAATAGTTAGTAATACATAGAAAACGAAAAACGATTCAAAAAAAGTTTTTTTCTGGCCACTACCGGGTTAAACACTAATTCTTAATACTGATCTGGCTCTATCTCTTCTATGAATTCTGATACTATCTTAGACCAGTATCTTGTTAGTTAGCTGACAATACATATATGTTTTTTACTTCATCTGTAACTTAACTATCATAGAATATTTTTAAATATTGGTTAAAGAAAAAACATTTTTACCATTTTATTCCTTTTTGCTATTATCAATTGTCTACTTCGGCTAAGTTTATTAAGTTAACTACAATTTAAGTGACGGTAATTCTAAAACAATGTTTCAACGATACAAAACCTAATCAACAAAAAATTTGTTGTAATTAAGAAATAAAAAAAATGCATCTGACATAATTATAGGGTTGGTATAGGGTTTGTTTCAAGTTTTCTTCTTTTTGCAGTGCTGTTGTCATTTTTATGTTGTTGTTATATTTTTCGTTTACCTAGATGAAATCATTTCTTGCAGGGAAGATAGCAGGGAGAGCCGTCTTGTTAGCAGGTCAACCGGGCACAGGAAAGACTGCTATAGCGATGGGCCTCGCACAGGCTCTTGGGCCTGACACTCCTTTCACCAGCATGGCAGGTCAGTGATATGATTATCGAACTGTTCATTCAGCACGTCAATAGACATGGGCTCGATTAGTAGATACCTGCTGGAAAGACATTTTAACACCATAGAAATTATCATAAACACACCATAAGGCTCATGTGTTACTGCATATTTTAAAGTTGGATTCACAAAATTTATCATTGTGCCACATAGAAAATAAATTATGGAGCATGGCCTTTAATAGTCCACTGCTGGACATAGTTCTCTCCCTAAAAAAGTTTTGGCCTGCTATACCACACTGGCCAGATGTGTTGGTTGTTTGTTTCAAGTTTTACTTCTGTTTGCAGTGCTGTTGTCCTGTTCGTCACCGTCATCTGACAATTGGATGTTAATGCACTATTATACTCTGTCATTTAATATACTATAATTATAGTTGGGACTGACACAAACCCTATACCAACCTGTCTGGCCAGCAGTGGACTGTTATAGGCTGTTGATGATGATGATAGTTGGGACCCCTTAGGGGAGGCCCTTTGATGATGGTGAAACTCTGGCCATAATTTATCTCATTCTTCACAGTTGCTTTACCACACCTTAGACATCACAAAATCACAGTGTACTTTGATTTATCATTCGATTTTTTTCATCGAAGGTTAGCGTTGCTACTTACCAAGCGTTGTAAATAAGTTGTTTTCAGATGATGCATAAAGATCCTACTTAACAGTAAATCCAGTAATTATTTTATTATATATAAACCATACTAACATAATAATAATTGATACAAGCTTTATTGTTTTAGTAAATTTAGTATTTTTTTAACATAGTCCCTACCATTCCTTACATAATAATTTAACAAATACTAGATTTACTTTCACATAGGCAAAATAGGGTTTTAATGCATCGTTTGAAAACAGCTGGCAACAACGCATGAGTTGGTAGCAACCCTAACTTATGTAGGAAAAAATCAAATGAATCACAGTTCAGTGTGATTTTGTCCCATGTCTACTACACCCGCTGATTTTTATCCGACTTCAAAAATTAGGAGGTTATCATTTCGGATGTTTATATATATTTTTTTATGTATGTTCGGGCATAATTCATATATAGACGGATTTTCAAATTTCTTTTTTTGTTGGAAAGGGGTTTATTCCTAAATGTCCTATTTAAATTATATATAGATCTGATAATGAATTCCGGAGACAGATAACGTAACTCTTCAAAAAATGACAGCAACTCAACCGCGATTACTGCTAGGTTTTTAGTGCTGTTTGTTAATATTGTTTGAAGTCGGTTCAACTTTTTTTAAGAATTATTTTCTTGTGTAAAGCAAGTTTTCATTAAACATATATCTATGAATAAAAATTGCGATTTCGCGAATAGAAAACTAATTTTGTGCATTTTTTTAATTAAAGGTTCTGAAATCTTCTCCTTGGAGATGAGCAAGACTGAAGCCCTCACACAGGCCATTCGAAAATCTATGGGGATAAGAATTAAGTGAGTAATTAACTACTATTAGGGAACATACCCATACTGCGGGACCCGTTCTGAAGGGTGAAGGGGGTCTTCTAAATACCACGCTTGGTCAATGTATCAAATGTTTGTCTTTTCTTCTTGCAGGGAAGAGTCGGAGATAATAGAAGGAGAAGTAGTGGAGGTGGTGGTAGAACGAGCTGCTGGTGGTGGTGGTGCCAGGGTTGGACGACTGACATTGAAGACAACAGATATGGAGACAAATTATGATATGGGAGCAAAGATGATAGACTCTTTGTTAAAGGAAAAGGTAAAAGATCTGCACTCTTAACATATTGAGCTAGCTACAGAAGCTAGCTTACTATATTTATTGTTTAAGTTTTCTTGTTTTGACTCGACAGGAGTAATACTATAGCATCACAGAAAATAAGCAATGCTGCTAAGCAATGCTCGTTGCTCACCAGTGGCCAAATCCAAATCAAATTAAATATATTGATCAACGTATATTTGACAGGTACAAGCGGGTGACGTGATAACCATAGACAAAGCTACAGGAAAGATCAACAAATTAGGTCGCAGTTTTGCAAGGGCCAGAGACTATGATGCGACCGGTACGTACCTTTTTTTTTCAACATTCTTAAAAGTATAAAATCTTCAACTTTATGTTGTAGAAGAAATTTCGTTGCGGATTGTGAGAAGAGTTGTGCTGCATGCTTTTCCAAAATTTAACAAAAAATATTATATTATTATACCTATAATATCGTATGATGAGCACGATCATTTGTTCTGTGTCTGGGTGTAATTAATCGACAATATGTATTGTTGCGCCATAGTATTAAATGTTGTAATGTGGAGTAAAATTATATGAAATGTGGAGGACAGCGCCATCTAGTATCACGTAAAGTACAACTATTGAGATTGTGCTCAATAATTCTGATACTACAGCTCTAGATGGCGCTGCAAGTAACGCGCAACTGATATTAGAATATTCTGATTTGTTTGGAACGGACTATCGAATACTAGGGATCATTCTATTAAATTCGATAGCACTATAAAAGCGTTGGCCTTATGAGACAGTATCGTTTAACGGCACAGCGAATTAACATCGAAGTAAATTTCTAGTGCGCCTAACGAGTTACATAGTGATTTGTTGCTTGTTATATTGAGTGTTTGTAAATACAGTGCAATAAAAGTAATTAACCGACAACTTTTATTTATTATATACTCCGCTTGTAACAGAATATTTAAATATGTTTATCAGCAGTCTGGTTACCATTGCACAGGCTCTGCCTAGTTCGGGATCAGACGGCCGTGTGTGAGATGTGTTTAGTTATTATTATTATTATTCTACAGGTCAGCAAGCCAGATTCGTCCAGTGCCCAGAAGGTGAACTCCAGAAACGTAAAGAAGTTGTCCACACCGTCACTCTTCACGAAATTGACGTCATCAACTCTAGAACTCACGGCTTCTTAGCTCTATTCTCTGGTAAGTCCACTGTCTGGTGGTCCACTACTAACTACCCTAAGGAGTACTGTAATCATTGATTTTTTTTCCAATGACCTTAAAATTTGTGGTCCCATGGATAACCATTCAGAGCCACGCTACGGCCAGCTCGACAGAAGTGATGAGCCTTCAGGAGACCGGTGTTTAGCAAGTTTGTGGCAACATTGTTGCACATCACTATGATTGAAATACGTAGCATCATGACAGTGCAACACTATTGCCTGTCAGTCTCTCGTGTCTATGACATTCATTCTTTTAGCTTGCTACAAAATGGATACTGTAACAATTAGTGATTGCATATAAAGTTAAATATAAATCTTATTTCTGTGAGACACATACGGCAGTTTTATTGACAACAACACGTAAAACAAACTGGTGTACTGGCCATCGTGATTTCGGGCCTTACGACACTAAAGTGGTGACTCCCTCGTGCCGTCGCGTCGAGTTCCCGCCGAATTTGCATACCTACGTTTCAAACTGGACTTCGTGATCGAGTACTGCAGCCTCGACCGATAATTTCCATCTATCCTGCGTTTATTGCAACATATCCAAGCGGCAACACCCACAATCCACGGTTTTCGAAACTATTTCACCCAACGCACGCCACTCTAACCAGAAAAAACCGGTTTGCCTCGGCGTGCCGCTGTGAACAATCGTGCTTCGGTGTTTCTGTGTGGTACTCCGCAATCAAGACGGATTTTGCCTACAATTGTGTTCTCCGTGCTGAAATACATAAAGTTTATCGCAATTTCAGTGGAAATGCCTATATTTCATCTCCGAAGATTTTATTTAAAATAGAATCCAACGGGTTGACAACGCCATCCATCATCCAGTAGCGCAATTTTTCCATTACTTCCATTATTTTTTTTTTAGTACTTGCCGTCGAGAAGTGATACTTTCAATCGATTTGAGATGTGCGCTTGCGTTATTTTTACTCTCCGAACAATAACTCTAAGATCGAATACGTAATTTTATTCTGTCTTCTATGGTCGTCACTGAGTGTTATAGTAAAAAACGTCAACAAACTTTTATCCAATTGTAATATTTTGTGTATATTATAAGTCTAGTTTAATTTACGTAGTAGTAATTAGTTTTATAGTGCTACAAGTTCTATTGTATTTTTTGGTAAGTTTTTGTCACTATTTCACACAACTAATCTGTAACTTTGCTTTTCTTACAAATGTAAACAAAGTGCTACGTTATTGCCTTTTATATTTTTGTCCACTTTTACTGCTCTGCTTCTACTGGTCTTTAACTTTGCAACCAGAAAGCATGTATGCAGGGTGTATAGCTTGACTCAATTAGAAATTTTTCTATTCTTTTGTACCAACATAAATTTTGCTAAAATATTTTAACTTATTCTAACATTGTGTAAAGTGTGTTCTTTGCACCTTAATATTAATTTTATTATTTTATTTTTTTTAACAGCACTTATACCTGTAAGGACTGCTTGTAAAAAAAGTCTTTTCATCCTTTGATTGATTTCAATCTTGTAAAATATTTTATTTAAAACCATAACCTTGTAAAATATTTTGTTTAAGCTTCATTTTAATTTTTTCTGTTAATGTTTAAGTTGTAACTTATTGGTTATTGGACATTTACATTGCCTGCTTTGTATACTTACCTAATATTTGCATTTTAGTGTGTCAGTTTTGCTACAGCACCCCCTTTTAAATATTTCTTGCCTGTGTTTTGTTCGCACTGCACGCCTGTTGGTCTTTGGTATTTTATCTTTTAGCCATGGCTGAACATTTACAGGAACAAATCCTACAGCTGCAAGCCGAGAAAGCTGCTCTCCTGCTTCGGCTTGAGCAAGAAAATAAGGCAGAGGTATGTAAGGTGTCCGTGAAATTGCCTCCGTTCTGGCCTAACAAACCTGCAGTATGGTTTGCCCAGGTCGAGGCACAATTTCAACTTTCTGGCATCACAGCCGATAACACAATGTTTAATTATGTTATCTCACAACTGGACCAGAAACTGGCTGGTGAAGTGGAGGATATTATAACAGCGCCTCCAAGTCAAGGGTCTAAGTATACAAAATTAAAGGAAGAACTAATAAGGCGACTTTCCTTGTCACAGGAGCAACGAGTTCGCCAACTTATTGGTGAGGAAGAGCTCGGTGACAGACGACCGTCCCAGTTTCTTCGACACCTACGCTCATTGTCTGGCAACGTTTTGTCAGATGACAACATTTTGCGACAACTGTGGCTTCGCCGTCTGCCTCAACAGGTTCAAGCCATTTTGGCATCTCAATTGGATCTCGACCTTAATAAACTTGCGGAGTTGGCTGACAAGGTCATGGAAATCGCAAGCCCCAATCAAATTTACACTTGCGCTGCCCCATCCACTTCATCATCAGTCCTGGAAACGTTGGTTGAGCGAGTGGAACAATTAGGCAAACAAGTTGCTTCCCTGTCCACAAAAAATAAGCCTGGTCGTTCACGCAGTCGTTCCAGGGCGTCCTCTAGCCGCTCCCGCACCTCCACACCTGGTGCATCAAACAAGGTATGCTGGTACCATAAAAAGTTTGATGAAAAAGCGTCCAAATGCATTAAACCTTGCGCATGGACACCTCAGCAGGGAAACGTGCACAACAACCAGTAGAGGCGGCTACTGATTGTTCCTTCACCGGCCGCCGCCTTTTTGTGACTGACCAAACGTCTAAGTTCCAGTACCTTATTGATACTGGCTCAGACCTTTGTTGTTTCCCTAGGCGCTTACTTAAAGGCCGTTACAGTAACAGCGAGTTTGATCTCAGTGCTGCAAATGGTAGCTCGATCAAGACCTACGGCAACATCTCCCTACATCTCAATCTAGGGCTACGCCGCGACTTTCTGTGGAACTTCATTATCGCTGATGTGAGCACACCCATCATCGGTTCTGACTTCCTCAGTTTTTACAATCTCCTACCAGATTGTCGAAACAAACGTCTCATTGATGGAAATACCAAACTTTTTGTTTCAGCTTGTGTTGCACAAATTAACCAGGACAGCATTAAAGCAGTCTCTTTTGGTGACTCAAGTTATGCGTCTGTGCTTGCTGAGTTTCCAGACGTCACGCGTCCTCCTGGCATGCCAAGGATTGTCAAGCACAGTACCGTGCATCATATCAACACATCTGAGGGTCCCCCTGTGTCATGTCGTCCCCGTCGTTTGGCTCCTCAGAAACTGGTCGCTGCCAAGAAAGTGTTCGAGGACATGGTACAATGTGGCACAGCGCGTCCTTCAGAAAGTGCTTGGTCATCTCCGTTGCATATGACAACCGAAAAAGACAATACCTGGCGTCCATGTGGCGATTATCGCGCCTTGAACGCCAGAACAATCCTGGACCGATATCCTATTAGGCATATCAACGACTTTGCCAACAGCCTCGCTGGTGCTTCTGTATTTAGCACCATAGACCTTGTGAAGGCTTATCATCAGATTCCCGTCTTTAAGGAACATATTGCGAAGACCGCCATCGTTACTCCGTTTGGCCTCTTCGAATTCCCTTTCATGACCTTCGGTTTGAGAAACGCTGGTCAAACTTTTCAGCGTTTCATCGATGAGGTCACACGGGGTCTCGATTTCTGTTTTCCCTACGTAGATGACGTTCTCGTCTTTTCTCGGGATGCTGCCACTCACAAAGGACAACTGCGCCTTCTTTTTAAGCGTTTCCAAGAATACGGGGTTGTGATAAACCCCTCAAAATGCATTCTTGGTGCCAGCGAGGTTTCTTTCTTAGGCAACTTGATAAATGCCGAGGGGACTCGTCCTCCTAAAGATAGGGTCCAACACTTAATGGATTTTCCACCGCCTGAAACTGTACAAGGGATGAGGCGATTTCTTGGTATGATCAACTACTATCGCCGTTTCATACCCTACGCCGCTAAGTTTCAGGCGCCATTAATTGACGCTCTTGTTTCGACAAATAGCAAGGGAGCAAAACCTTTTCCTTGGTCTCCGGAATTGCTAGAAAAGTTTGAGGCATGTAAGAGGAGCCTGTCCGATGCAACGCTTCTACAGCATCCTGTCAACGATGCACCGCTGGGTCTTTTTACGGACGCTTCCAGCGTACATGTTGGCTCTTGCTTACAGCAACGAATCGATGGACAGTGGTTTCCTCTTGCATTTTTTAGCAAGAAACTAACCCCGCAACAGTCTCAGTGGCCTGCTTACCATCGAGAACTTTTGGCGGTGTACGAAAGCGTACAGCACTTCCGCCATACTCTTGAGGTCCAACACGCCACTATTTATACGGATCATAAACCGCTGCTGTACGCCTTCGTACAGCGTCGAGAAAAGCTCGCGCCTGCACAGCTAAACCAGCTGTCCTTTATAAGTCAGTTTACCGACTGACATAAGATATATTAAAGGCGAAGACAATGTCGTTGCAGATGCTATGTCCCGTATTGACGCAATCTCATTAGAACAGGAATATGAGACTCTCGCGAAATCACAAGAGACAGACGACGAACTGTCAAAACTCATGACAAACTGTTCTTCAAGCCTTAAACTGACCAAAGTTGTAATACCTGGCACTGACCATTCTCTGATTTGTGACCTCTCAACGGGCAAGCCCCGTCCCTACGTTACTCCGGATTTTCGCCAAGCAATCTTTGCCAAGCTCCATGGATTAAGCCATCCTGGTGCTCGGGCTACTACTCGCCTTGTGACTGATCGATATGTCTGGCCCTCCATCAACAAGGACTGCCGAGCTTGGTCCCGATCTTGCCAAGCGTGTCAGCGCAGCAAGATTACGCGCCATAACTCTGCACCTCTGGGCACCTTCGAAACACCATCTGGCCGTTTCATGCACGTACACACGGACATCGTTGGTCCGTTACCGGTTTGTTCCGAGTATCGTTACTGCCTGACGGCAATTGATAGGGTTACCAGATGGCCCGAAGTTTGGCCCATGTATACCGCTACGGCAGAGGAAGTTGCTGACACCTTCACAAGGGAGTGGGTCCCTCGATTCGGCGTGCCTTCGCTAATAACAACCGACCGAGGAGCTCAATTTGAGTCTGATCTGTTTCGCCGTCTTATGCACAACTTTGCCACCAAACGCATTCGTACCACTGCATATCATCCGGCCGCGAACGGCATGATAGAGCGCGTCCATCGGCAACTTAAGGCCTCTTTAATGTGTCACGAGAATTCGTGGATCAAAGCCCTTCCCTTTGTCCTTTTGGGAATGAGAACGGCTTTCAAAGAGGACCTTAAGGCCACAGCCGCCGAAATGCTCTATGGCGAAACTCTACGCCTGCCTGGTGAGCTGTTAGTGTCTGTTCCTGGCCCTGACAAAATTGAAGACGCATCAGACTTCGTTGCTCAATTGCGCCGTCGCATGTCGAATATTCGACCCGTCGGCGCCTCTCGACATTGCCAAACCATGCCTTTCATATTTAAAGACCTCGCCAATACCACTCACGTGTTTCTAAGGGATGACGCTGTTCGGCGTCCCTTACAACCCCCATACACCGGACCTTATCTGGTACTCAACCGCGCCGACGACGGTAAGACCCTTACCATCAATTTCAAAGGCAAGCCGGTCGTGGTAAGTATCGACAGAGTCAAACCAGCATTCGTTGAAAATGTAGTTTCGGATCAAACTAGGACTGTCCAGCAGCTGCTGGACAAGCCACCAGAAGCTGCTGTACTGCCTCAGGCTGACAATATGTCTACTGAGCCTGCTTCAGCCGCCGCTGTACCCAAGAACTCTTCTACATCGACTCAGCAAACTCTTTATGTTACCCGATCCGGCAGGCGTGTTAGATTTAAAACTTTAGACTGATTTTATGTTTTTTTAGTTAAATTTGTTTTTTTTCTTGTTATTTTTCTCCGTGGGGGGGTGGTGTGGCAACATTGTTGCACATCACTATGATTGAAATACGTAGCATCATGACAGTGCAACACTATTGCCTGTCAGTCTCTCGTGTCTATGACATTCATTCTTTTAGCTTGCTACAAAATGGATACTGTAACAATTAGTGATTGCATATAAAGTTAAATATAAATCTTATTTCTGTGAGACACATACGGCAGTTTTATTGACAACAACACGTAAAACAAACTGGTGTACTGGCCATCGTGATTTCGGGCCTTACGACACTAAAAGTTAACTCCAACCCCAATTCTAGCGGGAATTCTGGAAGGGACGATAACACACTTGTTACTCGGTGGTCACTTACCATCAGATGACCCATCTGCTATTTTACCCCTTATTCATTAAAAAATACATATATACATGGAATTGGTGTCCTGCAGGTACCAGTAGACCAATTCTCATAATTAAAGTTCGGTCAAAATTCAATTCAATTCAAAATTCAATGTCATAAAAGTTATTTTCGTAGTAAAGTAATACTAAAACTGCCAGATTACTGATTCATCTTACGGTCACAATACGATATAATGACATTACAGTCAACGTAGGATGTTTAATACTTTACTACGAAAATACCATTTATGACAGTGACGATATCAAGAGTTGATCGAAATTGAATTGTGACCAAACTTTTATTACGAGAATCGGCACATCATCACATCACATCAACAGTCTTTAATAGTCCACTGCTGGACATAAGCCTCTCCTTAGAAAGGAGGTTTTGGCCTACTATACCACGCTGGCCAGACGGGTTGGTATAGAATATGTGTCAAGTTTTCCTTCTCTCTTTGGTATTGGTGTTCTAGTGATATCGGAATATAAGTCAAAGTAACATTATCGTAACATCATTAAAGTTCTGTAATACTTTTAAAATCTATCCGCATGGTGACGGATTAAGAATACGGAGTCATCCCCTATTCATCCCGTGGGTGTCGTAAGAGCCGGCTAAGGGAGCAAGCTACGCAGGACAAAGAAGGAAAACTTGACACAAACCCTATACCAACCCGTCTGGCCAGCGTGGTATAGTAGACTAAAATCTCCTTTCAAATGAGAGGCCTATGTCCAGCAGTGGACTGTTAGTCTGATGATTAATTATGATACCTACATATTTAAAACATAGTAACAATAGGCAAATATCCTTGTTTACAGGTGATACAGGTGAGATCAAGTCAGAAATTCGTGAACAAATAAACAGTAAGGTGGCGGAGTGGCGTGAGGAGGGAAAAGCTGAAATGATACCCGGAGTACTTTTCATAGATGAGGTATGTTGTGACTGGTTGTGGCGACTTTGGTGTTGTAACAAACAATGTAAAAACATTTTCGTACCGCTTTTTAAATAAATATGTCACTCGGAATCATAACATATTTCGAATATATAAGCCTTTCAGACCTGTATTATTGGAACGAAGTTCCTTATCGCGCGTTGTGAAAGGGGGCTAGACGGAAAAAATTCGTACGAAAATTTGGAACGACACTTTTTTATTAATATAAATTGACGTCTAACTGTGGATACCATACATTAAATTTGCTTTAACGTTCGCCAACGTCCATACCATGTTGAATACACCAGTTCTCGTCCGATCACCGAAGTTAAGCAACATCGGGCGTGGTTAGTACTTGGATGGGTGACCGCCTGGGAATTTTCTTTTCGTGTCATCTTGTCAGACATTCAGCGCCATCTATCGAATAGATAGGAAATCATTTCACAAGGAGATTTTACCAATGTATAAATTGTTTTTAATATGTAGGTAATAGCCGCTTTCATAGATGGCGTTGTAATTAAAATCGTGTCAAATCAGTTTTACTCGATCGTCACAACTTCGTTCCTATCGGGTGTCCCACGACACCACACGGCTTTTTTCTGACTAGCTTTTTGCCCGCGACCTCGCCCGCGTCGTGGTCGAAACCAAACATCGTAGAGGATACAACGGATCAAGGTTATACGTGTGATCTCTATATAAACTTGCACCCATTTTTAAAAGTAATTTTGAAAACTTAGTAACAACGTTTTTTATTAGTTTTAATAAAGAGTATTTACTGTGAGTTTGAAAACCCTAATACCAAAAATGACAGTGTCATTATAAATTTTCAACTTCCATTTACAAAACCTAAGGAACATTAGTGTAAAATTTCATGTTCCTATCAGTCTGTCAGTTTTTTTATATATATATATATATATATAGTTTTTTTTTTTTAATTATCCAAAATATGTAGATGTAAGATATATATTTACATCTACATATTTTGGATAATTTAATTTAAAATTCATCACTAGTATAAAGGTATCTGTCCAAAAGGAAAGCTTTTAATCTTATATATAAAATTCTCGTGTCACAATGTTCGTTCCCGTACTCCTCCGAAACGGCTTGACCGATTCTCATGAAATTTTGTGTGCACATCGCTTAGGTCTGAGAATCGACCAACATCTATTTTTCATACCCCTAAATGGTAGGGGTGACCCATCCCTAATTTTTTTTTCTTGCAATACAACGTTTGCCGGGTCAGCTAGTTTTATTTTAAAGGAACCTGCATATAACGCTCTTTTTATATCCTCAGGCAACCTGTTATACCTACCTATTATACTTGGTCAGTAGTTTGAAGTATATGTGATTTTAATAAACTAATTCTAAAGAAATTGAAACTAATAACGCAGAATGGTTTTGAAACAATAATAATTTGTGAATTTATAACGAGCATGGTTAATTTTTTTCTGTTTGTGTTATTTGTCTATAAAAAACAGTGGCACTCCGGGCATGCCGACAGAAGTGAAAACTTGAAAATGTTTGATTATGACAAGTTTTTTTTTTTCTTTTTTTATTCGAAAAGTTCAGCCATACATATAAATCTAAATTTTACGATATTCACAATATATGTTTAAACTATATATAGTTATATTATCAATGTATTTCAACCCAAACTCAACTCTCGTGTAAACGGGGCCAATATATGTAGATATTTATATACAGAGGTGTCGGTAACGGTAAGGGTGTCGCGAGTTCAATGGTTTTGCCCATCTCAAAACATACATTCTTTTATTTGCTGTTCAAAAATGCTCAACGCGCCCAAAAGAAATTTTCACTTCAATAATTTTTTTAGAATTATATAAGTATGAATGTGAATATCGTAAAATTATATAAGTATGTTTATTAGCAGTCTGGTTAACATAATACGGCACTGCCTAGTTCAGGAACAGGCTGCCTTGAGATGTGTGAATTTATTGTAATTAATTAAATTTTTATCGCCAACAGGCTCACATGCTGGACATTGAGTGCTTCTCATACTTAAATAGAGCGTTAGAATCGGAGACAGCCCCCGTTGTCATCATGGCTACCAACCGCGGCATCACACGCATCAGGGGTACCAACTACAAAAGCCCACATGGCATTCCCTTGGATTTGCTGGACAGAATGATCATAGTGCCAACGTCACCGTACTCCCATCAAGAGTTGAGGGAGATTTTGAATATTAGGTAGTTGTAATTTGTGATCCTAGCGCCATCTAGCGAAGGTTATGCAACTACTCGGTAACTAATCCTGTATCGCTCAATAAGAATTCAGTCATTATAAAATTTATGTAATCTTTGTCATGGAAAGTAAAGGAGAGCGTTAAAACTGACTTAACGCCATCTTATAATCGAGTAAACCTTAACTGAACTCTTTATTACAACATAATTCGAAGGAAACACGACCTTCATAATTATTTATTTAACATTTTGACATGTTCACCTAGAGATTATACGAGCACATTTATTTTTGACAGATGCGAGGAAGAGGACTGTCAAATGTCAGCTGATGCGTTGACAGTTCTGACTAGAGTGGCGACTGAAACGTCACTGCGTTATGCCATACAATTGATCACTACTGCTTCGCTCGTCTCCAAACGAAGAAAGGCTAACGAGGTGAGATATCTTTGACTTTCTTTATTTAGAAATATTAAAAAAATAGTAGTCCAACGACTTCAGGTACATGGACCAAGATACCGGTGGTTAAGGCTCCAAAGACAGGAACCTCCACACTATATGCTCCATGTCAAGGAGAACTGCCCTCTGCATCAAACCCTTGATCCAGCCGGCTAACGTCAGCCTCTTAAGGTGTTGTTTGATTATTATTATTACAGGTGAGCATGGAAGACGTAAAGAAAGTATACTCTCTATTCCTGGATGAACATCGTTCGGAGCAGTTCCTGAAAGAGTATCAAGATGAGTTCCTATTCAATGATGGAGGGGGAGGTATTTGTTGTTTTTCTTTAGTTAATATAGATTTAATATGTCAGTGTTACATACTACGAATATGTGTCATCTAAATGTTATGTCCATGATGTCTGTGTGGTGACGGATTAAGAATACGGAGTGTCACCCCTCTATTCATCCCCTGGGTGTCGTAAGAGCCGACTAAGGGAGCCGACTCTGCAGGACAATAGCACTGCAAACAGAATTAAAACTTGACAAAAACCCTTGCTGTGGGTCCGATCCCCACATGGGACAACACTTTGTGTAATCCACAAATTGTTGTTCTGAGTCTGGGTGTTCTTCGTGTCCGTTTTATTGGTTGTAAAGTCCCAAGCGACACAGGATAATAATAAAATAAATTCTATCTACTTAATTAGTATAACTTTGTTTAGTAAATTATTATATGTATTTATTTAGGTACCACTTAGAGTTCCTCAATGAAACATATACTTAACAGGGTTCCGAGATCATCTAAAAACCGGCGCCTGAAAACACCACTTTCTTAAGCAAATATTTTTTATGGAACCAGCAGAGTAGATACCGCACCCAGAATTAGAGGGGCGGCCCATACAAATCCCATAAAACCACATTGTAAATTAAAAGACTAGTCAATCAAAACCAAATTGCGTTAGGATTATCTTTGGTATGCATTCAAGTCGATTAGGTTGTGTAGGTATTAATCTATGCCTGCCCCAAATATAGTTCGCAGAAAAGTCATCACTCTTTAATTACGTTTTATTTAATAACTATTTCTATTGGTTTGTGACAGGCCATAAACTTATGACAACACGAAGTTCGACTTCGAACGACTAGTTATAAGATATTGTTTTTGATATTTCAGATGCACCACAGCTGATGGAAGTTTCTCAGTAACAAGTTTCAAACAATTCCAAATGGTTCTGCTTTAATTTTGACTAGAATGTTTTGGTTCAACCAGAAGCTGTATTTTAAGTTACTTTTTAATGTATAAGTTTATAATAAAATGATGATATTGAAATGGTTATTTATTTTATGTTCCGTAATTGTGTTTGTCGTCTGTCCGTGTGGTGACGGATTAAGAATACAGAGTGTCACCACCCCTATTCATCCCGTGGGTGTCGTAAGAGCCGACTAAGGGAAAAAACTACGCAGGACAACAGCACTGCAGAGAGAAGGAAAACTTGACACAAACCCTATACCAACCCGTCTGGCCAGCGTGGTATAGTAGGCCAAAACCTCCTTTCTAAGGAGAGGCTTATGTCCAGCAGTGGACTATTAAAGGCTGTTGATGATGATGAATTGTTTGCTCTCCATTCGCGTTAAGAATATAGTGACGCATCATGCCCTGCCCCCAAGCTTACGTATGAAACGCTATAGATGTGAGATTATTATTGTTAATATATATGGTATATTTTACGAAATAAAATTAAAACAAGAATATCGTGCATGTGTAACATATTTCGTCTCGCTTTTCTCCAATCTGGGAATACTTATGTATGTGAAATGGGACGGAAGTGTGTAACAAGAAGCCGGGGACGGGCGCGCTGTAAGGTGGGAGTACTCCCTTACTCTTTACTCTAGCCTCCCTCGGGACAGGGCCTAGTTAAATGCGTCAATCCGGGGGGACCTGAAATCACATGGTCCGGGTCCCCTCAAGAGTAGGGCGCCTGGGGCCGGCTGTCGGGGTAGGTTTTAATGCAAACACCACATACTCCTGGCTCCTGCATTCCCAGGAGCCCGAGATCAGAAGGGATTTTCCACCCCGTCAAAAAAAAACGAAACTAAAACGCCGTTTTCTATTTGATTTGGGGGGGGACAACGAACTAGAAGTTTATTAGAGGACCGAAGGATTCTGTCATGATTACTACATAAAAGCTGGAAGTAAGAGTCTAAATAAGTTGGCGAAGATGGGTTGTTTAAGATAGAGTATAAGACAGTTAGAGCGCGTAGTTTCGGCGTAGACGAATTGGTAGCCAATTGAGCTGCGAACAGAATGCGGATACATGATCAAAGAACAATGGCAGGGCAATGCATAATTTGATTTGAACTATGTAGCGTTTAAATATCAAAAAAATTAGTTGCCTGTAAAGTCGGTATACGGGCGAAAGTTTTACGTGACAACGACTTTGAGTGGTAAAATAATTTTAATGTGAATATTCATTCGTATAGTAGGAAGAAGGATGAAATAATAGTAACAATTTAAAACATTTATTTATACAAAGAATTATATTTAAAATAGGCGGGCTAACCATGCCCGAGTGGAAGGGACGCGTGCCTCTCACTCGCTCTCTTTGTGAGCGCATAACGTGAGCGGAGCGTAACGCAGTTTCTTGAAGTGTCACCCGGCAAACCAATTTATAAGACGTTGTCACGTCAAAAGCTAAAACGCTTGAAAATTTATTCTTGACCATTCTCATAACAAAATTACTAGCAAAAGAAGTCTAGGAAAAAAGATACTGTATTTTAAATATTTCGAGGTTAAGTACTAACATATTGTCAATGTTTTGTTTGAAACTAGATGGCGTTGTGTCTCATATAACAGAAAATATTATTTTTATTATTATTACTCATAAACAACTCTCTTTTGCTGTTGAAAGTGACAGCCGACTCTCTAAAAGGATGCCGGTTATTTTACCAAAACAATAGAAACAATCTGCGGTCACCAAGCAGGTGTAATACTAGCAATAAATAAATAAATAATAAATTGAAATAATAATTCGAATAGTTGTACTTAAATACACATTTACACAAGGCAGAAGCAATTTATTTATTGGACAGCTAGTAGTTGTTACATTATTTACTAAAATCTAAAGCATGCATGCGTGTTATATTGAGATTAATTCACAACATTTAAGGCGTCACATCATGCATAGCAGACTATACGAATCGACTATACAGGACTGCACGGATGGCGTAATGGGTATAAATAACTAAGCTAAGTGTTGTGGGTCCGATCCCCACATGGGTCGACACTTTGTATGATTCACAAATTGTTGTTCTGAGTCTGGGTGTTCTTTGTGTTCATTTCATGTATGTTTGTAAAGTCTCCGCGACACATGATATATTATTCCTAATGTGGGAGTTGTCTTAAAAAGAAAACTATACGAAATTAAAAATTTAAAAACATAACATATATTCGTGTTTAACACAACATTGAAAAATAATAAAAAAACAAAGAATTGCCGTGTGGTCAATGGTCATGAAGTCATGCACGTGAGTGTCAAGCGACAAGACTGGTGAGTGCGGCACTCGACAGGATCCAAACGGTGACGTATCGACATTTTGAAAATATCGATGTATGTCTATTTATGAGCCGTTTACAACGTCAATGTTTTTTTCTCATCACGGAGATTATGAACAAATCAAATGCAGTTATTAAGACGGTCTAATTTATCGAGAAGATTCAGGTCATAACAGCACACATCACCATAGTCGATTAGGGGGAAAATAAGGGATTACACAAGCATATGGTCTTGGTATTTGCGGGTTAAGAAATATCTATTTGCAATTTGGTCACGCCAATTTAGTGTGCAATCGAGGTCTAAGCCAGGATCTTTCAACGATTAACAAATAGGAATGGTAGTACAGTTAAAAATAATAGCCAGAAGAGTCTCAATGTCTACTCTACTCATCAATCGGTGACTTCCAACTACAATGGCTTGACATTTTGTGGGGTGTACTGCTAACCAGAGATTTGGTCTTGCACTCTTGCTTCACACACAACCATAGAGATATAACCTAGAGGGAACAATAGCTTCAACATAGACAATGAGAGAGATGGATAATAGATAGTCCCCTCTATCTCGTTCTAGCTGAGCTCTGTAGTTGGCTTGGGAATATGAGGGGTTATTAAGTAGCCAATCGCCAACTAAACAGAGACAGGGGGAAATATCTGGCATCCATCTGTCTCGTTGCCTGTATCGCTTCCACTTACAGGCAACTGTGCCCCGTGTTCTCTCTATGTTTATATCTCTATACACACAACACCATAATATAACTTTGTTGTAAGTAATTAATGATCATTGACAATTTAAAAATAATTGGATTCTTTTTATTTCGTATCATAATATAAAAAATATATTTAACATAATTTAGTATTATATGTGATTAATACTATGTATAGTTTCTCTATACGTCTCATATAAAATCAAATGCCATGTTTTTTGGGGCCTACCACTAAGGATATTTCTACAGAACATTTATCCAAGGGCATTTGAAAACCAAAAAAGATTCGTTTATTTTATATTTCAGACATTGACATTTGTTTTTGAATTTTAGCGGTCAAGAGTTTTCAAATGTTAAAATAACTGTTTTAACTATTATTAAAAGAAAAAGAAGGTTTCCATGTTTACAGATATAATTATTTTACAAAATGATGCTTATAAAAACAAAAATATCCAAATTATTATCATCATCATTCATCATCCCATCGCAATTCTCTAATAATATTACTGTACTCTGTGATCGCAATGCACTCTGGCCATAGGCCACTTACTTAACCACTCTATCTCTCTCTCACGATTTTCGCATCACTCCTCTAAAACATGCAAATAAAAACCTAAAATCAGTATTTTTATTCGAGATAAGTTAAGAAGAAACTTTAATGCTTTTTATCGTCACTTTTTATATGTTTTAAGACAATGCAATTTTAGGTTAGTTTAAATGTCATCAAAGGCATTTTACACTCAACTTTTAGGTTAGAAAACGGTACGCAGGATAGGTTAGATTTCGGATTTGATGTCTATTTTTTAACAGAATAATATTGGTTTTTATAATTAGTTTTAGTTATTTATTAGTGTCCGACCGAATGTTCGGTTTCGGTTTCGGTTTCGGTCGTAAAAACCAGTTTCGGTCGGACACTATTATTTATATTAGTCTGTCAACAGCATCGTCCTTCAGTTATTCATATGTTGACCAGACCCGAATGTATGATAAATTGAATTGAATGAAGGTATGATTGGCATAGCACCTACTTTAGACCGTTAACCCTCTTGAAGTCGATTACGGATGCTTTTATCACTTACACAGTCGTGTTGCCAAGATTCGAGCGGTAAAGGTTCGAGAACCTTTTACCTTTTGACCGCTCTTCCTGGGTGGCAAAACCACTATCTCTCTTAGTCTTCTTGGCCTGGGCCACTGGAAACTGCTAGGAAAGCCAGCTCTCCTAGCAGTTCCTTCCATATAAATAGATACCTGGTAGCGCTCTCAGAGGTTTCGCATAGCTGACACATAGAGAATTTTGCCGTAAATCGTTGTGGTTCTCCTCCCTGAATCAAATCTACCGCCCGTTTAGCAGTTTCCCTGTTGATGTCAAAATGAAAACCAAGTTAACTTTTTTACTCTTTATTTATTGTTAGGGACTGTATACATTGGTACATGTCAGTCCCATCGTAATCAAGTTTATTTAAACCACTTAACATAAAAAACAGTCAAATGAAAAAACGGTTAGGAACAATGGTTTGAACCGAACTGAGAATGCAGATGATAAATTTTGTTTGTTAAATAATGTTTTGATAAGCACTCCAATATTGCTCATTACCATTACTTGAATTTGACGCTAAAGTTGTCGTTCAAAGCATTGATAAGGACTTACAAATATGCTAGGCAACATTATGCACCTTGGCAATAATTATCTTTACTTATCTAAGGATTTCAAATGGACTTACATTAGTTAATATTATATGGCATAATTTTCACATATTACAAAACTAGTTTTTGATAAATTAAAGCAGTTTCAGAAAAATCTATTCTAGAAAAATATTTACCTATTGCAATTAACTAGCGAAGAACTTTTTTTAAACTAAGCAACGTTACTAAACTCAAATTGAGAGGGATTGACAAAAAACTCGTTGTATTGTAACAGTTGTGTGAAAATGATGAAAAGTGGAGATACTTAATTTTTATTTTAAGTTACCTTATTATTCTTATCTTAAGTTAGCATTCACAAAAATATTCGAAAATTAGAACAACAACTGTTTTTTTTGGCACAATAGTAGCACCCATTGTTGTTCTTTTTTTTCCTTTGGTTTTTTACTAGTCAATATTAAATATAGGTTGAGCTCCCTCTTACTTTCACACTTTGTCAAATAAACAGAAATAACTTTTTTTAGAACGCATCCATTGCCAACTACCCTACTCATAGATAATCACATAATATTTTAATATAATCCTAACAAATAAAACAGTCTTGTTTCTTTGACAGCTTTGTGTTCTTGGAGCTAGCATTTCTAAAATATATGGTTGGTAAGAGAGAGATACATTATGTTCTATTTTCTAAATAATATACCTGTTAATTCGTTAGCATAATACAAAACATTTGGTGGTTGGTTGAATTTCTCGTGGTTTATTTATATAAGTTCGTAAGTCTGTTGTGAGATGAAAAGTGAAAATGTCGAAAGTTTCAAGCAAAAGGTCCAGAAAATCAAAGTTGACGTGTCGTAAATATGAAATTGAGGAAAATATGGCAGACTTCCAGGTACCTCCATTTTGTTAAAGTTTTTCACTCACTTTTTGAAACTTTAATGACTTATTTTGTGGAACTTTACATCAATAAATATGTTACAATAGTAAAAAAGCAGCATACGAATACTTCTTATAGTGTCTGTTTACACAAAATTTGATTTTAAATTAAAAGATGTCGTGTGGGTAGCCGTACTTAACAAAGTCGTAACCCAACAACTTGTGTTAAAATGATTGATAAGCACATTTATACGTGACTTTCTTTTAAGATAAATATCAAACTTATGATTAAGAGTAGTTGAAGCTCATTAGATAAATAATAATTAAGAAAAAAAAGAAGTTACAAAGTTAAAAGAAAATATTTTGTTACTAACCTCGATCTGTGATGACGACTTTGCTGTCAAATATCTCTGGATCAATAATACTGTACCTATTCTTTATGAAAATGTGTTGAGTAAGGATTATATCTATGCTGAGTTATATTTTCTTGGAATTTGTAACATACTTCACCATATAGATCTTTAACCACAATCTTCAGTATTTCAAGCTCCACACTATAGCAAATATTGACCTAACATATTTATATAAACACTATTGAAGGTACTTTGAAAAATACATATATAATTTTCTTATACCTACAGTAAATTTTAATAAAATAATAACAAATTTACTAACAGATGACCCATTGTTTGAAGTTCCATTTCAAATTATGGCCAAAGTATGATATTCCATAGTTTTTATCTTCCTCGATGAATAGTCTATAAAATACAATAAGATTTTATTCAAATTCGATAAATGTTTCTTAAGAATAGTGCTTTTATAAAAAGAATCACAAACAAAATAATTAAATCTAATATTTTAGTAGAAATTAAGTTATTTAATATAAAATTTATCAGAATTATGTTATGTATATTAATGTTATTGTCGTTAATCATATTTACATATGAATATCATAGATTAGATTACATGTAGTTTTATTTTTTGAAGATGTGTTTATGCATAGTATTAGCGGCCTCCCTGGCTTGGCATGAATGCAACATATTATGCATATAAACCTTCATGTTGAATCACACTGTCTAATGATGGAAATTGTATTAAGGTGGTAACCGGTTTAGGAGTCCTAAATTTTGGTGTTTTTAGTGATCTTTTTAAGCAGGGAAGTAATTATCAGAAATTCTTTAAACTTGAAGGGTATTTTATTCATGTTTTGAACACTTGTGGGGTTAGAACGTGCTGTCCATGGATGATTGCCATCCAAGTATTCTGCTGGTGGACATCCCTGAAATTTTTATCTGTATTCATCACAATTTTTATTTGCTGCTGCTTTCAAATTTTGACCAAATATTCTTGAGTAGTTATACTAACAATCTATGTAATAAAAAAGTCATTTTTTATTGGTCTAAACTGGTTTCCCGCTTTAAGATTCATTGCATAGTTTAAAAGATCTAATCATACAGGATCAGTTAGAGACTTCATGTTATACTATGTGGTCTTCCCTGGAAGTTTCACTTATAGTTTTAACTTTGAAGTTTGAGTGGAAAGGATGACTTGCACTTCACATATTTTATTAAAATCTATTTTGTGTGAGATTTTTACATTAATTAAAAAGTCTTGCTAGAAGCTTGAGTTTTCAGTAAACAAGAAGGCTTAAAGTAACTAGGTATATCCATACTTATAAATGTGATAGTGAGCTTGCTTGTTACACTGTCACGCCTAACCCACTAAACAGATTTAAAAAAACTGTTTCACCAATGGAAAGCTACATTATCAGCGGGTGGCATATGCTACTTTTTGATGCCATAACCGACATACAAGTGGGGGAGCGACGGGCAAAAGCTGGTACTTCATCATCAACAGCCTTTAACAGTCCACTGCTGGACAGAAGCCTCTCCTTAGAAAGGAGGTTTTGCACTACTATACCACGCTGGCCAGACGGGTTGGTACGGGGTTTGTTTTAAGTTTTCCTTTTCTTTGCAGTGTGGTTGTTCTGCGTAATTTACTCCCTTAGTCGGCTCTTACGACACCCTCGGGATGAATAGGGGTGGTGACACTCTGTATTCTTAATCCATCACCACACGGGTAATATAACCACAAGGATACGGTTTTTTCTTAGTGCAATTAAAATTACATTATGAATTAAAAAGTGAGATTGATAGCGATCGAATATCTGGGCGCAAACGAACGAATTACGTATTTTATTTAATTGACCAGTATAACTTGAACTCTCATGGTATTGAACGGCAGGTCAAATATACACTAGACACCCATAATTCATGCAAATATTAAAAATTATGAATGTCCGATTACAAGGTTTTTTAAATAAATTTTAATTTGCATTACTGTCTTTACTTCAGAAATCGTCAACGAATAATGCGAATACAAAGCCTAAGGCAAAAGCGCCTCTCGCATCAACAACACAAACATATGACGACTTTGAAGCTCTCATTGATTCTCAAAAGAAACCTAAAGAAGTCGATCCACATAAATTAGAATTTTCCGTGACCGTAGCAGTTGAAGAGTTTGATGAAGATAGCTCGGATTTAATTATAATTGAAACAAACGAACAGTCTACTGTTGAAGTAATATCTTCAGACTCGGAAACGAATGACACGGTTAAAGATGAACACACCAATAGACTGGTCTCGGTTGAAGATAAAGAATATGCAATTGATTTACCTGGAAAGTTACAAGCAGAATTAGTCTTAGATAGAAATGAAATACTCAATGCAACAAACGAAATACTAAAAAATCCAGAGAACATTGCTGACAAAATTCTCGGTATTGAAGTTAGAAACTGTATTGGACAGTACCGCACAAGTTTCGAAGATAAATTCGAAGCTAAAATTCAAAGTGTGTTCCTTAAGTGGTTCGATTGGCAAAAATCAATCGAAATGAAATTCAGAAGCTCGCCCTTATTCTATAAATGTTATATATGTAAAAAATCTTGGTGGTATTTACACGATTTTCGAGAACATTTAAAAGGCCATGCTAAGTTTATCTTGGATTTAGAAGAATATACAACACATGAAGCAAATATTATAGCTTATTTAAATGTTAATAGTATTGTTGATACAGAATTTGAAGCAGAGGGTGGTTGTCCCAAGTGTGGTTATGAATTTGCTACGCATATATCGTCTACTAGAAAGAACTCAACATATATTTGTAAAGTAACTAGTTGTTACCGAATATTTTACACGTGTTTTGCTTTAAAAACTCACGAATATATGTTTCATACTACCGCCGATTTTACTGGTGAGATACTAGACGCTGGTAAACGTGTATTTTGCAAAGTTTGCAGTTTTGTTTTCTATTCACAAAAGTCATACCAATCTCATGTGAATTTGATGCACACTGTTCGGTCAGATCTAGTTGTTCCTGTCAGATTAAATAATTGTCCTCTGTGTAATGGGCAAATTTTATTAGGGACGTATCATATTTGTTCAGAGAAAAAAAAAAAATTGCAGTGTAAACTTTGCTACAGAAGTTTTCAGAGGGGTCGAGAACTTAGAGCCCATATGGCAGCCCAAAATGGTCTCTTCAAGTGTAGAATCTGTGATGAATTACTGTCAAGACGATGTGTGGAAGCCGAGCATCTGATGAAGCATACTGATAAATTTGTTATTGTGAAGAAATGTTTAATATGTAAAGATTTTACAGTATTCTTGGATCATCAGACAGCTTTTGATCATATATCTGTTCATTTGAACATGATGTATGAAGGCAGCAACTACAAATATATAAGCAAAGTAAGTATATCATACCTAAATGCAATTTTATAAAAATAATAATAATGTGCAATAGTTTAGATTACTGTAAAATATTTCATGATGAACGTTCATATCATTACATGTTCTGTTGGTTTGTGGTTGGTCTAGTCCTGCTAAGCCGGAGATTGTGGTATGTGTCTGGGTGTAAATTATTATATATATATATATATATATTATATATATATATATATATATATATAAATATAAAGGAACAAAAGGACAGACTGATTCACTGACTGATCGATCAACTAGTTATAGAAACATGAAATTTTACACTAATTTTCCTGAAGCATTACGAAAAGATTAAAAAAAAATACAGCACTATTTGGAACCCCTATTTTACACCCCTAAGGTTCGAAATTTATAGGAAACTTCGTCATTTTTTACTGGCAGTACAGTAAATTCTCTTTATTAAAACTAATAAAAAAGTTGTGACTTAGTTTTCAAAACTACCCTTAAAAAGGGATGCAAGTTTGTATGGAGAACATACCTATAATCTTGATTCATTGTATCCTCTAAGATGTCTGGATTCGACCACCACGACCAACTAGTCTATAATATGTATATATTTAGAAATATTTAAGTATGTTTATCAGCAGTCTGGTTACCACAGGCTCTGCCTGGTTTGGGATCATACTGTCGTGTGTGAGATGTGTGAGGTTATATTGTAGTAGATTAACTTCATGATGTTTATGAAAAGACAAAGCCTTCTTTATTTACTCAGTTAAATAAATAAAGTATATATCATAAATTATAGTAAAAATCTATACTAATATTATAAAGCTGAATAGTTTGTTTGTTTGTTTGAACGCGCTAATCTCAGGAACTACTGGTCCGATTTAAAAAATTCTTTCAGTGTTAGATAGCCCATTTATCGAAGAAGGCTATAGGCTATATATCATCACGCTAAGACCAATAGGAGCGGAGCACCAATGAAGAATGTTTAAAAAACAGAGAAAATTTATTATTATTGAGAGACGCAGACGAAGTTGCGCGGGTCAGCTAGTTAAAAATTGAAGAAACGCTTTTGTTTTTCTAAATTCTCCGATTTTTGACCGATATTGTTAAAAGTACTTATTATCAAATATCTTGAAAAACACCCCACGTTTTCTGATTGCCACACCCCACCTTTTTAAGGATAAAGTTATTTTCCTGTTTAGTGCCGCCATAACATTATGGCGGAACTAATAATTTTATATATATAGTAACAAAAGCGTGTTTTCCTAGTTTGTTGTAAACTATAATTTTTTTTTGCTTTTTAAGTCATCAATGATGATTATAATGATTTAATAAGCTAGATGCGAGAAGCCGAAAATCGATCTAAGGGGCGTGCAATGGGAGAGGCCCATGTCCAGCAGTGGACTGTTAAAGGCTGTTTATGTTTTTTTTTTTCTGATTGACATTAATGATACATTAGGGTTTTGATATATCATTCATCATCACCATCATTGTCTTTTTGCCCTTTTACCGAATTAATTTGGAGTCGCCGCAATCGGTTGCTGATATATCTATATATATTTATTTTATTTTTACATTTATTTTCAGATTCTGATCCCAAAATCGTGTCTTCTTCAACATTTGGAACCTAAGATTGAAGTTAAAGGTTTGTTACACACCTATTAAAGATATAATAAACATGTTTTTTTATAATAAAAGGGGCCAAACGGGTCACCTGGGCCTCAGTTCTGATATTTTAGGTTAACGCCAAGCCACTGTCATTTCATTGACACGCTATTGATGTGCCATTGAGACGCCAATGTCATCGGTCAAAATATCAGTATTGTACTAACATCAATTCAGTGTCAATAGACTGTCGATAGAGTAATAATAGGTCTTTACCTATGAAATTGCCGTTTTGTATGCAATAAGTGAATGTACTTATATTTTCAAACTTTTTTATTTCTGTTATTCGAAGTAATCACCCATGCAATCGACGCATCTTTGCCAACGCATTGGCAGTTTATTAGCCCTTCTTGTAAAAATCAGCTGGACGGGAGGCAATAAACTCTTCAAAGGCATTTTGTACTGCCTCTCGGGAATTGAATTTTTTACCCACTAAAAAGATGTCTAAATTTTGGTCGGTAGGTGCAAGGTCATCATACATACAAAATACGTCGTACAATATACGGTCATACAATATACGGTCGTCTTACAAAACGGCAATTTCATAGGTAAAGACCTAATATAGGTCATCAATGGTGATATCAACAACATTGCCATAGATGTAAAATTAAATATATCATTTTCTTACAAATTTAAAATGTTACCAAACTGTTACTAAGACATCGAGGACATTTGTATCAGTCATCGGAAGACCATATGTGTTACGTAGTTAGTAGAATAGGAAAAGTGCAAAACTATTCCGACGACGTTCCGTCGACAGTCTATTGATACAATAATAAAATAGCAGAATTGAGGCCCTGATGGTAAGTGACTACCTCTGCCTATGGACACCTACATCTCAAGAGTCAGGAACGTTACCATCATTTGAGTCCCCCCCTCCACTAGAGTCAGGAATCTAGGCTCTGGTAACCCCACTCGGTGAAAAGCACAAGTGATCACGCACAGCGCTCTCAGTAGATGTCCAGATATCTATACAGATAGAGGTGGCTCGTGTTGTCACAACAAAAGTCGTTGCTAAACTTGGTTCTATTTTAGCAACAGTAGATAGATTCCCTGTATTAGTGTGCCTCTATAATTACGGGGAAAGGAGTATGCTGCCCCGCCTTTGTGAACGACTCCAATCTTAAAAAAATAAATATATATCCGAAAATGCAGTTTTCTTCCTCTTGTTCTGCCTGAAAACTTTTTCCCATGGATGGTGATGGTTGGTGTCAAACAAGGAGTTGGCCATGAGCATGAACAGAAAATAGCCAAATCCCTTTTTAATGTGACATATTCCATGTATGTTATATAGGTGCCTGTTTTCCTGTTTTTAATTTTTATATTTGTATGTTAATGCTGCATTTCTTGGAAGTTAAAATGGAGTCTTTTCAAGGTAAAATATTGAGGGTTACAGTATGAAATTGCCGTTTTTTACAGAAAAATTAAAACTTTTTTTCTAAAGTGTAACATATTTATTGAATCAAAATATTTACCCTCATTATCTATACATTGCTGTCATCTAAACGGAAGTTCATTTATGCCTTTACGATAGATTTTTCACTGCCAGTTTTGCCATCATTGTTCGAAGTTCGGTACAGTAAACATCTGCTTATTGCCTGACCACACCTGAGAAAGCTATAGTGAATAACACCTTAAAGAGACCACACAACAGTTACCATTACCTTTTTATTGGTAATCTTTGCTTTAGGGCACTGTTGCGGCGTTTGACCTGGGGTCAGCCATTACATTTTTCGCTTACGGTTATCGTCAACAATCCACTTTTCGTACCATGTTACAATTAGATCCAATATTCCTTCATATTCTGTATCGATTCAACAAGGCATTTTTTTTGTGCAGATCAGTCAAATCATGAGACACTCATTTTTCTTTTTTTTATCTTATTGTTTTGATGCAAATGAGTCAATATTGTAGGTAGGGTAAACCGTTAAACCATACCGCTAATTTCTAGGTAGTTTGCGGATCGGCTTCCACCATCCTTCAATTCAGCTTTATTCGCCTGTGTGGGCGGCCTTCCACGTCGTTCGCTCTTCAAATCGAAGTTTTTATTACGAAAGCGTTTAAAACAAAAACACACGGTGCGTTCATTAGCAGTCTCCTCTCCAAACGCAGCGTTGATATTGCAAGCCGTTTCTGTCGCGTTAGTTCCGCGTCGGAATTTGCATTCAAAAATGACTCGGATTTTCGAAGTATCCATCTTTCACGTCTAAGCTGAATCAAAAAAAAAAAACAATGGAAAGTCGAAAAATTTGAAGTATCATGCGAAAAAAGTTTTACAGGGAAATCTCACACCATGAAGGTTTTGTCAATTCAAAATGTCTATTACTATACAACGACAATTTCATACTTTAAAGCCTATTATTACAAAAATGTTAACGCTTATATTAGATATCCTACTTGCATACGATTTTAAGTCTAATTTTAATCTACTTAAATATAAGGTGTGAGCTCGCGGCATTTCTAACTTTAAGAACGACAAACTTCCTAACAATTCATTCCTATTTTACCCCCTTAGGGATGAAATTTCCAAAAATCTTTTCTTAGTGCTCACAACATAAAAAAGCATCAGCTGCGTATATTTCACATGCAAATATTAACTAATATTCGTGAAAAAATAATAGTTTATGTTCATAAACGTGGGAATTATAATATTAATTTCGAAGTTTCATCTTTTTTATCTGTTTCGCAAACGCTTTTTTACGCTTAATCCCATCACGAATGAATGAAATAGCTGTTTAGCGTTTTTATCAAATTATCCGCTGAAAAAATAACTAAGTTTGGATATTTGCTTTAAGACATTAAAACCTTTTTTTTATATTCCAGAGGAACTAAGTGACGTCGTCTCAGCTCCAGAATTAAAAATTGAGCAAGATATCATAGACGGTTTTGAAACTGACGCTGGTGATGAGAACAAAGTCCAAATCAAAGAAGAGATTGATATACACGAGGATTTCGAATCGGACTTCGTGAAAGAAGAAGTTGTGCTAAAAACAGAAGCGGACTTGGAAATTTCAAGAATATTCGGTGTAAAAATTGACGCGAGCGACATTGATATAAAGCAAGAAATGCAAGTTGACGAAGAATCTGAATACGAAGACGACATTATAAAACTAGATTTCCTGGACACAATGCAAGAATCCGTTGAATACTCCACGCAAGACTGTATATTAAAGGTAGAAAATACTACACAGGGAACGCAAAAAGCTCAAGAAGACATGCGAGATGACGAAGAAGATAAACAAGTCGATGAAGAATATGACCAAGAAGAAGATGATATGGAAGAGGGAAATTTGAATAGGAAGCGTAATAAAATGCCTAAGATTTATAGTTGCCGTAGATGCGGCTTTGCCGCTGCCCATAAAGAATACAAAGCTCATATTAAATCGCATTGCTATGAAAAATTATATGAAAGAAAAATATACTCATGTACAAAATGTTCAACCAATTTTGAGAAATTTAATAAGTTCATTGATCATTTTACTAAGCATAATCTCAGTCCGCTATCGTGCCCGGAATGTTTTAAATCTTTCAAGTCTTACAAAACAATAGAATTACATATAGAAACCCATATAAGAATGACATATGTCACCGTTCAGAAAAAATCAGGGTGGAAGAAGGAATCAAATATCTATTACAAGTGTAGAATTTGTGAGGAGACCGTTGAAAAGATAGACTTCTTTCAGCATTGGGTTGGGCATTTGACGTTTAAAGAGAAAACAGAAGATCATTCGGAGAAACCTGATGTCTCAGACAGTTATCAAATCAATACAGAAATGCTGGATGAACTATTGCGTAAGTTTGTAAACAGATTTTTTTTTGTGCTTGAAAAGGGGGAAACAAGCTGAAAGACTAGGTGTAACAGACTACAGTCGTCTATGAGCATCTGCAACTCAAAAGTCACCATTGCGTGGTCCTTCGAGCCTCCCCCCTTCGGGTAGGGGTGGGGTTTGAGTCCAGTAATCTTACTCACTCGGTGTTAAGCCACGAAAAACTTGTTTATCATCGGTTTTCTGCCACGGATTATTTATAGCAATACTGATCTTAACCTTAATATTACTACAAAACATATCATAGTACGGAAGACCAGCTCTGCTAAATCATTTAAGTAAATAGAGCCTCTTGCCCTGAGACAAGAATGTCCAATTTAGTTAGCATGGTGATAATCACATACAATTTGGTGTTTTCTATGTATAATATTATTATTAAATTAATTACTAATTACTTACTGAGATACTTATGTAAATTAAATTTCACATCACATAGATATTTTAACTTATTATGTGGAAAAGCCATGTACATGTATGATACCACAGCTCACCGGGTCAGTAACATACTCACCAACCCACCGAGTTAGTTAGGTTACTCAACCCCCTGGTTTCGGGGGAGGATTTAAAGGACAATCAAAAGGGTTCTTCCTTAATCTGTTTACCTGTCAGAAGCAAACTGACTTTTTTCTAACCTTTCTAATATCTCTAATTTCTTAAGACATTATTTTGGTCATTTCACGGGTTCGATGGTCTAGTGGTTGGTGACTGCTAAGCCGGAGGTCGTAGGTTCGATTTCCACCTAGGACAAATAATTGTGTGTATTAAATTACAATACAAATATTTAGTTTGATATGTTGTCAACACTGCGTTACATATAGAAAGAGAATGTCTTCCGCTTTCAAGATGTCGGTTCATTGTTGTGTGTGTGCAAATGTGCTCATTAAATAAATACAAAGTACTTGAAATACTCTCCAATTATTTATTTAATTATAACAGTGTTATGAGCACGATGATTTGTTCTGTGTCTGGTTGTAATTTATATATAATATGTATGTATTTAGAAATATATTAGTATGTTTATCAGTAGTCTGGTTATAATAGTGCAGGGTCTGCCTAGTTTGGAATCAGACGGCCGAGTTTGAGATGTGTAAAGCTATTATTATTATTTTTCAGAGCGTCTCCTATCTCCAGAGCCTATTTGCCGAAGAAGAGGCTGTCCGATCTGTCTTAGACACTTTGATAGAAAAAATTACTATAAACGCCATCTAGTGGAACATCTGCTAAACCACGCATATTCCCAACACTATTTGCATAAAGAACTCAAGTGTCAAATATGTGAAAAGGGTTTTTACAAACCGGATGCTTATAAGAAGCACATGCGGGATCATGGCGATTTGCGCGATTACAAGTGTGAGATTTGCGATAAATTTTTCAGCGATTCGAGTAATTATAGTAAACATATAAAATTGCATAATAAGAATGCATATACTTGTGATATTTGTAAGAAGAAATTTCAAGCGAAGTATTCTCTTGAGAAACATATTGTGGTAAATATTATTACTTGTAGTATTATTTATCTATAACTTTATTACCAGTTTATTGATGAAACATTTTCTGTGTGAGAAAAGAAATAAATATATATTATTTTCATCAACAGCCTATAACAGTCCACTTGTGGACATAGGCCTTACCTTAGAAAGGAGGTTTTGGCTTACTATACTATTCTTATGGCTACATAACACATAATGGTTTTGAACCATTCTGCATTATGTTATTTCAAGTTCTCTAGTAATAGTTAATTAAAATCACAAGTAATCCGTTCTATTGACCAGATATTTCTAAGTAAGTTTGATGCTACATAGATTTGCATAAAAGGGTCACTCTTAATTCTGAGAGAAAGAAGCCAGCATTAAAGTGGCGTTAACGCATTCGTGTGTAGGTAAACAGTATTACCATCGATGATCCGTCTGCTCTTTTGTCCTATAAACCATAAAAAACAAGTGCCTTAAAATCCGGCGCCTCTTCAAACTGCCTGTATGGTGATGGATAAAGAATACGGAATTCACCGCCCCTAGCCATCATAACAGCACTGCAAAGAGAAGGAAAACTTGACGCGAACCCTATACCAATTCGTCTGGACAGCGTGGCGTGGGAAGCCAAAACCTCCTTTCTGAGCAGATGCCTATGTCTAGCAGTGGACTGTTAAGGGCTGTTGATGATTTTCAAATATTTTTTTTACAGATCCACGACATGCAGAAACCAATATTATGTACCCCATGCAACAAGACTTTTTTCTTAGAATCAGCTTACAAAAAGCATTATAAAGTAGTACATTCGAAGGAGGGACAGACGTACTTATGTAAGATATGCAAAGTAAGATTTAAGCGTTTAAAAGATAAGTGGGACCATTTCTGGCATGTTCACAAAGAGCGGAGTATGAATGCGGATTGTCCAAAATGTTCAAAGTCTTATAGAAAGTTCCGTGATTTACAAATGCATATGAGGACTGAACATTTGACACACTTGAGGAATTCTAAGGTGAGATCAAATTAAATATCGACGGGTCTATTGTTCTAGTGGTTAGTGACCCTGACTGCCAAGCCAGAGGACATGGGTTTAATTCCCACACACGTCAAATTCTGTGTCTTGGTGTAATTAATCTACAATATGTTTGTTTAAGTATGTTTATCAGTAGCCTGGTTACCATAGCACAGGCTCTGCTTAGTTTGGGATCACACGGCCGTGTGTGAGATGTGTGAGTTTATTATTATTATATTATTTAAAAAATCGATAAATAATATTAATAAAATTTTTACTGAAACATTGGATTTTTTTTTGTATAAATAATGAGTTCAAAAGGATAGCTTGTGAAAGGAAATAATAACTATAGCACAATTAAAAATAACAGATTTTTTAAAGAAAGACTCAGAGTCACTTGCGCACCGCATGTCATTTTTCACTCAATTTTTTTTTTTATGACGACCATGAGTATCTCAATTTTCATATGTTCATCGGCCACGGTAGTCACTTACCGTCAGGGCCTCAATTCTGCTATTTTATGTTAAATTACAAGCCACTGTCATTCCAAGGACACGGTACTTAGATGCCGTTGACTTCAGTCAGAATATTATTCGGTATGGTATTCTACTAACATAAATTCACAGTGTCAATAGATTGTCGATGTAGTGACAATGGCTCATCAAGGGTGATATTAATTAACAATATATCAAATCTATCATGTCCTAACAAATTTAAAATGTACCTTTTACCAAACTATTACAGACATAGATGACATTTGTATCAGTGGCAGTTCATTGACAAGTCATCGGGAAGCCATTGGTCTTACGTAGTTAGTAGAATACGAAGAGTGCAAAACTATTCCATCGACAGTCTATGGATACAATATTAAAATAGCAGAATTGAGGCCCTGGCGACCCGTCTGCACGTTTGCCCTCTCATACGTAAAAAAAAAGTGTGTGTCAATTTCGACTGGACTTCACTTCTTAAGAACGCATTTAGTGATCAGCGCCATCTATGCAAATGTTCGTAAAATAATTAGAAGTCACGTAATAATTGCAAATTATTTTGGAGTTTATTCCGTTTTAAAACAATTTTAATTTTGAAGTGGACTACTCTACAACCTGAAAGAAAATGCAATCATAGAACTAATAACAATCGCACAAAAAATATTATTACCATCAAGTAAATAGTTGAATCGCCATATTTAAATTACATTTAGGATTAAAAAACTTAACGAGGTCATTCGATCACTAAATTTTACTCGTCATATATTTTCACACCGCCTTATATGAAAATCGATTTTTAAGGAGTAATCTTCAAAAATTTTTTTTCATAATCTGTTGTAAACTTTCAGCCAACAAGAAGCCCGAAGATGGTTTTAACGGAAGGTGTTATACAAAAAGATGTGTATAAACGAGTATATTTATAAACTGAGTTAAAATATTAGGTTGCTGTAAATTTGTTTTAAGTATAGTTTATATTTCTGTTCTAATATGTATTAATGTACAGAATTGTTTTCAATGTGTGTTGTGTGTGTGTTGTTAAGGAATGGAGAATGTCGTCATAGTGGTAGAATGGTGTCGGATCTGACATTTATTGAACAAATAATTATTTCATATTTTTGGCATAACTTTTTTTTAAGTCTAAACCTGTAATTATGAAAATTGGCATACAAGTGAAAATTACAGTTTCTTTTAAAATACAATAAAAATAACTCATAATTATACAATTTCACACATGCATACACATGCTTCATTTTACTTTGACCGCCTATCAAACAAATACTGAATAATTAAAAATCTAAAATACATATATTTTTTTTCTTGAATGTAAAAATAATATTTAGACAATGTCGTATCCAAATATGGTAAAAACTGAATTTCGTATTTTTTTTCAAAACCGACATTGTTCTACTATCATGACATACTACAATACATCACAATTTTGTCGCATTCAAGCCGTGCCTCGTAGAACTTGGTCCATGGAACACGGTCCCGATGGACATACGGACATTTGTATCGCAATCGTTACGGGTAGTCGGAACCCTAAAAGGTCCGACAACAGTAGTACTTGGGTCGTTGAGGTCTGATGGTGACCGCTCCACGTTCTAAGTCCAGCCGTGTCGTAATAGTCCGAAAATTGACCCTTACCTAGTTTGGGAAAAGGCTCGGAGGATGAGGAAGTTGATGAGGTAGTGGCATTAAAGCCGGCGTTACTTTTTAATGAATTATATTCATTGACTTAGCACTCGCAGTAAATTAATATTATTACGTTTGTAAGGTATAAGAAGACGAGTCTGCTTTTTATTCTTGTGTAATAATACACAAACTGAGACGTCCGCCGACCATAGAGACAGAAATAGGTATAGAGTGAAGAGCCCCAGTCTTATAGGCAACGAGAGAGATGGATGATAGATAGTTCCCTCTATCTCTTTCTACTCGAACTCTGTGGTTGGGTGGGGAAATTTCTAATCTCTCGCCCGTTCTATGATCAAAACCATGCTCATTTTACGATAGCCAATCGCACCTTAGCGAGACAGGAAACTATCGGGAATGCATCTCTCGTTGTCTGTATCGCTTCCAATTACAGGCAGCTGTACCCCGCGTTCTCTCTATGCTTACTATGTCGTATTACGTAGGCCGAGTAATGTTGTCAATTAACCAAAATTGAGTTGCCAGAAAAAAAAGAAGCAATCTCAGTGTTGCCACCTTCAAATAAATTGTATTTTTAGAAATTATGAAATTAATTGTGTCTTCTTTTTTACTAAGTTAGTGGTTATGAACTGTATTGTTATGAAATAATTTAAAATTATACTATTGTAAATAAATGATATAGGTTTATGAATGAAATTGAAATAAGTTAATTATGTTACTAAGGTATTGGTTATACAATATTAAAGGATTAATTTTTTATAATTGTTTATTTTATTTTTTTATCCAACAACATATTAAGCTGCATTTGAATAGACATTTACGCAACTTTCGTATTTATTAATTACGTATTTTTTTAATCACAGACAATAATCAAAAAACAAATTCTTTCCATTTTTTCCCTTAATGACTAAACATAAAAAAACCCTTACAATAATCTCAAATGATAGTACTGACAGCCAATTTTTCCATCTTCCTGGTACACATTATCGTCTCCTTTCACAAATTCGTTGAATTTAAACTTTGCACACTTATCAAGGACCGATGCAGCGATGACTTAAGGACAATGATTTAATAAAAAAACCGGACAAGTGCGAGTCTGACACCGACGGTTCCGTACAAATTTTTATGTACATATTATAAATAGTTCAGAAATAATCGAGTCTCGCTGTTTTTGCCGAGCTTCACCCGAAATTCAGTTTCCAAAACCTATAACTACTAATATTATTGTGTTTTATAAGTGAAATATAAAGTGAACTATTATAAGTGTAATTACCTCAATGATTGATTATTTACACGCTAAATACAGACAATTTTATTTATGATTTAATTACAAGTGTATAGTTTTAAGATTTTTCCCTGTACGAGTACTTGTAGTATAAGACGATGTTACTTGCCAAATTTCAGAGTTATAGTTTCAAAGTAGGGAAGTATCCTATAAATTTTGATTCCCTTGAGAATGACGAAATAGGTATCCTTATCTTCTTTTTACGTTAACTATGGTTTTAATTTCAACGCGTTCCGTTCCTTTAAAGATCCTTGACAGACAGATGGACGGACAGACAGATGGTTAACAAAGTGAGCCTATAAGGGTTCCGTTTTTGCTTTTAAGGTACGGAACCCTAAAAACAATTATAAATATAAATAAATACCTACTAAAATAATCCGCTTCTGTAACTTCTCTTCTTCCTAGCCCTTGCCCACTTTAGGTGGGGTTTGCTCTCCTTATTTGTGGCCGGATCGGGTAAACGACCTCTTCAGCCTTCTGGCAGGCTTACAGCCGTCCTCACGACGTACTGCTATGACCTTCTCATGACACATGTCTGTACCACCTTAATCTCCCTTCTGTTAACTTGCTCTGTATTGAAGCCACGTTAAAACTGCTACGGATATAGTCCCAACATAGAAACATGTTCACAGCTTGCACACGTTAACATGCTTCTGTAATTAGCCGAACTAAAAAGTAAACAGTAATTATCCCGTTAAAAAAATTTGAGTGGTTAAGAAAAAAACATTTTATCATAAAAAAGGGTCAGGTGTAGATCGTTATTTCAATTTGAAACACATGTAACAATTGTTTCCAAAAAGTGCGGCCATATTGCTTTCCAGGCGCCAAAATTAACTTATAATTTATTTAGGTCAGTTGACCCTTTGCAATATTAATGGCCCTTAATACAAAAGGTCTGTGACACAGGTTTTCTGTCTTGAATAATGTACGCACCGTTATAGCTGCTTTTTAGAGTTAAAATACCTTTCAAATTAGAGGATTACTAGGTATATAAAAATAGTGGTCCACAAAAAAAAAAAAATATAGGTATTAAACTTCTCTTTTATTTTAGGTGCCGTAGTATAAACAACTTGTTTCGTCATTATCATCTGTCTGTGCGTAAAAAATCGTAGCTTAGAGACTTAATACTATAAACCTGAAATTTTACATGTGTATATATTTTTTAAATAAAAAAAATACTTAAAGATGACGGATTAAGAATACGAATTGTCACCACCCTATGCATCCCGTGGGTATCGTAAGAAACAACTAGCGGGCAAACTACAGTGCGGCGCGAGAGTGCGTGGAACTCTGCCGTCTCCTTCTGCGAGCAAGTTATGCTCGCGAAGGAGACGGCGGAGCGGGACCGGGAGAGGTTTAGAACTCTCCCGGCCCGCCAGGCCCGGCAACGGGCCAGGTACCGCAGGTGACTCAGGCGCCGGAGGTCGCAGAACGACCTCCGTCCTCCATAAGCGCAGGCCTGGGGGTGACAGGTGAGGCCATCTGAGCAGCCGGAACATGGGGTTCCCACACGAGGGGGGGGGGTCGTCTACTCGTCTGTAGATGGCCCGAGGTATGTCGGGGCCCCAGGGACTTCCTTTCTAGGGTATACCTGGTTCCCCGGCTATTAGTACCCAAGACGGCGTGCGGTTTTAGTCGGTTCGAGTCCGACATGCCACCGATAGATGGTATCCGAGGGGATTTCGGCACGAAAAAAAAAAGGGGGCAAACTACAACTACTAATGCAAGTACAAAGAGAAGTAAACCTTGATACCTTAAGTAGGCAAAAACCTCCTTTCTAAGGTTTATGAGCAGTGGACTATTAAAGGCTGTTGATGATGATGATATAAATTTTTGTAGAGTACCTCTCTATTCAATTAATTCTTTACTTGCTTCAAGAATCTTATCTATTTTAAGAAACCGGCCAAATGCGGGTCGGGCCACGCTTAGTGTAGGGTTCCGTAGTCGTTTGTCTCAACGTGTAGTCTTAGAACTAGGCTTTTACCAATGACATTTTAAAACATCCTCATTATTGACCTTCAGCATCACGCGTATTAACATCATTGGCTCCCGTATCACAAGCAAATAAATTATACACATTATACATTTTGGGTGACTATCAGAGCTGACTTAGTCATTATCACATCACATCACACATCAACAGCCTTTAATAGTCCACTGCTGGACATAGGCCTCTCCTTAGAAAGGAGTCATTATCATTTACGTAAAATATAGTACCATCAGGATTTCATCAGGCAAGCTAACAGTTTAGCTTATAGAGGGATGAGACGCTCTACTCTATAAAAATTTGCACTTTAAAGTTCAATATTTCACAAATGTGTCACTGAATCGATAAATAGTCTTTACAACCTCTTAACTCGCACTGTGCGACTAACGTGTGACTTCGTATGCTAACAATTTTAATATTGTTTTCTGTGCTTTTATGTGACTAGTTCCCGGTTTGCGGGCGGCTAAAGGTGTGTATAGTGTTTCTAAAGAATTTCAGTAAGTTTTATTGTTTTCTAAACATAAATATAGTGCCGAATTCTTTTATTACGACTATTGGTGAGTGAATTTATTTTCTTACTAAAAGTGGGTAGGTGGTATCCTTTGTTTACATTGATTTTTTCTGCGTATTGTTTATTTTTAAGCTTGGTTTTTTTACAGGCCACCGATCACTTATCAAATTATCAAATTAATGAATTAGTTAATGATCAGGGATCTCGGATGAATGTAGGTAATAAAACGGCGATTATGGATATTACTCAACGAATTACCGGTATCGTATCAATGTTAGCAATAAAATCCTTTTACAACGAAGCGAAATTAGCGAAATTTGAGCGACAAATGGAGGGTATCGCAACTCAACAAATGAGTTTAACGTACGCGGACAAACTTAAGCTTCGCTTACCACCTAAATCTGCCCCGTGCCCGGTACCTACTGAAGCGCGCGTTCCTACGCCTTGTGTTATTGCCTATCCCACTACGGAACGCTTAGCGGACTATGCGCCT